TAATGTTAGTTCTTATTCTGTTTGATATATACTAATCTAATTGAAATTATTATTTTATACAGATGAGTTGGTGTTTGAGAATCCAACATGCTTAAGATGAGAGGCCTAGTGTATGAATATACTGTATTTTCCTAATTTTACTCTATTTTGATTTTTCCTATCAATTTTATTCTAAATTTTATGAACTTTTTATAACACTAGCATCCTTATTGGCAAATAAAAATGAAATTGGCAAATTAAAAAAAAAAATATTTTTATCCTTTTTAAAATATAATGTCTTATTTTTTAATTGATGGCCGTTTGTCCAAACGCATTTGGGTCACATCTGCAATTGTAATAAAATTTAATAATTTGATAGTCCTGCAGCCGCTTTTCCATGTGGATTTTTTTTTTTTTTTTTTTTTTTTTTGTCTTGAAATGTTTATACTGTAATGTAAGAATGGTTGAAATACGAATTCTAACAGACAAGAGGACAAGAAGATCTTGGAACATGTAAACAGTTTTATAAATACTCTATAAATAACAACTCAAACTTGTTGATATTCGCACGACAAGAAATATTTTGTAATGCTATTGTTGGACCTTATTAAGTGTAACTATAATTGAGGAAAGAAATTTCAATAACTGAGAATGATCATCTTAAGGTTTATACACACAATTAAATATTGTCATCAGTTTAACGGAAATCCGTTCTCAGTCTATATATATATATATGTATATATATATATATAATATATATTATGTTTTGATACAAAATTCAAAGGTTCAAAATTTCAGAAATTTCAATCTTTAAGAATCAAAATCAAGCTCTAATGTGAAATGATTAAAGGCTTTGCTGGTATTACTGATTTGAATCTCTCAAACCACTGAAAAATTTTTTATTAATTTAATTAGTATTTTTTAAATCCAACTGATATCTGGATCCTATTATCGCAGGTAAGTCTAATTCAGCATCGTTGCTTAATCCACAGTTAGAACTCATCATTCCTCCTAATAGGTGCCTTTAGATGGGGATCGACCGAGAGTTTTTCCCCACATGCTCACAACCTACATTGGGGCAATGAGCTACCAAACCTGTAGGTTTTTATTAATTAGTTATTTAAAGTGAAAATTTATATCTCATCTTATTAGTCAGTTTGTTATTTAGTCTCGTTTATTCCTCTTACCAGTTAAAAAAAAAAGAAAGATTATTTTTTTTTGTGTCATTAGCGCTTTGTTCTTAGCTTTAGCGGATTTGTATATATATTAGGTTTGGATTATACCAAATCTATAAAAATAACAAACAATCACATTATCAACTAATAACTATGGTTACAATAAGCTATAACGGCTAATTAATATTAGAAAAACACTCGGTCATGATCAAGAATTGACCATTTAAAAGTAAAATAAAAATATATAACAAAGACATACACTCCTTAATTTTATTCAAAGTTGCCACTGAAAGATGAATAAAAATAATTAAAGCATGCAATTTGTAACTTAATTCAAAATATATGACATTTGATGAAACAGATACAAATAAACAGGAACACAGAACTTTTTTTTGTCAACCTAATATATTTATATTAGGAAAATGATCATCAGTTTCAATCCCGACCTTCAAGCAGAGCATCCATCTCTTCGCCTTGAACCTAGGCAATGGCAGCTCTGGGAGAGAAACAAGGACCTCTCACCCACCTTTCATGGAAGGATCCAAATTACAAAGGTGGCAGAAATACACAAAGCCACATAACCAACATATTCGCAAGGCAACTGGAATTATATTCACTGCACTTTCCAAACCAAAATCAATTTCTTCCAGTAAACCAATTGTTTCCAATCTGTCAAAACCAATAGTTGCTCCAATACACCTTCAATCTTTATATTTACGCTCTACAATCCTTTCCTCCATTGTCTTTTATATGAACTCCTAAATGTAATTTTCATTAGAAGCTATTTTCTTGCTTTCTTTTTTATAAGTTTCACAACCCTAGAAGTGGGCCTTCATTTACGGTCCCTACACCCATTAATTCTACTATGTGAAGGAGCAATAGCATTCCATAATTATCCTAGGTAAAAGGTGGATTATGTAAAAGATTATGCCTTATTCCCATAGTTAAGGATAATAGTTTTCTCATTTGGGTTAAACATAAAAGCTCTGCCCATCTTGCTCTCTCAAATATAAGCACCAAGAACTTCAAGCGTAGTGAAACTTTCTTTCAGTGTTTCTTCTTCGTTACTATTAATTCCTAGTATATTCCCTTCTTTAGGTTAATTTTCAGGTTTTCTATACTTTTCAAACTTATTCACATTTAAGCATTCATGCAAAATGCTCCAGTTAGTTTGGTAATAATGGTGGACTTTTGCTAAATGAGAACTTGTCTATTAGGAATTGGAGAGGCCTCTTTTATTAGGTTTACCTACCAAGTCTTTCCCTTTCCCATACTGGTTTAACTGTAGGCTCAGTTTTTCCACTTGCAAGCTTCAGCCATGGGAGTAAACGAACTGACTGCAACCAAACCCATCACGACTTGAGTGGATAAGCCTATTCCAAATCGTAACCCCACAAGAAAATTTAGTCATTGAAATACTAGAGGGTGATAGCCAAAATCACATCTTCTTCCATGGAAAATCAGAAAACCAAACCTATTTGCAATTTCAACATCAATACCATCAAAATAATTTAAGAGAAGAAGTTGAATATTTGCACATTTGCTTCTAAAAATGGAACACCATCTCCATTGCAATCTAAAAGTCTTCCATTACTTCCCCTCTTAAGCTTCCCAGCAAAGGATGGTAATGCACTAAAACCTTAGAATAGCTTCTTTAATCATACACTTGCGGGGTCAGAATTTTCCCTGAAAATTAAATTTTGATTTGGCAAGATATGGCCATTTTAAATTACATTAGAACACAAAACTAGGTTTTGCTTTATATCCATAAATGCTTTGACACCAGAATTTCATATTTTGGGTCAGTTAATCAATAGTCAAGAAAAAGGAAAGAAGCCTCAAAAGGGGTAGGTTTGTCTGGTTTAAGCAAGAAAACTCTTTTTTTTAAGAGAAAAAGGAATTTCAAAAGGGGTAGTTTATCTGGTTTAACAAGAACAACCTCTTTCTTTTCAAGAGAAAAGGAATTACTGTTACTCCTTAGCGTAGGCTTCCATGGGAAGAGAGAAGGTAAAAGAAGGGGCAATCAATGACAATAGAAACCAGCTCTATAATAAATTGAAAAGGCAGTGTGAAAACTAAATCTGGAATGAGTTGATTATATTAGAGAAACGCATTTGTTTCTTATCGCATCACTATCAAGAAGTGATCATAACTACTAAAAGGGCCCAGTTTTTCCAAGATTTTCAATAATATTGTTTAATAGATTTTTGGACAATGGGGCTGTAGGTTTGAAGAAACAAGATCATGAACTTGGTAAGGCTTACCGCGACTTTCCTAGCTTTTTTGGATATGGGGTGTAACCAAGTAAGTAGCTACTTGGAGCAGATTTTTTAATGTAAGCAACCTTAAAATGACAATAGTTTATATGATAATATATAACTGGTTAGCACATGATAGCAACAATAGGTCCGGCTAATTAGTACATCTATTTATATTTATTCATATATATTATATGTTCTATTAGAGGTGTAAAATTTTGAGTTAACTCTCTCGTCATACTCCAAGTTTAAACCTCTCATACTAACGACGCTACCTTTGGAATCTCCACGGAAACTTTGAATTCCACGGATAGAGGGAGGGAGAGGGCCAGGGTGACCCGTCTCTTCGACAACATTTTTTTCAATTCACGGCTACCTCTAAATTTTTCTAAAAAATTTTCAATTTCATCTCTTAAAATAGTGTACTTTTTTTTTATTTACGCCCTCTGAGTTTTGAAGAATCTTTTCTGGCTAGCTTTGTCTTCATCATGCTCCATCACTTGATCTCATGATCTTGCATGTTAAAATTTTTAAAGCACAGGGTATCACTAATATCTTGTAAAAGTAACAACTTCAAGGCTTTGCGCTTGTAGGTAAAATTTTCGTCGGCGGTCCTAAGTTACTTTCACCCTCGATCAACACCCGCTCTCGCTCTTTATTTATATTATTTATTGTGCTTACGAATCGTTATGTTTTTTAAAACCTATTCTACTAATAGAGATGAAAATCACTTGCACTGTTATATACGGTTTCTATTGGTTGCCCGCCTGTTCTGCCGACTGTAAGAAAGCGCGTGTTCAGATTGATGTATGGTTTTTAGTGGAGAATATAGATAGAGAGATGCAAAATTAATGCTTCCACATGTTTTTATGCTAAGATGTTTGAGAGACAAGTCCAGATTATTTTTTAACAGAAAAAATTATATATATCTACAGAGACTTTCTTACCAGACATTTATTAATATATACCATGAACCAATGTTTTCCCTATCACAAACAAATTCCCTCCAATTCTTTATTAAAACTTCTCTATAATTTTTTTTTTTAAATGTGCTCATTTAATAATAATACAGAGAATTACGATATTCATATAGACCAGATATAAATTTTACTATTACTATATATAGAGTTACTGGATCTTTTCGAAATAGAAATTATCTCATTTTGAATATGAACTAAAAACTTAAAAATACAATATAATATATTTCTAGTGGGAATAAGATAGAGGAAGAGATGCAAAATTAATGCTTCCCACTACTGTATTTTATGATAGTGTTTGAGAACAAGTCCAGATATTTTTTTACAAGAAAAAAATTATATATATCTACAGAGACTTCTTACCAGACATTTATAATATATGCATGAGACCAATGTTTTCCTACTCCACAACAAATTCCCTCCAATTCTTTATGAAAACTTATCTATCATTTTTTTTTTAAAAAAAAATGTGACTCATTAATAATAATACAGAGAATTACAAATATTCATATAGACCAGATATAGAATTTTACTATTACTAGGTAATAGAGTTTGCTGATCTTTTAACGAAATAAAGAAATTCATATCATTTTGAATAATAAAACTAAAACTAAAAAAGTACAATATTATATCTTTCCGTTTTGAATTGATTTAACAAAATATATAAATCTTCATAGCAACAACTAGTCTATTAATTGATTTGAACGCCAAAATAATAACTTCTCTGGATCTTCTATACCTAGGTTGTTTTTCCAAGAATTTGCAACATATGACGAACACAAATGAGGTTTCACCATTATGCATCAATAGAAGAACAAGCCGCACCACCAAACTCTATCAATTAAAGATCCACACCTGTAAATCAATATCTAAAATTTACAACCAAATAAAATCAAATATCATATTTTTATTTAGTAATAAGCCCTCACAAATAAAAGATAAAAAAACTTCAAATACGAAGACAAAACAATAATAACAAAAACAAACAAAAAAGACACATTTGTTATGAGAAAAACATATATGAGTTTATTAAAGTGAATAAATGATTAAAAACAAAAGAAGATAATTAAAAGGAAGAGTGATTATTAAAATTTATAAAATTAAATAAGGAATATCATGTAAATTGTTATTAAAATTAAAATTATCAAATGTTCTTAATGGTTATTTATATGTCAAATACAATTTCAACAAATGAGTTACCAAATGCTCTAAAATTAATAGCTACCAATGGCACTAACTTCCGACTACGATGAAAGCAGTCCAATACATTTGGATATGCAATTGGAGTGGGTATAAATGAATTTGAGACGACTAATAAAACTATTTTTGAAATAAATTCTAGCTGATAAAATATAGGTTTTAAGTTTTTTAAGTGTCCACTTTCTGTTATTCACTGTGAGTAAAAATGGTACTTCAAAAATTAAACTTTAACTATGAATAGTTGTCTAATAAGAAATGATGAAACAAATTCATTTTTATAATAAACTTTTCTTTTGACAATTTGAAAAACAAAAACAAAAACCACCACACCAAACAAGAAGAGATTCACCTTGAACACTATAGAAAATATTACAAAACCCAAAGTAAATTACACCTATTACCACAAGAAATTCAATATTTGGATGAGGAAAAGATACGATTTTATCCCAACAGTTTAACATAATTAACTACGTTGTCCTTACATTTTAAAAATTACACTATTATATCTTTGTTAATTATCTCGTTTAAACGAAATTATCATTCCATCCATTATTTGAGATTTAAGCCGTTAATGGATCCAGACTTAAGCCATTGATGGATCCAAACGACATGGATAAAATAGTGTAATTTTTTTAAAAATAAAAAGACAAAGTAATTAATTATATCAAAATATAACAACAAAAAAGAACAAAAAAACAGTATCACCCTGCACATTTGAGACAACACAAAGAAACAAGGTCAATTAGCAATTAGTCATTCTGTTAAAATTTATAAACAAGCATGGCAATTTGCATACATGGTCAACCGAAAAGGCTTCTGCAGAATCCTTCCAACGTTGATTGAAAAGGTGTTACCTACAAACTAAAGTGATGACAAAGAAAACTAGCCACAGACATGCAGGAACCTGTTCAGCTAGCACAAGACTTACAACTGAAGAGAAATTTATCATAGAGAGAGAGATAGAAGAGGTAGCGAGTCTAAAACATACTTACTACAAATATCATCTCCAATCTTCATCATCGTAGTTGGATTTAACATCATCGCCCTCATAGTCAAAAGCATCGTCATCATCATAATTCCCATCCTCAAATATAACCGCATCTTTGGACAAGCGACGCCTCAATTCCTCAAATTCTGAAGATCCAGTGGTAGAATCACCATGTTCTTCTGATTCTGCAGTAGATGCTTCACTCTTCTCTTCATCTTCATCTTCCTCTAGAGATGTTTCATCAGGATAATCATTTCGTGGATGATCCTCAGCTGAGAACCATTAAAGGAAAGAAGAATCAGCATGAAAGAGGAGTTAATTGACTTCAGGCACTGAACTAGGACCAGAATTGACCATACCATTTGAATCATCGCTATCATAGTCAGATTCATCATCTGGCCCATCATAGAATTCTTCATCCTCCACCCGTACCCTGACAACGTAATCCCTTCCAATTACGAAATGGCAATAAAAATGCAAGAGGTCAACTAAACATATACGAGACATGTGATACTCACAGTGGAAATGGGCTCAAAGAATCTTTATCATCTATATCCATGTCATCCCTCACAGTATAATAGTCATACACATAATCATCTGCAGATAACATGTGATAAACAAGAGTCCATCAAGAAATGTTACATGACCAATATCCAAAACCAACTATTAGAGAAAGGGCTAACTTAATTGATAATTGCTCGGTGCAGTGATTACAAAAGTGAAAAACATGTCCCAGGAAGTAATACCTTTCCCTCTTCCTAAACTTTCAAAAATGCTATCACTGAATGAGCAGGTACATGTATGGCATTGCATATGATATAAATAATTATAAAAACCAAAATTCACATTATTCCTGAATTCTAAAAGCTACACATCAAATAATATTCTTCAATGCAAATCAACGAAGAAGTATTACCTTGCTTGGACATGTAATCATGTACATCAGATTCAACCTGTGCTGCAGCACTGGGAATAAACTCTCTAAGTAAAGGCAGATAGCTAGCAAGAATCCTCTGATCTTCCAAAGACATAACTCTGCAATTGAATCCTCAAGATTCAACAAATTTTGAACATACAAAAGACAAACTGAGTACCACAATGACAGAACTTACTCCTCTTCTTCCATCTCCGCATCAATGCGAACAACATCATAGAAGTGGCACATGTCATGTAATTTTTTATCATGTGATTCCTCTTTGTTTCTCCTGCGGCTCCGCCATATTTGTTGAAAACGAGCATTTTGAGCCAATATCTAGTAGAAAGGGGGAACCATGTGAAACAAGGCTGTATGGAATAGGTGTAATGCAGACATCGATTTGAGCACGCCAAGGATCATAAACTAGATACCTACCCACTCCAAATATACATTTTGAGATAAAACCAGGACTCAAACTAAAGTATTAGGTTGCTTAGAATTGCTTTCAAAATGAAACTGATACAATATTCATCTCAAAAACCATCTTAAAAAAGGCCTGATTATGATACAAGTAGCTATAAGCGACCGACATGCCTATCAAACCACACAAAATTTCTTTTGGTGCTCAAATCTAGATCAGTGAGTCCAGAATTGGATGGACAGCTATACTGCTTGAGAGACGATCTCTTCAAGCTTATACATATAACCAGCTAAAAATAAAATTGAAGTGGCTTGGCTCACTTCATTGAAAACTTACCATTTTGAGCATGGAAATGGAACTCATATAGTTGATGTCAATGGTCTCTGCTATTAACAAAATAACTACCGAATTCCATAATGAATTTGATGCAGCTAGGGAAAAAGAGATGGATGGATTTTTTCTAATTTAATCCTCAAATATGAAGTTCATATTTCTCTTGTAAGCTTTACAATTAGGAAGTCAAATATTTAATACTATTTAGGAGTGGTTATTGTCATCAGGAACATTTAGAGACTTATTTGCTTCCTTTCCTATTAGTATTGGTTTTAATCTTCCTAGTTCACAATTTCTAATCCTAGCAGTAGGATTAATCATTAAAATCTTTGTAAGTACCTTGTAACCTAGTTATTTTCTTCAGTTTTTTCACAATGAGATTAAGATTATTTGATTTGGAACGCTTCACATCTGCTTTTCTCTCTTTTCTTTCTCCCCCTCATCTCCTGCTGCTACCTTCCCTCAGCAGCTAAAGTACCTCATGTACTGTTCACAGCCTCAACAATCTCCAATTTCTTTTGTTTTCTCACTCTAGCTGTCTAGCAAGCTCCAATTCAATCTTCTAACCTCAAACTCTCCTTCTGCATTCAACCTAAATTCAAATCTCAGAAATTGTTTCGGGATCGTCCACCATAAAAGCTTTCATTGGCTGGTTCCTCAACATGTCATATATAAGAATCATAAACCAAATAATATTCAAGCTTAGCTTAACTGAGCATAGCCTTCCTTTTGACTTACAGGGACATCTATATTGATCACGCTGTGCCTTGGAATAATTACATCCCTGGAAGTTCTGAAGATGAGTAAAAGAATCATACCCCAATCTAAAAGGTGACAAACTTAACAACAGAAAAGGTTTGAAATTTCACATTGATATATCAGATTATACTTTACACCCTTGGAAACCTGGTTGCACATCAGAAGCATTCTAAACCATAAAATATCAACAAAAAAAAAAGGATGTGCCCAAAGCAACAATTCAATGGTTCAGTATGTAATGCATCATATATAAAACAAAAGATATTGCGGTCCTTGTATTAAGATAATCACTGTGTTAGGAATGAGACTCCAAGCCCAAGGCCTTATCTGGTTATAAGCAAAGCCAATGAGAGGAGCAAGTTTGGCGATCAAGAAAGGGGAGAGACACGTCACACAGTTAGTTTGCTTTAGTCAGTATTTATAGAGCTTCTTTTGGAGAGAGAGGTATCTTTTGTAATGAGTATCTTTTTGGGCAGAATTGTTCTGCACGGGCTTTAGCCTGGGGGTTGATTTATCAGCCAGCTATCTCTTATTTCCTTGTCATTAGTTCTTTTGTTCCTTCCTTCCTTATTGACTATAATTTTCAGATTCACCAGTAATACAAGTATATTCTCTCCTAGTTCTACTCATCCATTCTTCTCCATTAGTTGATTGTTGGGTTAAATTATTTACAACGTTCACTTCTCTATCACAATGAGAATACCAAGTAGCTAACTGATAATATCCTTATTATGGAAGATATTAAATGACACATGTGATCAATTCACATGGCTTTGTAAGACTCACATGCTGACAGCTAAACCTGCCCAAGAATGATTATTATCAAAAGAACAGAAATACAACGACGAGTGTATCAACAATGGAAAACCAAAAATTATCACTCAAGAACAACTTCAAAGTGAAAATACACCCATAAATTTAATAAAATCTTAGAAGAAAAACTCTATGATTAGCATAATATCCAATATTCACAAATGAATGAAGTCATTACAGGTCAATGCAAATGAAATACACCATAATTCAGGCTCAACAGTAAAATAAATTTCCGGTATATATACCTCTTGATTTTTTCTAGCCTTTGACAAAAGCTGCTCTTGTTTCTGTAGGCATCATATAGGAAATGCTGAGTGTTAAATACAGTTGAGTGATAGAGACTTTGAACAACTATAAGAGGAAGTTTGGTTAAGTTATTTAAAATTGAAAGAGAGAGCGAAAACTTACACTGTCATTTCTAAAGGTCTGTTTTTGTTCTCGATTTTTCGCTATACCTTCTACTACATCACCTGAACTGGGCTATAAAAGAAAGATTAAATCAATTGAGGAAAAGTACAACAAAACAGAAATTAAAAGCATTGCAATTGAAACAGACAACCTATTCATAATCCAAAAACTTGAATATAAGCAGAAAAAATATGCACTCTTGAGCAGATGACTAAAAGGAAATATTCAAACAAAAGCATTCACATTCACATATATACCACGAATGATTGCAATACATCAATAGTGGCCTTGGAGTGGTTAACTGTCTCAATGTGCTGTACAAAAACCTTCTTGGTCCTCAACTCCTCGACTGCGAAAGATGAAGAACAATTCTTCTTAGTAGATGAAGGCAACGACCAAAATTACAGCCAGAAATTTGAAAAATATCGGAAAAGCAAAAGTTGAATACCTTTTGTAGGACTTGATGATGATTCACCGCCAATTGACAGCTTCTCGAAATCCAACAGCGGTCGCTTCGATGGCCTCTCATTGATTTCCAACCCTACAATAAATCAGAACGAAACAAAATTTAAGCAGTGAAGCGGAGATAAGCAAAAAGAGAAGAAAAAAAATTACTTCAACTCACAGAAAGCGTCGAGTCGTGACTGGTTAGCCTTACGCTTAACCCTAACAACAACCGGCTTCTCGTCGATGAATTTGGGTGGAGTCGAAGAGCTTTCGCCGACGGTCGCCATGAAATGTTAGGGTTTGATGAGTTTTTGGTTAGAATTTTGAGTCAAGAAGCACTCGCTGTTCTAAAATAAAAGGAGGGAAGTCGAGTTGAGAGGTTTTTGCCTCTGTACGGTGTACAATGCCACTTGGAGTTGGAGACTTGGAGGTGCAATTTCTCGGGTCGGGTTGGCGGGTTACCTGAATACATTTTATGATTTTTTTTTTTTTAATATCTATAATAACAAATATTATAGGTCAATACAATATTCTTTATGATACATTGAAAAATTTTATATTTTTAGTCCATTAATTTTATATTTTTATATGAATATATTAATTAAATTGTACATAATTTTTATTTTAGCATTGAGGAAGGAGGAAATCAAATTCCATTCAATATTTCATTTGTATAAATGTGCGCATATTTTTTGTCACATAATTACAATTTAAAAAAAAATATATATATATATATATATATATATAATATATATATATATATTGTTGGGAAAATTGTTATTTTCCCGCCCTTCGGACCGGCTTCAAGCAGGAACAAATGAAAAAATAAAATAATGACTGAGAAATTAAAGAGAATAAATAACACAATAATTTAATATGGAAAACTCCCCAAGTGGAGAAAAACCACAGCCGTTGCCAAACAACAATCAAGAAAAATATTCACTATGCGGCAAATTGTTGCAACCATAATTACAAAATATTTTTCTACCCAACACCCTCAAAAAACACCCCAAATATTTTATACTCTAAGAGACTTGCTCTAAATTCCTAATATAAAACACGTTCAAGTGTTTTTGGTGTGTTTTGGTGTGTATAGAAACTTAAACATTGGCTTCCTTTTATAGCCAATTCAAACACCCTCAAAACTCAATCTCCGGATGTGGGATTGAGCACAACCAATTTTTTTTATATTTTTTTCTTTTGTTTTCAGCTAACAATCTCCACCTTGAAAATAAAATTTAAAAAAAAAAACACAACATTGTCTGCTACCGACGATCATAATTCTTATCGTCAAGAATTATCATACTCCATCATAAAAGAGTATCGCCACTTGGAACCACTTTACCGACTCCAAGAATTTTCCATCAGCCATGTCGGAATTTTTACCATCGGCCATGTCGGATCCCGCTAATAGTTTATGGTGCAACCCTCCTGTTGACTTTTCTGAGAGTTCATTAGCCTCGACATATTTTTTCACCACCACACTTTGGCATCAACTGTCAACCAATGCCGTGCACCATTTCCTGGACCAGCTTACCAATAATCCATCATCTTTATTGCATCTCAAACGGGGTAGGCAATTTCAGCCATGGAAGGACACACATCTCTCCAATTTACAGAGAGATCATATACATCTCCTTCGCCACAGAAGATCACATTGGCAGCACAACGTAGAGCTTCTAGCCGAATCAGCTCCACCGTTCGGGCAATCCTTCCTCAACGTGTCCAATTTACACCCAACACCCAGCAGGACAACCTCTCTTTCCGGGAGCTTTTTATTCTTTTCTTGGTACCGACAAATAAAAGATGGAATCCTCATTATGATTTATTTTTCATTTCATTCAGTCTTTCTCTGCCTCAGTAAGGAGCTTACTAAACCACATTCCGCATACACCACTTTCCTTATTACCCATATTTCAGAAACAGGTTTCATTATGCTCATATGTCGAAGAAGTGGACAGGATGAGTCGGAGAGTTATCTTCATCTTCGGTTTGCACTCCTTCATCTTCGGTTTGCACTCCAAGAGTTTCCAATTCAGAGACGATGCTGTTAAGAACACTCAGGTGATCTGACAGCTTTGTACCTTCTGCCAATTTCAACGTATGAAATTGCTTCTTCAAATATAACCTATTGGATATATTTTTTTCCTTGGTACAATTCTTCCAGTTTCTTGGTGGACAATCCAAACACATTAGCAAGAACATTTTTTGATAGACACATGCGAATTTGACTTGCCGCTTTGATATCCAGCTCCTCCCATTCTTCATCGCTAATCTTGGATTTTTCTGAGTCTCCACTACTACTGTCTTTTTCTGAATTCTTTCCGCTGACTGGTTTACCTTTCAAAACCTTATGCAGTCCAGATTGAATCAACACGTCTTTGACTTGCACTTGCCACAGTGCAAAATTCATTCTCCCGTCAAATTTCTCAATCTCACATCGACAGCCTACTTGTGCTTATAACAGTGAACCCAATAATTAGTGAAGTCTAAACCAATTCGGTTAATACCCAGGAAAGCATTCACAAATCTCCAGACAATATTTCCATTCCACGTAAAATCTCAGTTGGATGGAGAGCACAAGTCGGTCCACTTAAAATTCGCCTCTAGACAGAGTACTGCACGGTTATATTATAGAACTTTCGTATCAGAATAACTTCAATTAATATTCGCAGGACATTCACCACCGGTGCTTCAACACACCAAAAGCAAAAACTCCACCTGCTTTAAATAAAATTAATTTTCTAACAACAGTATTTCTGATGCTGGAAGATCAGACTAAGCCGCAACCCGAGTGCATACTATAATTACAAGAAATTATTTTAATACTAAAAGCTTCGCCTAACAACTAGGCTCTTATACCACTTGTTGGGAAAATTCTATTCTTCCCACCTTCGACCGGCTTTCAAGCAGGAACAAATGAAGAAAATAAAATAATGACTGAGAAATTAAAGAATAAAAACATATAATTTAACGTGGAAAACTCCGCCAAGTGGAGAAAAAACCCACGGCGTGCCAAACGACCAATCAAGAAAATATTCACTTGCGGCAAATTGTTTACAACCACAATTACCAAAAATATTTTTCTTATCCGACACCCTCAAAAAAACACGCCAAATATTTTATACTCCAAGGACTCCAAGAGACTTGCTCTAAATCTCTTAATATAAACACATTCAAGAGTTTTTTGGTGTGTATAGGAACCTAAAACATTAGCTTCCTTTTATAGCCAAACACCCTCAAAAACTCAATCTCCAGATGTGGGATTGGGAGATTGTGGGATTGAGCACAAACCAATTTTTTTTATATTTTTTTCTTTTGTTTTCAAACAAAGGCGCGGCCTGACAATCACACACACACCACACATATATATATATATATAATACAAATTAAAATTTGTTTATTTATTATTATTAATAGTTAATTTTTTATTAAAATTGAGCACTATTATATATATATTTATATAAATTAAAAGGAGTATTACATATAATTTTTTATCTTTTTATAAAAACTTTCTATAAAAATTATTTCGTATTTGAAATTTTTATATTTTAATTTATTGAATTTAAAAATATATATTTAAATATATTATATATAAAAATTCGATTGAGCCGTATTGAATTCGGTTAAACTTTTCCGTTCAATAAGCTCCATGTCTTCACAAGTTCAATGGCCAGTCCAATTCTTAGAATATTGTAATAAAATGATATAAATTACGAAAAAATAATTATTATCCTTTTATCATACTCACGCACCAATGTAAAATATTTTTAATTACAAAGGATTATAAAAATATCATAAATCTTTATAAGGAATATAGAAAAGGTCGAGCTGTCTTCCATATTACCATATATAAATGTACCATTTATGCTTATAAGATATGAAATAAATAAGTTGCCATTATAAAATTTTAAATAGGGTTGTCCAAAGTTAAGAAATTTTTTTAGTGGTACATTTTTTTTATCTAGAGAAATTAAACAGGATTGATCAAAATATCAAAATTTTATTATTAAAATTTTGTTTTAACAATCGAAATCCGCTATGTGAATTATTTATTTCTATTTTACTCTATCATAGTAATATATTTCTTATTAATATCCAAATACAGCGAATCTTTCAAAATAATTTCTCTCCATATACTTACAGGTTTATCTCTTCCTCGTTTAACAATTTCAATCATTAACATATTATATTTACAAATTAAAGCACCTAAAAATCTATGTATAACATGATTAGACCATTGTAGATGTCCTTCATTTATTTAATTCCTTAACATGTGCTTCTTGCACCTTTATTTTATGTTCTAAATTGGAATTTTACACAAGATTCTTCATAAAAATTTCATATTAGATTTTATAATTATTAATTATATATTAAAGCTCAAACCATATATGATATTTTTCATTTTATTATTTTTTATTGTTTCTTTTTAATTAATGTTTTTCTTTTTAATGTTTAAACTTTATAATTATAGCAAACTCTCATAGTTTAAAATTTCTTTTTTTTTTAAATTAGTTTTTCAAATTAAATATTAATAATAATCAAATTGTATTTTTCTATTCTTATCAAATTTAAAATATCTTTTATTTATTTTTATAGAATAATTTATATATATATAAAGATTGGAAATGTAATTTTATTGGATATTGATGCAATTAACATCAAATTATATAGTTGGATATTATGGGTGAGACTTTGATGAATGTTGTTAATGGTGGATGAATTTTTATTGATATGGATGTTGCCCAACGGACGGGCTTTATATATTATTGTGAATTGTGGATATTTTATCAGGAAAAAAAGTTGAACTTTTAGGGAAAACTCTGCCGAATTTTTGGTCGAATTTTTAGATTATTATTCTAAGTATATGAATTAAATTCTATAAATAAGTAGAAATAATTATTGATTTGATCTTGTTTATTTCTTTAGCTGGTGATAGAGCGGAACCTTCTTCCTCTTCCCCTCCTGGAGCTTAATAAGGCTAGGATTTCTAGATCTCTCTGTGAGTATTTATTATATATAACACTTTACCAAATGTATGAACGCATAATTTATTTTTAAATCTTGCATTTATTTATTTTCATGTGTATATATATATTGCACTAACAAATGTTGTAAATAATTTACTTGGTATAATGATATGTGATTGTTGTGTGGAAGTTGGGACAACGTGATCACCTAGGTTGATAGCACGCACATGGTGAGAATGTCATCAATGAGCCGTAAACGGTGGGAGTGGGGGCCCCTTGTGTACCCCGGATTATGATATTTATCATGGAAAAATTCTTATGAGAAATAAAAATATTTTATGTAAAATATTTATATCTAACTATATTTTGCCCGAATGGGGGTGGGCTCCCAGGGTACGCAAGTTAGAGGACCATGGGATTATATCACTAATATTAAAGCATGCTTGGGGGTATGCATGGTCCTGTTAAGGTGATTCTACTGACTAACGACCACTTGGTGTGCATTATGATTGATATTACATGTGGGTGCTCTGATTGACACTACATGAATGGTGAATGTAGGGCTCTGATACCAAAATTTGTAACATCCCTTCCCGGTCCAACCGTAAACCCGAATGAACCGAACCGAGACGCTACAAACTGGTTGTACCTATGTCCTGTCATGCTGATATCATCACGTGTGCTGACTATAATATCATGCTGATGTTGTTTACATTAATAATGTGAATAATAGTTACAAGACATTATACTAGTTTTCAAATTGAAATGGGCCCAACTGTGTGCCCTGTACATGCCATGATAAGGATAAACAAAATCAAAAAGGATATACAGAATCAAAATATCAAAATGAGTAGCTACCCTGAAGACTGGGTCTTCCAAAGATGAACTCCAGCAGTTGTAAGCTGACTCTCTACTGTCCAGTCTCGAAACCTACGAGTTAAATAAATAACTCGCTGAGCAAATAAAGCTTAGTGGATATCTCAACTTATTAAGAAACAAGTAAGCACATACATATGTAGCAATAAACACGTAAACACATATGGATAACTAAGCATGTAAGCACACATATCATGATACTTCCATTGACGTACTTGCTGCTCATTATACTGTATGAATATGCAATTTGTAATCAATGTAACTGTATAACTCCAAAAGGTTATAGTGAAACCAAAGTGATAAGAAGAACTGTATGAAATAGGATGAATATTGTATGAAACTGGTTGAAATTTCAGAGAGTAGTACCAAACTGTATGGGACGCAGATCTGCTATCCTATGTCGCGACATAGCCTTATCTATGTGGTTTCTACCTAACCTCAGTGGAGCATATTATCTGTCTTATTTATAAAATGTATAAACCATACTGTTTACCTATATGCTGTCTCATTCTATATGTCGCTAACCTTTTTCATGCTTTAAAAGGATTTCATAGACAACTACAAGTAATATCAAATGAGTAATAATGTAAATAATTGATAACTTGTAAAGGAACTTGCATGAAATTAATCTAACTGTTGCACCCGCGACGCAACTCTTACTAATCTTTATGTATTTTAATTTAGAACATTCGGATTAAGGAAATGTTTGATCTTAATTTAAGTACTAATCTTAGGCTGAATGAATCTACATATGCATTCCTCCAACATCATTTCTAATGTGTTCTTGAAATCTGCCAGACAGCCTGTACATGTTTCACAAATCCTAGCATAACTCTTTCTGTATACGTCCAATTTAGATTATTCTAAATTCTATGGTTAGCTAACATCTTAAGGTACAAAGTTTTCTTCTATCACATCTCTTAATTAGGTTGGCAAGGTAGTCACATATTGAGCTCAAGTAGCAACTTTCAGTCTGCCCTGCTGTTGGTTTCCAGCCTGCCCAGTTTATATTATTTTGGTCATATCTCTCAATTTATAACTCCAATTTAGGTGATTCTACATTATATGGTTAGCTAACACATTTTAGCTAACACATTAGGCTACAAATTTGTCTTCTACCACATCTCTTAATTACGTTGGTAAGGTAGTCAAACATTGAGCTCAAGTAGCAACTATCAGTTTGCCCTGCTGTTGGGTTCCAGCCTGCACAAGTTATACTATTTTGGTCACAGATCTCAATATATAACTCCAATTTAGGTGATTCTACCTTCTATGGTTAGCTAACACATTAGGCTACAAATTTGTCTTCTACCACATCTCTTAATTACGTTGGTAAGGTAGGCAAATATTTACCAAAATGAGCAACTTCCAGTCCGTCCAGACTGTTGATATCAGCCTGCACATCTGTACATTTTGGTCATAATTCTCTCAATTTAATACTCCAAATGTTAGTGATTCAAAAACTCATCCGACAGATAAAACATAGAGGAATCAATGATATCCTTGCCTATACCACTTCCTAAATTCCATCGTTAAACATGAGTCCAAAAAATCAGGTGAAATTCACTGGTCAATCTGGTCCAACAAACGGGTTCAGCAGAAATCAATATCTACTTCATTCATGTCATTTCATTCCATGCTTTTAATCACCATTTACAGACCGTCTAAATTCAACATTCAGCATATAATGTTTCATTATCACACACTACACAAAGTTTTCAATGCAAGGAAAATGTCGAAATAATACTAAAAGAGATATCAAACCGTTCAATCCTCAAAAGAATGCTTTAACATCCTCTTCTTACGCTTCCTTCTTCTTCCCACTGAGTTCCCCTCTCTAATTACATAATAACTTCTTAGAACATCTAAAAATATCAAGAAAGTTGAAAAATTCAAGAAGTGCTTACTTACTTAGAGATATGAGTTCTAGGTTGAAGTAGTCGTTAAACTCTACATGGAAAATGGAATGCGAGAAAGGAAGAGATGAAGAGCAAAAGATGAAAGGAGAATGAAGAGTGAAGATCGAAAGTATGAAGAAGAGTTGTAAGATGAACGATGAGAATGAAGAACAACTGAGAATGGAAGATTCGTGAAAGTCCAAATGTTACTTTGATTGTGTGTTAAGAATTACCAAATAGTACTATTTCCATAATGTTACATTTTTTAATACCTAAACTTTATATCTCTAGTGCAAAGTAATCCTAACTCCTTATACTTATTGATTTCTTTTTGTTTCATTCATGTAAGTCACCTTCTTTTACTTATTTAAGTTTACATCACCATTCTACCCACCCACTCTGCATTGTAAATGCTCCCGAACCGGTCTTGTTCGGGCCAACTTCGATCGGACTCTATGCGAACCGATCGATTCCACTAGAATGTTACGTTTTTTAAATGGCTCGAACCGGGTTCTTGTTCGGCCCAACTCGACTCGACTCTATGCAACGATTCGATTCAGTAGGATGTTACAGTTACGGTTCAAATTAAACCAGTAACAATAAAAAAAAAAGGAATATTGGGTTCAGTGAACTTCTATCTTCACCGGGTCTGCTTCTTAGAAATAGAATATTGGGTTATACAATAAAAATAATCCTTCCAATTATTTACCAAATTAATGAAGACTCTCATAGTCGAGAGGTCTTAATCTTGATACCTCCCATCCAGGCATAATCACAATTCTAAAACTATCAGTTTCGATTATAAAAAGTGTCGAACTTGAATCTTGCCGCTTTTAGATAGTTTTTAAAATGATTTTGAAAATTTGGATTTCGGTTCTAATCCAGTTTGAAATCGAAATTAGAAAATATTTTCAAGTTTTTTAACTTTTTAGCTTGAATAAATAATAATATTATTATTATTCATATTATTAATAATAAGAAATAGTACTCATTAAAATAGACTAAACAAATTTGATAAGAAGTGTTAAAATTTATTTTATAAAATTATAATAAAAAAATAATATTAGTAGTTTCTTTAGAAATATTTTATTTGCCCACTAAAAAAAATATTTTATTTCTGTTTGAATCCGGAATCATTGGTTAGCAAAATCATTGATCCAATTTTTAAAAATTGAAGAACTGAAACCGAACCGTACGTATGGTTTCAGTTAAAATTCGGTGCGATTTTAATTGACTCGGTTTTAATTTAAAACCGAACTATAGTCATGCCTATTTTCACTCTACACATATATGAAAATACCAATCAGACCACACTTGGTCGATACTATTTATTTTGATTTTAATGATGAGTGAAATCGAAACCCAACCACTTTCAAACGATTTTGATATTGTTGGTTTGAGTTTAGTTTTGATATTAAATCATTTTTTTAATTAAGGAACATGAATAAATAAATAATAAAAATAAAAATAATAGTATTAAAAAAAATCTTAAACTTTATTGAAAAAAAAAAGGTCGACGTCGATTTGATTTTGGTTTGACTGGTTTAATTCTGATTTAAAACCGAACTATAGTGATGACTCATGGAGGATACACATGCATATATAGTTTCTTCCAATTGTTTTGGCAGGTTTAAGCGTATATGGAACTAAAAACAAGAGCACTCGTTATTCATTTTCACCCATTACTTACCTGCAATACTTATCGCAGCGCACGCACGAGTTTGTTCAGGTAATTATCTATAAAAGGAGATTGTGAAGCTCGAGCCTTCCATATTCATTCCTCTGTTCGTTATTTCTTCCATTTTTGCAGGTAAGCTGAACAGAAACAATAAGAAAATTATTCAGAAATTATGTGCTACTGATATTCTTGTTTCTGTAGGTGATCACATATTAATGGAGAGATTTTGCAAGAAAATTAGTGTATCAAAACCACCTCGCTATGATACTCATGGCTTTGACAGAGAAGTCCCATCTTTTGAAACTGAACAAAACAGTTCTGGGAATACGGATCCCAAGAAGCTCAGAAGGTGAGTTTAATCTTCTTTTTCTTTTTTCTTTTTAATTTTATTTGTTGTTTTCTTTTATATATATGTATGTGTTTTTGTCTCCTAGAGTTATGGCAAGCAGACAGTATTCACAGAAGTATAGGCTGAAGCAACTCCATTATATTCTGCAACTAGAAACAGAAGTGAAAGCTCTCCAAGTAAACATCTGATATTTTTCTGTGCCAACAGTAGAAACAGTTTTGTATTTATGTATATATAAATATAAATATATCTATTTTAACAACATTAATTTGGAAAAGAATATATATATATATATATATATATGCAGGCTGAAGTGGCAATTGCCTCTCCTAGGATGAAGTATATTGATCGGCAGAATTCTTTACTACGAGCAGAAAATAGTTCTATGAAGCAAAGGATTTCAATATTTTCAAGTGAACTTATGTTCAAAGAAGGTCACTCTCTTTCCTCTCTTATATAATATATAGAAAAATACTTGCCACATGGAATGTATATTCATTCCTCTTTACAAGCAACTAATCATAGATGCATTGTCGGTATCATACACCAAATCAATTAATAAAATGTTTTTTAAAAAATATTACTATTTTTTTGGCAGCGTCCGGTATGAAATTCTCTTGTCTGAACCAAAGCATTGTTTATGATTAGTTTAGTGTGTAGGTGCACCATATACGTGTGGATAATTTGTTCCCTTGATTATTGTCTAATGAAATTATCACTTTTTAGGAAAATACATATCTACACCAGGTGTATAGATAGTCGAATATTCTACTCATATATCAAGCCAATCAAAAAAGATAATTTTATCCTTTTTGTTTAGTGAATGGTCGGAACTCGTTTGAACCAAAGCATAAAAAGTTTTTTATAAAATTGTTACTGTTTTATTCTTTTTTTTTTTCAAATAAAAAATACCCTTGTTTGAATCAAAATTCTTTTTGTGATTGATTTGATATATAGATGGATCATATGCCGTCTGCTGTAGGTAAATTTTTTTCCATTTTTTGTTGAGTTTTTATTTTTCAAAAAAAAAAAAAAAAAAACCTGATTCACTGTCTTAATGCTGTTATTTCATATTAGTTAATATGACACACTGGATTAATTGTGAATGCCACAATTAAGGATTTGACGTATTAATAACATTTCGTTACAAATTAATAGTGTTAATGTATTACTTAGGATAATTTTGTCTAGTAGTTAAAGTACACTAGATTCCACCCTGGTGATTGCATATCTTACCGTTAAAATGGGAGATGCGCAGTATTAATAACACTTCGTCACAAATTAATAGTGTTAATGTACCACTCAAGATAGTTTTGTCTAATAGTTAAAGTACACTAGATCCCACCATGGTGATCGCACATCTTACCGTTAAATGGGAGGTGAGCAATATTTTTTAAAATAGTATTAAGGCGCTAGACCGTTAATTGTTAAAGATTTAAAATTCATATACAAAAAATGGGCAGTACTTTTTTTATATTTTTCAATACTATATATATATATATATATATATATTACCATGCATTAATAGTAAATTAAGTAATATTATGTAAATAAATTATTGAAGCAGCTCAATATGAGGAATTGAAGAATGAAAGAGACAAAATGAAGCAATTCTATTCGGTGAATCAGCAGCTATATCCAGAGTTTTTCAAAACAAAACCAGCGGGGAGTTGTCAATTAGCAAGTATTTGACAGCTTTAATTAATCTTTGGATCCAATTTCTTCTCAGCAGAAACTGATAAATCTCCTGAACCTAAACCAGTGAGGCAGTCAACAATTTATCAATTGGGATTCGTTTGATCATCCTTTCAAGTACCTTTTGTTTGTCGTTTGTTATGCATACTTGTTTTGTCTTATTTCTTATTTTATGTGCTTTTTCTTTCTTCTATTTTTGTTTAACTTCAACGGAACTGTATGAAAGTGATCACAAATGAAATAATATTGGTTTCTTCTTCTACACCATAATTTCATAAAGCAGGGGCGAAGCAAAAACAATTATTCTGAAGAGCCAACTAAAATTTTTTAAAAGGTCAAATATAATTTTTCTATATTTTTAAGGATCAAAATATAATTTTTTTCCAAAGATTTCTTAGGGTGGCCGGGTGGCCTTCAACCCCCAAGGAGCTGTGCCCCTGGTTTAAAATACAATATTAACATTAGGGCATGTAAGAATTGGATTGCATTCTCAAACGAATTTGTTAAAAGTTCAAAACCTTGATCGTCGAGAGCTTTACCTAAATATCCTCAGCCGAAAATAGACATATTTATAGAAAAAAAAAAGTTATTTTATACAATAATAATTGTTCATTTAATTGAGAAACATAACTTATAAGCTTGTAATTTTTTTGTACTTACAATTAATAATCCTACAAGCATGATCATGAATTACTAAATCATGGAATACTAATTCAATTAGTAACTTTACATGATTATTATATATAGATTATAATTTTAATTGCTCGATTGTCGATTGGATAATAATTGAAGTCTATTTAACTAAACGTAAAATTAAACTATTAATAATGATAATATAAGAAGATATATAGCTTAGATTGCTTATCGAGAAAATGCAAAATTGCTGAAAGTTAATTAAGGATCTGTTCGATAAAGATGTTTTATTAATTGTCGGTCATTTTAGTAACATTTATTTTCGTAAAACGCTAAAAATTAAATATTAATCTCTATAAATTAGTATAAACACTGGGTTTCCAACGTGGGTTTCATTCACCAAATCCTTTATATCATATATGGAGTAACTGCTGCAAATTACATGATTGCAATTTCTTCTTACGTAGAAGAAAGTTTGAAAATTTTGACTTATTGTCCACGTGGCAGGATTTGTCTGAATGATTGGCTAGTGAAAATGTAAATATGTAATGATTAAGCTTCCAAAGTTACTGTCGATTCTGTTTCAGAAATGTGGTTTCTTTCTCGTGTAATTTAAAATTAGTAACATCAGCAACAGCTATAATTCTTCCCATATATCGGAGAAGGTTTTTATTACCATTTTTTTAAGGATAAGCTTAAAAATAAAAATGGTAATTACGGACAAAAAAAGGAAGAAAAAATATATACTAAACATGAACATTCATCATTTTACAAATATAAATTTGGAAATGACAAAAAAATACCCAAAACTATAAATAAGAAATTTCATTAATGTCTTTCTATATTTTTTTGGGAATTTATGATAGGGTAAATATGTAAATAGCTTGGTTGTGTTAACTTTATGGACTAAAATAAAGAATGGAATATCAATTTCCATTACTTACTAGGGTAGAATGGGAATGGGGAATTCTTAGTAGGGATATTAGAATAGATGAGATAATCAAAAAATCAAAAATGCCCTTGTTTTTTTTTCTAATACCAAATATAATTTTATTTTAACTAGTTTTCTTAGTGATTTTCCATTTTATTTTTTCATGTTCTTATAACTGAATAAAGAAGTGAAATCAAAATTTATATTCAATATAAAATTTTTCTCATTTATAAATCTCATCGTATCCACGTATAAAAGAGATTTGTTTTACTAAATCAAAGAAATAAACTTAGTAACACATAAAAAAATTGGTCGTAATACTATCTTACCGCTTAATTATAATAGAAAAATAATAGAAAAATACAAAATTTCTCATTTATAAATCTCATAGTATCCACATAAAAGAGACATTTTCTACTAAATCAAAGAGATAAAGTTAGTAACATATATAAAAATTGATTGATTGTAATACTATCTTAACGCTAAATTATAATAAAAAAATAATAGAAAAATCAAAATTCCAATTCAATATAAAATTTTTTTTTATTTACAAATCTTACAGTATCCGCGTAGAGATTTATTTTACTAAATCAAAAGCGATAAACTTAGTAACATATGAAAAAATTGGTTGTCATACTATTTTACCGTTAAATAATAATAAAAAATAATGAAAAAGTCAAAACTCCTATTCAATATAAAATTTTTCTTATTTATAAATCTCACAGTATCCACGTATAAATGAGATCTGCTTTACTAAATCAAAAGCGATAAACTTAGTAAATATAGGCATTTTTTTTATTTACTGAATCTTAACAGTATCCGCGAGAGATTTACTTTTACTAAATCAAAGCTGATAGAACTTGAGTAACATATAAAAAATTGGTTGTACATGACTATTTTAAAGCCGTTAAGATAATATATAAGGAAATAATATGAAAAATCAAAACTCCTGATTCAATATAAAATTTCTTTAATTTATAAATTCTCAGACAGTATCTCACGGTTAATAAATGAAGATTCAAATCAAAAGCGATAAACTTAGTAACATATGAAAAAATTGGTTGTCATACTATTTTACCGTTAAATAATAATAAAAAATAATGAAAAAGTCAAAACTCCTATTCAATATAAAATTTTTCTTATTTATAAATCTCACAGTATCCACGTATAAATGAGATCTGCTTTACTAAATCAAAAGCGATAAACTTAGTAACATATGAAAAAATTGGTTGTCATACTATTTTACCGTTAAATAATAATAAAAAATAATGAAAAAGTCAAAACTCCTATTCAATATAAAATTTTTCTTATTTATAAATCTCACAGTATCCACGTATAAATGAGATCTGCTTTACTAAATCAAAAGCGATAAACTTAGTAACATATACGAAAATTAGTTGTCATACTATCTTACCACTAAATTATAATAAAAAATAATAGAAAAATCAAAATTTCTATTCAATATAAAATTTTTCTCATTTATAAATCTCATAGTATCCACACGTAAAAGAAATCTGTTTTACTAAATCGAAGAGATAAACTTAGTAATATATACAAAAATTGGTTGTCATACTAACTTAGCGCTAAATTATAATAAAAAATAATGGAAAATAAATATACATGATAATATGTCAATCTTAATAAATTATTAAATTATACTTCATTCGCTCCAAAATTATCGTCGCAAATGTTTTTCACACAGTTTAAAAACAGTTAATTAAGTTATTTTAACTATAATTTTTCTTATTTTTCTGTGTCTATTCTTAAAAACGCCTAAATGATGTATATTAATAATTCCTTTAAAGATAGTATACCAAGATTTAAAAATTAATTTTCTTAAGACATTTTTTCCACTATCTGGTAAATTCAACTAATATAATTATTTGTACGAATGATTATATGAGATTATTATATAAAAGTGAAAAGAAAAACAGTTCTAAATATATAAATAGATTTTGGGACACCTAAAAAAAAAAAAGCGAGACTATAATTTTAGAATCGAGAGAATAATATTTTCGAATTAGTGGGTGACAGATTACAAATAGCTAGGCAACTCTATGATTCAGTAAAGTTAAAAATAAATTAACTTGAAAAATTAACTCGATTGATAAGTAAATTTACTTATAAACTTATTAATTAGAGTTTAATTCTTGAAAAACATATACCATAAATGAGGATTCTTTTCTCATTTAATACGAAACAATAGTTTCAACATAGATGGTCTGTCTTTGACCAGACTAGAAAAATAAACTAACTACAATCTGTGATACTATCTTACGGCTAAATCATATAATATTTTCAAATTTAAAAACCACTTGTTCTAGATATTGCAATTTTGGTGGGTATTATATTTGGTAATTATTTCTGTATTTTGCCTTATAAATATTTAGGGCCAGACAAGTTTCCTTATCTGAGACAATTTACTTTAGCATCCTTAAATTTAAAGGTTAGAATGAGAAGATATTAATCAAGTAGATTTCCTTAACAAGGTTTTTCTTTTCCTTAATTAGCCATTTCATTAGATTTCCCTCTTGTGCAGGTGAAGTTTTGAAATATGGAGAGCTTCAATGGAAGTGAAGACCGAAAGAGGCTTATTGACGTGAAGCCTTTTCAAATGATGCCTCCATCAACTCTCCCTTTGTTAGCTCCTACTTCATTTCAAGTATGGAAGAAACCCTACTACATGAAAAATAGTTCCTCTTCTACTACTAGTGGAACTAAGAATCCTTTAAAATCATTCACCATCGACTCTCTTGAATCAGACCGAAATTCGACCAACCATGATATTGTTGCTTCTGGTGGTGATCGTAACCTTTCCAACATTGATGAGAAGGAGGCCGGGGTCCATGGTCGACTCGGTCGCGACCTCGACCCGAACATGGACCCCAAAAAGCTTAAACGGTGAATTTAGCAAAAGGATGAATTTTGTTTCTTATATTAATGTTTGAGCATTAACGGTGTGTTTACAGTGGAGCTATAGGGTGACTAGCGGTGGTGGTTGCCCCTAATTTTAAATTTTATTTTATAAAATATAAAAAAGTTTACATTTTACTTATTAAAAGGTGATTTTTTCAATATTGCCTATTTGAACATTAATGGTGTGTTTAACAACGGAACTATGGGGTAGCCAGTGGTGGCGACCGCCTCCTAATTTTATTTTATTTTTTAAATTTATCTTATAAAATATAGAAAATTTTACTTTTTTAGGTATAAAATAGTGATTTTTTTTTATATTGCCCCTCTAATGTCCCCTCTAATTATTTTTTCTTGTTCCGCCGTGGGTGTATTTCTGTTTCAATGCAGGATTATTTCAAATAGAGTTTCTGCGCAGAAGTCCAGAATGAAGAAGCTCCATTATGTGACTGAGATGGAAAGAAAAGCCAAGGCCTTAGAGGTACTACTACCATCTTTATGTCTCTTCTTTTCTGCCATTAAACCTAAAAATACAAACTCTTATATATATATATATATATGAAGATTTTACAAAAAAAAGAAAATGGCAGCCAATCGTTTTGTATATATGTTCAGAATAAAATAGCAGTTCTCCATCCTCAAGTGATGATGTATAGAAACCAGCAACACTTACTACAGATGGAGCAGAAAAGGTTGAGTCAAGAAATGTCTGCTCGCGCAACCACCAAGATACTCAAAGATGGTAATTGTACAAACCGAAACAGATCATATCTGATTAACTTTCTATTAATCTCGATAACCAAATTACATGTTTTTATAAATAAGCATAACGATAAAAAATCCATTTTTGTAGCTGAGATTGAGGAGAACAAAGCAGAAGTGAATAGACTGAGGCAACTCCATTTAACACAGCAACATCAAAAAATGCAAGAACATCTGATGGTAAATGCTTGGAAAATGCAGATGATGAATTCAAATTTGACTCAATCTGATACAGAACAAACGTTGTTTATGAACTCAAATTCAGGTATGCATTTCTATATTTAATGAAGTTTATGTTTATATGTTAGAAGTAGAAGTCTTTTAAGAGTCGAGACATGTGTAGCAAATATTTTTTCATTCATATACTGAAATAGAAAAAATTAGAAAGCTAAGGCATTGCATGTTGTAATTAACCCAATAAAAAAAAAGAATAAGGGTTAATAAATAAATAAGTTAATTAATTAATATGAAAAATAAAATCAACTAGCCGTTGATTAAATAGCTAATCACTATTGCTAAACTCAGTTTAGTAACAAAACAACAAAGAAATGGATTGGCTTCTTGTAACAGTACTTACAGTCATTTTTGTCATATTTGAATCAATTTGACTTGGATTAATGATTTCAGTCTGCTAATTGATCCAAAATCCAATAAATTCCTCAAAATAGTATCCAAGATAAAAACTTTTTGCTTTGTTGAGCCGACCCTTCTTTAACTCCAGAAAAGTTCTGTTAGGTGTTATATATCCAGGTTGCATGGAAGTCTTGTACATTTCTTGGTTCACGTTTTTTTCACTTGACAATACCAGGCTCAGGATAGATTGTATTGGAGAGTCACGACAATTTAGGGTATTTTCTGTCGATATTAATTGTTTTAGTAACTGTTAATTATTAGTTATTAGCTTGTAGTTGGTAGCTATTTATATAACGGTTAAATTAAAAATGTTCGATGAAAATAATTATTTAATTTAAAATGATAAAAAATGATATTATTTGTTTAATTAGTTGAAAATAACGGATTTGATTGTCAAAAAAAAAATTAATTGAACTAAATGTTAAAGTGTATAATATTTTATAAAAAGCTTTCTCAATCTAGAAGCTATTACAAAAACTATGTTACTGAATAATACAATTAATAGAGAGTTTTGACTTGGTCAAAACGTAAAAAGCTAACTGATCAAAAGCTATTGCGGAATATGAATTTAGATATAATTGTTGATGCTATTAAGTTTTTTTGAACAATAATAATAAAATAAATTGAATTTTCTCATAGAAAAACTGTGCTGATGATGGATGAATTATTTTGATGCAGCTCAAATTGGAGAGATGAATGAAGAAGAAATGGATGAAGTGAATCAGCAACCAGTTGGACAAATGTGGATGGTGAATCCTACTAATGGCTCAACGATGCTTCAGCAAAAACTGATCGGAGCTAAGGCCAATCCAAATCATGGTGGTATTGAACAGATGCTCAACTTCAACCAAAATAATCATAGTTGTGTCATGTGAGAATTCTCACTGGAATTTGGAATTTCTAGTTCATTTTCTTTTTAATCTGTTATTGTCAGTTGTCTTAAAATATTTATGGTTGTCTGTAGAATTTAGATCGTCTTATTTGAAATTTGATTAATATTTTGTCCTCTCCCCATTAACATTTTTATATTAAAGTTGCGTTCGGCAAGTAATTTTTTAAATAGTTTTTTCAAAATGTTAAAAACTATTTTTTTTATAGTGTTGGGATAGAATTTTATAAAAGGTTAACTCTATAACATTTAGCTTTCAATGTCGCTGCTTAAATAATTACTAGCAGCTCAAAACAGGTAATTTGAGTATGTACTAACTAGTATTTAACAATATCATTTGTACTCGTTAGTAGTTTTTTATTTATTATTATGTATGTCAATATGGACTGATAATTTGAAATTCATATTGATACAGTTGAAATTTATAGTTTAGGCTTACTACGAACCTCGGGGCCTTAAACTTACCTAGGCTCTAGTGCCGGTCTGGCCCATGGAAACGGGTCGTGACAATAACAAATCAAAATTAAATTACTATTATTTTTCAACCAATAAATTTAAAATTTTTAATAATATTTTTGTCGATGCATACAGGGAGTGTTTTTTACGATCCCAATATTTTTCCTCCCGTTCATACTTTTATTTATATATATTATAAATAGATAGATTATAAATATAGATAGAATTCATGAATCATTTAAAAAATGTATGTAATTTGATTACATATATACCTTTTAACATATCAATTTTCTTTAAAAAAATGGTAAATTAAAAAAAAAATTACAAACATGTTTTGAATTATCAATTATGACTTTTTTTGTTAAAAAAAAAAAAAAAAACTCAATGGCTAGTCTTAATCCGTATTATTTGAATCAAAAGCCAAAACTTTATAAAAAATAAAAGAAAGCATACTCATTCAGAAGTAGCATTAAAACATTTAGCTTTCACTCGATTGACCGTTAAAATAGACTATTTTAGATAAAAAGCCTAATGTGTTAACGGAGTCACTGAGTTAGAGACTTTCATAGTTAATTTTAAGATATGTCAATTAGACAATAATCAAGGGACTAATTCATTATTTTTCCTCAATTTGATGTTTGGACACCGTTGGATTTGATTGTTGCTGACGTGTCAACAATCAAAATTAACTAAATTGTTAATTTCTCATAAGTCACTAACTTTGCTTTTGTCCCGTTTTGCAGAAGCCAAATGACCGCAACGCCATGACCCAACCACCCATTGTATACCCTTCTTTCAAGCTTTCTCCTTTCCAGCTTATCTCTCCCTTCTCCCTCTCCGTCTCTGCAATCCCTAATTTTTTAAGCCAACTAATTTCAGTATGTTATTTAAAATTCAAACTTCAGTTTTACTAAAATTTGTTCAATAGAGTCGAAGAAATGGCCTCTACTTACTATTCATATCCTTTCTTAACTAAGGTTTCTCCAAAATTTTCTCTTCAAAGACACTATCAATGTCGAGTTTCTCAATTCTTGACTATTAAAAGCCCTAAAGGTTGTAATCTTGTTGCTGCAAAGCAAAGTAAAAGCAGAATTGGACAATTTAGGGTGTTAAAATCGGTAGAATTGGACCAGTACGTTACGAGTGATGATGAAGAAGAAATGAGCGAAGGGTTTTTTGAGGCAATTGAGGAATTAGAGAGAATGGCAAGAGAACCCTCTGATATTCTTGAAGAAATGAACGATAGGCTTTCTGCAAGAGAATTACAATTAGTTCTTGTTTATTTCTCTCAAGAGGGTAGGGATTCTTGGTGTGCTCTGGAAGTGTTTGAGTGGCTAAGAAAAGAGAACAAGGTTGATAAGGAGACCATGGAGCTTATGGTTTCTATTATGTGTAGTTGGATTAAGAAGTTGATTGAAGGGGAACATGATACTGGTGATGTGGTTGACTTACTAGTGGATATGGATTGTGTGGGTCTAAAGCCGAGTTTTAGTATGATTGAAAAGGTGATATCTTTGTATTGGGATATGGAGGAAAAAGAGGGAGCTGTTTCATTTGTTGAAGAGGTTTTGAGACGGGGAATTGCTTATACGGAAGATGGAGGACAGAAGGGAGGCCCTACTGGTTATCTTGCATGGAAGATGATGGTAAGCTTCTACATCTTCAAATTTAGTCCTATTGTCCGCTCATCTTTACTGGTTGATTGGGCTGTGTTGCTATTGCAGCTTGTCTTCATGTGTTGGTGTTTTTGACTGCATAATCTATAAAATACTGGGAATTTGTGCCTGGTGTTCTTTTCTGGCAGTTTATCACGTTGCATTACTAAATACATTGGTGGAACTTACTTGGGCTTTGTTGTTAATTTTACTTTACTGTTTATAGTGATTGGAATTTCTCATTGTCTTCTTATAAATATTGTGCAAACATTGAGCAGCAAGTATGGCGTTTACCCTTAATCATATAAAACCTTTTCCAAGTTTTCAAGTGTTACATCAAATTTTCGGTTTCATGGTGTTAAAATTGGTGCCTGTCCTACATCAAATTTTCGGTTTCATGGTGTTAAAATTGGTGCCTGTCCTATTGTCAGTTTTTACTTTTTGCACATTATCTAATTGAAGTTAAATATGTTTAAGGTTTTCTCTTTTCCTGTTTTACGTGAACTCATTAAAGCAGGAATTTCTTATCATGTTAGTGATAACTTGAAGGTTTGTGTTAGGTTGATGGGAACTACACGGATGCAGTTAAATTGGTTATCCATCTTAGAGAATCTGGGTTGAAGCCAGAGGTTTACTCTTATCTTATTGCAATGACTTCATGGTGTTAAAATTGGTGCCTGTCCTATTGTCAGTTTTTACTTTTTGCACATTATCTAATTGAAGTTAAATATGTTTAAGGTTTTCTCTTTTCCTGTTTTACGTGAACTCATTAAAGCAGGAATTTCTTATCATGTTAGTGATAACTTGAAGGTTTGTGTTAGGTTGATGGGAACTACACGGATGCAGTTAAATTGGTTATCCATCTTAGAGAATCTGGGTTGAAGCCAGAGGTTTACTCTTATCTTATTGCAATGACAGCTGTAGTTAAAGAGCTAAATGAATTTGCAAAAGCTTTACGAAAGTTGAAAGGTTATGCAAAATCTGGTTTGATAGTTGAACTTGATGCTGAAAATGTAAGCATCATTGAGGAATATCAGTCGGGCCTTCTAGCAGATGGAGTATGCTTGTCCAATTGGGTAATTCAGGAGGGAGGTACTTCTCTTAATGGTGTAGTTCATGAACGGCTTCTTGCTATGTATATTTGTGCTGGTCGTGGGCCAGATGCTGAAAGGCAGTTGTGGGAAATGAAGCTTGTAGGTAAGGAGGCTGATGGAGATCTTTATGATATTGTTTTAGCCATCTGTGCTTCGCAAAAGGAGACCAGCGCCGTAGCACGTTTACTTACTAGAATAGAGGTTACAAGCTCTTTACAAAAGAAAAAAACATTATCTTGGTTATTGAGAGGTTACATCAAGGGAGGACATTATGAGGAGGCTGCAGAGGCACTTACTAAAATGCTTGATTTGGGTTTATCTCCAGACTATTTGGATAGGGTGGCTGTGCTGCAGGGAGTGAGAAAAAGAATCCAACAATGGGGAAATGTGGAATCTTATCTTAAGCTTTGCAAGCGCCTTTCTGATGCAAATTTGATTGGACCTTCTCTTGTATATCTGTATATAAAGAAATATAAGCTCTGGATCATGAAAATGCTATGAGCGACTCCTACAGCCTTATGAATTTATAGAGCAGGCAGTTATTCAATGGGAGTTTTGAAGTATAAATTTTGTATAGATATGAATGGCATTCCGTACATAAGTCTTTCACGTATATGAATTGGGAATACATGTCTAATTTTTTGTTTTTGAGGTTATATTATCGCTTGTATAGATGGTGGATGTTATAAACATAATAAAGAATTTCACCACTCTGTAACTAATATGTTGCTTATACAGCCACCTACAGGTATGTTCTCTTATCTCTATTCTTCTATTTCTCATTCTATTATTGTCTTGCACTCCTAGAGATTGTGTTACATAAATCTGCTGCTTCTAACATTAATCAACTCCAATTCTAATTAGATTGATCTTACATAATAATTATATATTTAGAAGAAAGTAAATTAAGTCATTTGGGTTTGATTACTGATGTCGATTTTTTGGATGATGAAGAACAACAACAACTAAATCTTAATCTCAAACTGGTTGAGATGATGAAGAAGCTATGTTAAATTGCTAATGTCCTTGTTAGACATCTATTTATCAATTTTTGTATGCATACCTATGCTTTATTTGCATCTTTTATAAAACTTTGAGGTATGGGGGTTACGCTCAAGTTCTTCATCCTCCATCATGGAGAGAACTTCCATTACTATTTTTAGAGTTGGAATTGGAGGACTATTGCCTTTTTTATGGCCTCATACCTTTTTTTTATATAATGAACTCTATTGCAACTCACTGGAAACCAATGGATTGCCAATTTTAGTGGCAATTAGTTGGAAACAATAGCAGCATTCATAGTCTATGTCAGGATGATGTGTCCCCTATGTATGCATGTTTTTAACATATTGTAATGGACAGTTTGTGGGCCATTTGATATGTAATTGCACATGCGAATGATTTTCTGACTCTTAACATGATTTGCTAATATTTGACTTCAATATTTCGTTGTCCATCTCTGCATGTTTGAAAGGTTTTCAATTATTGTGTTCTGGCTATAAGAGAGAGAGAGAGAGAGAGAGAGAGAGTATTTGGTTTCTTGTATTATTGAATTTTTTGGTCTTGTCCTCTGATTAAGTTTCCCCTTACAGTGTTCTTATCATTTCTTAGTTTTATCAATAACTAAGATGGTTTGTACTTTCTGAACCTTCACTGAAAACATGGAAAACATAACTTGGCAACTTTTTAGGTTAAGGAGATTTCACCAAAAAAAAATATATATATATATATCTTTAGATGAAGGAGAAACGTTTGTGTGGTCTACAGTTTTTTGTGTATAAGGAGCATAGTTGCTGAGGTTGAAACCATTCTATTTCTTGTAATCTTCATTTTTACACAGTGAAATCTAGCTCTCTTTGCTCGCTGATGTAGATCCATTGATTGAATTTTCTGTTTCTTTTATTTTTCTTTGTTTCTCTTTAGTCAAAACAGCTAACTAATAAAGATTAAAAAAAAGAAAAATACTTTGCAAGAAGAGGAATTCAATGGACGGAAAAGACACTTACTAGAAAGAACAATCACGACGAATTCTATCTGTGAAAAAATCACTTATAATAAAAATAAATAACTATAAATTCTGAAATGAAATTAGTGTCGTCCACAACTCAAAAAATATATGCACCATGTCATAAAATTTTATATCCATTTAGTCAATAAAATTATGGATAATTTTGATTAATTATAGAAATAATAATATCATCAAACAGTACAATGTTCATCTAAGTCTCTCTCTCTCTCTCTCAAATAAGATGCATATGATCACTGATTGAGAACAGGTTCTAGGTTGTATCAGATTTCTCACATGAGGTCTTGCTGGTAACAGTTGTAGTGTCTGTATATATGTTCTTTTTTGGGCTTGGCATATATATATATATATTCTGCCTTATCATTGTTGTTTTCTTTTTTTTTTTTTTTTTTTTTTTTTTTGGTCTTGCTTGGAACAGTTGTAGTCTGTATATATGTTCCTTTTTGGGTGGGTCACTTACATTATATAACTATATATGTCTGCCATTTATCATTTGTTGTTCTTAATTTTTTCTTTTTTTTTTTTTTTATTTGCTAGTTACCAACTTCGATAATATTCGCTCCCAATCCTCTCAACTTTGGATACTCTATTTAATTCATTACTCATTATTCAATCATTTTATAAATCTTCATGGTGAAGACCAAAGAGCACCCAATATGTAATTTAAGTAAATAATTACGTATTTTTTTTTTTTTTTTTTTTTTTTTTTTTATTTGCATTACCAACTTGATAATATTCCTCCAATCCTCCAACTTTGGATACTTTATTATTATTATTATTATTCAATCACTGTTATAAACTCATGGTGGAAGAAAGAGCACCCAAATGTAATTTAATTAATAATTACTTAGATCTTATGTTATAGCTTACCATTAATATTTGTTATTGGTAAATAAGGCCATAAATAAATTTTTATAGATTAGTATACTTTGTCAAAAATTTTCATATTTTTATTAAAGGGTGTATCCTTAAATCACCAATTGCCTCGTTGATTTTAAAATAAGAAAATTAATTTTTTTATTATTTTTGGTAAAAAAATATAAAAATTTACCCACAAATAAGAATATAATACTAATTTTGGCTGAAGATTTAATTAAACATTTAAAAAAATATATATGAGATCTCAATTAATCCTTATTTCTAATAGTAATACATCCGTTCTTTTATGCTAATCACAATACTCAATCATTAAATTATTAATGTTTAACATATAGCAAAATAAGATGCAATTCTCTCCTTGTTATATGCTAAGTTTGTAGGACCAAATGTGATTTAGACACTTCAACCACAAATCAAAGTGATCTTAAAAAATAAGATCCTAATTGCTAATCTACTCTATGATATAGTCTATTGAATTTTACGTCATCAATTATATAACACTTCCTCCGTCCCATTTTGTTTGTATGGTTTGACAAAACACGCATATTAAAAATTTAGTTAATAAAAATTATTTGGTCAATTTTTACCGTTAATTCATTAAAATATTAATAAAAGTCCTTTATTATCCTTTCAAAAAAAAAAGTCTTTCATTTAATGAACAATTATCAAGATTATTATGAGAAAAATAATTCTTTACATATATAAATCTAGAAAATTTGCGAACATTTTAGAACATCTAAAAAAGAAATAACAAAAAAACAGAATGGGACGGGCTTAGTATCAAATAATAGCCTATACCAAATTTTACCTACGGTTCATAATACAAAATTGTTATTGTTGAAAAAATTTTACTTAAATATTATTCATCCAAATGTAACGTAAAACTCACTGTATAAATTTAACAAACAAATAGATAAATAAACAATAGCTTATAGTAATATATTAACATTATTCTAAATAAACATGTTAAAGTATAATCTAGTGGTAAGTGCATATATCATCCGTAATAGATTCGAGTTTGAATCCTCCCCTCAATATTAAAAAATATATATATATATTATTCTAAACAAGTTTGCCTAAGATGTGGATCAGTTTGGTATTTGATGAGACCCATCAACTTATTTTATTAGATTTACTATCCAACTTTGCTTAATATGCAATTTAGATGATACTTTTAATTAGATATGAGATTAAACCCTGATGATGAATATTGACCAAAAAAAAAAAAAAAAAAAAGGATGATATATTGACCCAAAAAAAAAAAAAAAAAAAGCAAAACTTTTCAATTCTTTTCTTTCTTTTTTTTTTTCATTATTTCTCTGCCACTTTCCCAAATGCCACAATTAAAAAAAAAAAAAAAAAAAAGCAAACTTTTCAATTCTTTTCTTCTTTTTTTTTTTCATTATTGTCTCTGCCACTTCCCAATCCACAATTATAAGTAACCTTTATATGTCTTCATATTCATTGAGTTTTTATACTATTTTGTTTTAATTTTACTTTCTTGAGTTCAATTAAAAATTAAAAATAAATATTCACATAATAAGAACATTTAGAAATAGATGAAGGATGAAAGAAATCTTAATTTCTTTATTTTTGGCTTTTTTTATATATTTTTTATTAAATTTCCTCATCCAACACTTTCTTGGAATTTTTTTTTTTAATTTAAAAGAAACCCAGTTGACAATAAATTAGTAATTATTTAGGGCAATCCTTTACTTTTATTACAACTAATCCAAAATTAGCGAGTATAATAAAAGATTAAGAACTCAAAACGCAAGAATTCAGTTGTCACACCAAAGACATTAGGAGATAAGCTCCATCTTCTAGTATAACTATTCAACCAGTTAAAGAGCCATCTGATGATGTGGCCAAAGTGGAGGGGTTGGGTGTTGGGTATTGTGGAGATGGTGGTGAACTGAAAAAAACAAGCTTTGCATAGGGGTCAGCTACCAAATCAACCAAAACTTTCCGGTCACCAAAACTGCCAAACTCTACAATAAGGAGGTCTGTGTTTACTGTAAAGTATCTGAATTTATTCTATGAAGAAAACAGATGATAAAAAAAGATTCAAACGCTATATTAGCTTTCTTTCTTTTTCTTGAGAACCAAACATTATATTCAGTCTATGTATGGCCTCTTTCTCTTTTTCCTCTTCCTTTCTTAGGAACCTGTTTGCAGTTTGCAGGCAAGGCAAGAGGTAAAGGATCTTTACTTTGAATTCTTTTTCTTCTTTTTTTTTTTGAAGAAAAAGTTCAGACATTTCTATATATATGACTTTCTTGAATATGATTTCCTAGCTTTGTATTCATCTTCAAAGAGGAAAAAAAATGCGAGGCCTTAAATTCTTAGATAGATTTAAAAGCTCCCAAGTCCACGCCTTAAGCCCTTCTGATGTCAAACCCAAACTTCCAAAATCCAAATTCACGAACTCTGTCTCAGTTTCTCAGTCTCTGCTTTCTTATGGGCTTCCTACAACTGACCTCCTTGAACCCTCCATAGACCCTCACTTAAAATCCATATACTATGTTGAATCTCTAGCTGAACTTTATTGTCGCGTCGACACTTGCTTGCCATCTGATAAATCTTTATTATGCGTTGAACAATATACTTTGTTGCGTGGCTTGGGTGATCCTAAGCTGTTGAGAAGGTGTCTTTGTGCTGCAAGGCAATATGCTATTGGTGTGCACTCGAAGGTGGTGCTTTCTGCTTGGTTGAGATTTGAGAGGAGAGAAGATGAATTTGTTGGTGTGTCATCTATGGATTGTAGTGGCTATGTCCTTGAATGTCCTAATGCTGCTTTAGTTTCTGGTTATGATCCTAATTCAGTTTATAGTCATTGCCAAGGTAGTCAAGATTGTCATCTACTGGTTAATTCTCAAATCTTGATTGGAAATGATTGCCCCAGCTTGGATGACGGTGATGTTTCATTTTGTATCAATGATCAGTTGGTTCATTGTGTTAGATTCAAAATTGCTGCTCTTTCTAACCCATTAAAGGCAATGCTATATGGTAGTTTTGCAGAATCAAGAAAGGATAATATTGATTTTTCAAAGAATGGAATATCAGTAGAGGGAATGAGAGCTGTGGAAGTGTACAGTAGGACTAGAAGAGTTGATTTGTTTCGTGCTGAGATTGTTTTGGAGTTGCTTTCTTTTGCAAATAGATTTTGCTGTGAGGAGATGAAGTCTAGTTGTGATGTTCATTTGGCTTCATTAGTATTTGATATTGAGGATGCGTTGATTCTTATTGACTATGGTTTAGAAGAAAGTGCAAATCTTCTTGTGGCTTCTTGCTTGCAAGTTTTGCTCAGAGAGCTACCAAGTTCCTTGTATAATCATAGAGTGATGAAGGTTTTCTGTAGCTCTGAGACTCGGGAAAGATGGGCTATGCTTGGGCATGCTTCATTCTTGCTGTATTATTTCCTGAGCCAGGTTGCTATGGAGGAGAATATGGTATCGAGCGCAACTGTCATGTTATTGGATAGGTTGCAGGAATTTGCAACAGAAAAGTGGCAGAGAGCACTTGCTTTTCATCAACTGGGTTGTGTTTTGCTTGAGAGAAAAGAGTACAAGGATGCACAGTTTTGTTTTGAGGCAGCCGTTCAGGAAGGTCATGTTTATTCAGTAGCTGGTGTTGCAAGGACAAAGTACAAGCAAGGGCAGCAGTATTCAGCTTTTAGGTTGATAAACTCCATTATTTTTGAGTATAAACCTGTTGGCTGGATGTACCAAGAAAGATCTTTATATGGTGTCGGACGGGAGAAGACTATTGATTTAAATACTGCAACTGAACTGGATCCAACCCTTCCTTTTCCATATAAATACAGAGCTGTCATGAAGGTGGAAGAGAAGCAGATTAAGCAAGCTATCTCAGAGGTTGGTAAAATTATTTCATTCAAGCTCTCACCTGATGTCCTTGAATTGCGGGCTTGGTTCTTCATAGCACTTGAGGATTATGAAAGTGCATTGAGAGATATTCGAGCATTGCTAACTTTGGAGCCTAATTATATGATGTTTCATGGAAAGGTAAGTGGTGATCACTTAGTAGAACTTCTCAACCATAGAGTTCAACAGTGGAGTCTGGCTGATTGCTGGATGCAACTTTATGAACGATGGTCTTGTGTTGATGATATTGGCTCTTTAGCTGTCATACATCAAATGCTGATACACGATCCAGGGAAGAGCCTATTAAGGTTTCGACAATCTTTACTTCTTCTCCGGTAAGTTGTTGTAACTTGCAGCTATAACATTGGGTAGTAACTACTATTCAATTGACTTCTGATTAGCTCATGTCATGTCACATTATTCATGTTTTTGGAAATGAGGTCTGAATGTTTTTTAAAATCCATCCCCTACATTTTGTTTTTTTGTGCGTACAACTAGGTCTTTCTTTCATAATAATTAGTTGCATAAGAGTTCCACTTCCATCTATGATAAGCTCTTCATTTGGGCCTTCCTTTCACTAAATTAAGGGCTTTTCTTTCTTTCTTTCTTTCTTTTCTTTTGGTGATGGGGTTTTTGGTACATCCTGTACTAATTTCACAAATTGGTAATACAGTTTTGCTCTTTGCTATTTTGAACAACCAAGCGTAGTCTATATGATGTAGTGAATTCTGCTCTGTCTTCTGTATCTAGTGTTGAACTTAATATGTTCGGTAACATGAAGTATACAACATATCTCATTGTAATAGGTTAAATTGTCAGAAGGCAGCAATGCGCTGTTTGCGGTTGGCTAGAAATTATTGTAGTTCTGAGCATGAAAGACTGGTTTATGAAGGATGGATTTTATATGACACTGGCCATCGTGAAGAAGCTCTCGCTAGGGCTGAAAAGTCCATTTTGATCCAAAGATCATTTGAAGCTTTCTTCCTTAAAGCATATATATTGGCTGATACAAATCTTGGTCCTGAAACATCACCTTATGTCATACAACTGCTCGGTGAAGCTCTCCGATGCCCCTCAGATGGTCTTAGGAAAGGACAAGTTAGTAGAATTAATTTTGGGATCTTTATAATATTGTCTATTTCTTGATCTACTCTTGTTTATGCACATTGATAATTTTGCAGGCATTGAATAATTTAGGAAGTATCTATGTGGATTGTGGTAAGCTGGATCAGGCTGCAGATTGCTACATGAATGCCCTTAAAATTAAGCACACTAGAGCTCATCAAGGGTTGGCACGTGTTTATCAATTGAAAAATCGAAGAAAAGCTGCATTTGATGAGATGACAAAACTAATAGAGAAGGCACAAAATAATGCATCAGCGTATGAGAAACGGTCAGAATATTGTGACAGAGAGACGGCAAAGAATGACCTTAATATGGCAACACAGCTGGATCCATTAAGAACATACCCATATAGATACAGGGCAGCTGGTAAATCCTCATTTCTCTCTCCCTCTCTCTCTCTCTCTCTCTCTCTCTCTCTCTCTCTCTCTCTCTCTCTCTCTTTGGTAAAATCCTCATTTCTCTCTTCCCTCTCCTCTCTCCTCTCTCTCTCTCTCTTCTCTCTCTCTCTCTCTCTCTCTTCTCTACCTCTTCTCTCTCTCTCTCTCTCTCTCTCTCTCTCTCTCTCTCTCTCTCTCTCTCTACCTCTTGGGTTCATCATCCCCTTGGTGCATGTGGCATACTTTTCACTTACATGACTTTCCATATGAATATTGAGCTCTCTCTGGTTGTAGGTAGTCCATCTTAATTAGATTACATTGTTAAAAAGCTGTATCTTCATGTGGTCATATGTGTCTCTTGGTCATTTCATTGTCATCAATTTCTAATTATCAGCAACGTACTAAAGACTGCTACTCCTGACTTATTCTAGAAAGACACAAGAGTGTACCTTACGAAATTTGACAGTAAACCACTTCATCTAAATGCCACCCCACGTACATCAGCTAACTGTTAGGTTCAGAAGTTGAAAGAGAACAACTTGCCCCTTGCCTGCTTTTCTTAAAATGGTTTACGTTTTCCTATTTACTGGTCTGAAAATTTAGTGCGACTACTTATGGCTAAATGCACAAGTAAAGTTACTCTTGTTCCGAGTATCAATTTCCAATTTATAGAATGACTTGTTTTTGGCTCAACAGTTTTATTTTCCTTTTATGTTCTCAACTGTGCGTGCTTCACTTGTTATGTATAAGAAAGACTAGCAAATACAAACTGATATTTGAAGCATGCCTTCCATACAAGCAATTAAACAGGGATGAAAGATCCTGAATTCCTGATTCCAGGTCCCATTTGCATTGTTATCTCTATATGCCACTAGATAACAGAATAATCCTTAAATGTGAATCTGGTTTGTGCAAGTGCATATATGAATATACACACTATAATCAAAATTTTTTAGGCAAAGGAATGGAGTGGAGAGTGAGATGAGGTGACAGGAGGTAAACTGCAATAATACTGTATAATTCATGCCTCTGTTATACAAAGAGAAAAAGATTCTTCATATATTTGGTCTCCATCTATGTTCTCTAAACCAATGCCGAAGTCATTTGGCGATTAGTTTTCACAATTACTGTCAATGTGATTCTATTGGCTTCATTTTCGTTTCCTTGCTCAAACATTCTCATTACCTGTGAAATCTAAACTTCTTCTAACATATAGAATTTCATTTTTTCCAGTGCTAATGGATGACCAAAAAGAAACTGAAGCGTTGGAAGAGCTTACAATAGCCATCGCTTTTAAACCTGAATTACAAATGCTTCATCTTCGAGCAGCGTTTTATGAGTCAATGGGGGATCTTCCCTCTGCTCGTCAAGATTGTGAAGCAGCTCTTTGCTTAGACCCAAACCACACAGACACTCTCGATCTGTACAATAAAACCCAGAACCGAGCAGTGCATCATTGAAGCATTTGAGTCATCTATTATGCAAGTGATAAAGTCCATACTTGACTATTAGTTTTGAGGGGGAAGTCAAGAATTTCCATGCCGTCCATTTTTATTTGGTCCTAAACAGCATCCATCAGAAAAGTTGCCCCAGCAAGTGGGTAAAAAATGGGCGAAGAAGGACAGGCAATGAATTGATAAGTACATACCGCACCATGAAATTGATGACAGTTCGAAAAGGATCCTATGAACAAACCCTGGACTGTTTCCCTGGAAGTTGTGTATAGGTAATGTCTGCATGAAAATAGCAGCATCAAATTAAGTTCCAAAGGTTAAAGTTTTCAGTGACTTGTCATTGATTCCAAAGAACAGTATAGGTTTCACCCCTTGTTTCTCACTAGAAGCAATTTGTCTTCTTACGTTTCTTTTATTTAAAAAAAAAAAAATTTCTCAGAGTTCATCTTGTACAGAAACAAACTCAGAAAATGATCTGAATCTTCCTTATCATAATTGCAGATTGCCAGAAGTGATGATGTAGACAAGAAAAGAAAAGAAAAACCTTTTAATTTTATTGCTTTCCTTTCATTTTCCCTGTGCTTAGTTTGCTTTGTCACTTTTTTATATTTGCACTCTGCTTGTCTCGGGTCATGATGGAACTACTTACTGCTCAATCAGTGTTAAGCACAATCATTCGTAACATGTGACGAAGGTAAGTAGGTACAAGACCAGACGGCACTAGTACCATTTCCAGAATTATGGACTTGAAAGAATCACAACTTAAAAACTAACCCTTGAGGTTAGAGAGTCCAATTCCATATTAACATTACAATATCTTTGTATTTGATACATATAGGACATCCCTGTCCCACACACTTTAACGGTATTGGGAAAACTCAGATTTATTCAGTCTTGGAAGGACTCAAGTGGTCTCCTCCTTTCAGTTATGTACAAGGGTTTTTTTTTTTTTTTTTTTTTTTTTTTTGCTACTGATCAAATATAAGCGTCTCTACCCCTTGGTTTTTTTTTTTTTTTTTTTTTGTGCTACTGATCAAATATAAGCAGTCTCTACCCCCAAAAGTCATTGCTCTTACATATTACAACAAGATTAGAAGGGGAAAAAGTAATTGAAGGTCAAGAAAAAAAAAATTCAATTAATACTTCAGACTGAAGTTTCACCTCTCAAGTTTCTTCTGTAGACATAATTTCAAGTTCTGCCCACCAAAGTGGAGATAACTTTGGTGTTGCTCCATCAGGTTCCATTGTTGTGATCTCCTTTAACTTGGTTACCACCTCCCTCATTGTAGATCTCGGTTTCACATCAGGGTGGATGCAATTCTTTATCACTGAACCCAATTTCTCAAGCTCGTCTTCTTTGAAATATTTTAGAGTTGGATCTACTATCCCTCCTAAGCTTTTCTGTTCTGTCAAGAAGTCTGATATACAATCTGCATATGGAATCCTGCCAGTGATCATTTCGTACAAAATTAGCCCAAAGCTGTAAACATTGCTCTCTGAGTCTATTGATGGTGGTTTCGTAGGTTCCATAACTGCCATCTTTCTAGTTATATCATTCCAGTAGCTAAAATCTGATATTTTGGCAGCATAATCTTCAGTAAGGTATATAGATGACGACTGCAGGTTTTCGTGGATTATGGGTGGAGTTAGCTGGTGCATGTAATCAAGGCAATATGCCACGCCCATGGCTATTCTTAATCTCATTCCCCAATCCAAGTGTTCTGCTTCTTTTACTGCAAGAATAAAATATTCAACATTTCTACAATATTTAATCATTGGAACTTGTGCTTACCGTTTTGAGAATTGAAAGATCAGATACTCACTATGCAGATGTTCAAAAAGAGTTCCATTTGGAGCATACTCAAAAACCATCATTCTTGTGAAAGGCTCATCCTCTTCGCAATATCCAATAAGGTTTATAAAATTTTTGTGGTTCATTTTTGATAATGTGTCAACCTGAAAGTATAGCAGAAAGTGGCTTTTAGGTACTCGAAATAGAGGATATGGAATTTGGAAGTTATAATTTACAATTACCTTCTTTCTGAATTGTGCTTCTAAATTTTTTGACCACTCTTTACGGGATATGACTGCAGTAGATGTCACAGCTATTTCAACTCCACTTGATAGAGTACCTTTATACACAGTGCCATTTGAAAAGAAGCCAATTATGTTGCTAAAATCTTCACAAGCAGCTTCAAGTTCTGATCGTTTGAGCTTTGGTACACCTGAAATTAAGGGCACACCATGCAAGAAATAAGCAATCAAACAATTTTATGAATGTTTCCATGCTATCTTATAAAGAATCACCTGTTATAAAAGCTTTTTGTAGCTGTCCGCTTAACCCTGTGGCCCAAGGTCTAACTGTGACCACTTTGTTGCTTCTATAGATGATTGCACCAGCAACTGAAATGAAAAGCAACAAACAACCACCAATAACACCGGCTATTAGAATTATTTGATGCCTAGAGCTGAAATCATTATCTTCCGCCTGATTTGGACTTGAGGCAGGAGTTAGTTTAATCCCATGGTGTTCTGGTGGGGCAAAGACTACAACTGATAGAGGTGAAGGAGTAGGTGCAGCTTCATTTGGTGCTTCCATGGGCGAGGGTGAAGGAGGTAAGAAGAAACTTGAGGGGGATTCTGCTGGAGAAAATGAAGGAGTTGGTGATAATAATGTTGGATCAGATGGCGACAATGATGGTGCTGATGAAGGAGATTCTGATGGCGGAAATGATGGAGGCAATAAAAACACAGAACTACTCCGATGTACTCTATGTTTATTGTTGGCTTTGGGTGGAGTTGCAAAATTAGACACCTGCAGCAGCATCCGGTGTGCTACATCTCCAGGTTGAGCCATGTCCCTGATAACAATAGAAGGCCTTGTCACAAAATAACATAAAAAAGGAATACATACTGACAGTTCACCATGCTTTAATGAACCAACTGACATTTTTAATAACATTAATTTTTCTGTACAGTATCTCAAACACGATATCAAACAGAAGATTCACTTTTCTTACAAGGTAAAATCTTTACAAGAAGCTCTTAGCTGGTTTTCATCTGCCTGAATTTCAGAAAGCATATGAAGTTCATAAAGTTCCGGAGGTATGCTTCCAAGGAACTTGTTATTGTCAAATAAGCTGGCAATAATAAGAATCAGAAGCCGATTTAGAAAAGAATTCCATGCTTTAGATTGAAGATTTAGGGAGGAAAAAGAAAATCTTACAGGGTAGTTAGTGACAAATTATTGGCAAAGTCGGATGGAAATGGTCCACTGAAGTTATTATATCCTAAATCCAATACCTCCAGCTCCTTCAATTCTCCAATCTCCTTAGGTATATTTCCAAAGAATGAATTGTTGCGTAAAATACTGTTAAACAAAATGCATATAAGATAAATCCCACGTATCAAAAGGATTTTCAAAAAACAAAAATTGCATTAACCCATTGTTTGCTATAAAGATATCTGAAACATAATTGATTTGTAAATGATTGTGTTTAATTTGCTTACGCTAAAACGGTAAAACCCATACAATTAAATTCTCTAAAGTGGAATGAACATTTTTCAATTGCAACAAAAACATGAAATTTTTATGGAATTTGTTTATGCCAAACCAGACATAAAGCTTTTGCTTACATAGATTTTAAGCCAGTCAGCCTCCCAAGTTCAGGTGCCAGAGTTCCTTCAAGACACAGATCTCTCAAATGCCTACAAGTTCAAGTTCAATAGTTCAGACTTCACGAAACAAACTGATTCTGATACATAAAAAAATGATATAATAAGCCATAATCAGATCCAGAAATATACTTCAAAAACTGGGTAAAAGAATCACATGAAAAAACAGTTGCAAGGGCAATATAACTGACAAGAAATGCAAATAGCCCCACATTATTTTGAACTATAAAGCATCAGAACATCACACATACAGCATTAAATACTAAATAGTATCTGATCACATATAGATTTTGGCACAGAGGTGAGTAAAGTATCACATATATAAACTTTAAAGTTTTTTTGACCAAAAAAAAAAAAAAACATTTAAGAAAATAACATATACTTAGTTATGATTTCTAAGTTTATTTTTCATTTGGTTTAATCAACATATATATTCATAAAAAAAAAAAAAAAAAAAAAAAAAAAAAAAAATAAGTTTATTTTTCATTTGGGTTAATCAAACATATATTTCATAAAAAAAAAAAAAAAAAAAAAAAAAAAAAAAAAAAAAAAAAAAAAAAAAATCCCCAGGTTGAAGTACTAAAAACTGTTAAACTAGTAGAAACTAAATAAAGATTTACAAAAAATTATTATGCACAAATACTTAAAAGACCACTCACAAGATGACCACTTTTCCATCAGAGCATTCAACCCCAAACCACAAACACGGATCAGTTTCTCCACCTTTCTCATTCCAATCTGATAAGGCACCAAAAGGGTCTCTCTTCACTCTCTCTCGAAATCTCAACAGTGCCAAACCTACACATTACACCAAAATAATCATTCTGTTATACACTTTACCGTTGAAAAAAGAAAACAAAAAGTAGTACAGAGCTTTTATATATTAGTATCTTTGCGTGTAATTTTGTCGGGTAGGTTTGGCTAACTGTTTCGATCGCATTTCCGATAATAGTAAGAGAGAGAGAAGACTCACGTGAGTATATGCCTGTTAATTAATGTAATTAAGATAGTGGATATATAGTAGAGTGAACTACTACTATTAGTGTTTACCCTCTACGTCTGGAAAGAGGACCCAGCAAAAGTTGACATTTTGATGAATATATAGGTTTACCCTCTACGTTGAGAGACCAGCAAAAGTTGACATTTTGATGAAACAATAAAAACACAAGAATTAACAATGCCATCCGGAGCTTGACCCGATTCAATATCGACCGCCCGTCCATTCCTGTTTATATATTTGCAAGATGATGATCAAAATACTTTCTTTGTTGTTGGTAATATTAACTTATCAACCTCACTCACACGAGATAACATAGATACAGAAAATGGAATATAAACTGAGATACAGAAGAAGAAGATAAAGAAATTAAAAAATCGGTGCTCATCCTTCAAACTTCAAAGTGCAAGCTAATTTACAGAAAAGAGAAGAAAGCGCGTGCATGTCGACGGTGATTGTCTTAAATTGAAATACGAAAGGAAGCTGGAAGGAAATCCGAAACCTTTCCAGTGCAAAAGAGCCGAAATCTCGGCTGTTTAGCTGCTGTAGGAAAACAGAGCAGAAATGTTTCGGGCGGCGAGTGGTAACGTTGTATATTTGTTTGTCTTAGAGCGTACAGATTGACTCTGTCGCCCCGCCTTCATTGATTTATAAAGCGCCGTCCTACAGTTGCCACATGCTACTCATATGACTATTATAATAATAATAATAATAATAGGAAGAAATTTATTAATTAAAAAGGAAAATTTGAGAAAATACTCTTTGTGAGAAAATTCCTATAAAAGTACAGTCACTTTAAGAACGTTCTATATAAGAATATTTCAATTATAAGGATAAATATGGTTAAAAAAATAAAATTAGTTTCTAAATTATAGTCAATTAATAAATGAAGACCTCTATTTTTTAAAATTAACTATGACGTTTTTAACTTTGATTTATTTAAAACTTTGATCATTTCCTTTAAAATAGCCACATTTAACCATCAGTTGGTTGAGAAATTGATCTCTAAATTATAATGAAATTAATTATAAAGTCTTTAACTTATGATTTCCGTTAATTCTTTGATCCTTCTGTTCAAATTATATTAATACTTTACTCTATTTGTTTTGGATAAAAAGTTTAAAGTGCTAACGAAATTATAATTTAAAAACCTCATACTTAATTTTTGAAAAATAAAGATCTTCATGTGTTAATTTAACTATAATTTAGATAATAATTTATTTTTTCCCTAAAAAATTAATAATATATCTAAATCTAACGTCAACAATTTATGCTCTCTTTAATGATATTATTGGCACCATCACATTGTAATGAGAAATAACTAATTTGCACATCAAATACAAGTTTATCCTCATTCAATAAACATAATGGATCAAGGTGGGATGTGATTTTTCAAGTTCGAGGAAGCTCGAGTACATATATATATGTATATACTTTAAAAAAAAAATCAATTTCTATTATAATGCGTAAAGATTTTTTTCCCATTAAACAAATAAACTTTTAAAAAATCGAGATTGCTTATTCTCAATTAAACAAATAAACTTTTAAGAAATCGAGATTACTTATCATTTCAATTAATATATTATCAATAGCTCGATTATATGTATATATAATATGATTATTTGACAATTGTGATTAGTTTGTTTAGGCAGCTAATATATGTGCAGGCTGAAGCCGGAACTAATAATATAATCGTAGCTTGTAGGTTGGACCTGCTCAATTCGCAAATGCAATTACAAGGACAGTTGAATCTGCCCCCCTCGTTACCGGGTCAATGAAAGTTGATGAAACATATCTATATCTATATCTATATATATATCTATAAATTAAGATATAATATATATATAGATATATATATATTAGTGTAAATCAGCATGGCTTAGCTAGGGACCAGCATTAAGATGTTTTAGGGTTTTGATTGCAGTGGAAGCAGTGGGTTTAATATAGAAAGAAAGGGAGAGTACAGTGCAAGAAAACTACCTGAATTAATTAATAAAAGAGAATTATATTAGTGTAGAGAAGATGAAAATCGACAGAAGCTACCATTAGATTACCTTGCAAGATAATTAAACAGTGGGGTTGGGTTAGGTTGGGGAGAGTTATGATTCTGAAAGTGATGTATAGTCTTCTTGATTATGATTTTCAGGTGCAGGGCCATATTGTGTATCGAGACGTTTGTAATAAAATTTAATGAATGCATATTGTAATTACTTGACAAAAATAATTAAATTATTTTAATTATTATAAAAAAAATTGTAAAACATAATCTTGAAATCCTCCAATGCACATGCGTTTTTTAGTAGTTACGGAGGAAATCTTTCGACTCCCATTTAACGGTTAAAAAAAAAAAAAAAAGAATCTATTGGATCTAATTGAACTAATTAAAAAAGTTTAAAGACTAATTTGGTAATTAAGCCAAATAATAATGCTAATATAAAAAGGTTATATAGTAATTGAGATAAAAAAATATATATGTATTAGTTATCTTTTCATTGTTTTGGGGCGACACGATAGGAATTATTAATCATTAGCTAGCAAACTTCACACTCCACAGCGACATCGTCTCTGCTCTGGAAGAGGTGCTATCTAGTGTTACTTTCTTTTCCTTGGTTTCTATAACCTTATTTCACCGAATTAATTAATTACATGTTTTGTATTATATATATATTGAATGGCAATCATATGTGATTCGATTGATTTTCTCACTAGTGCGAGAAACAAAATATCTTGAATTCGAATCATTTCGACTACAAGAGTTTTAACTATATATGCATAGAATTAGAATCATTTCGCTGGCGATAATAATAATAATAATAATAATCCTTTTTAATATGTTTTCTTGTGTGAAGAGATTCGACTATTATCAAAATAACAGAAATTATCCATTTTCAAGTAATAATATGGATTATCCATTACATCATTTTATCAATAGTCAAAATTAAATTTAATAAAACAATTTGTTAGTAACAGTGAGAAACATTACACCATCATTATTATTTTATTAAACTCCCACATTAAACTGATAATATTTTTTTTTCCATTATTTTTTTAAAGGAATTTTTTCTAAGACTCCGTTTATTTTTAAAAAATAACTTAATTTAGAAAATATTTTTCAAATGACTTATTTTCTGTTGTTTAGTTGGAATTTAAACATTAGTTAAAAATATTAAAATTTTTAACTCATAAAGTCATAATAATATAAATTTCGTATTTTAAAAATTTTATATGCACCAATACCTAGCCAAACTTCAGATAATAGTCAATGCAAAGTTTTAGTTTTCTTGTAGTTTTAAATTTGAAGATTCATACAGAAATGGTATTTTTCCTATAAAACATATCATCAATAAACAAAGATATCTTGGCTTCCATTGTAACTAGGACATATGGCTGATTAGGAGATCGGATTTGAATGGGAAAAATATTAAATTTTTTCAAAGTTATGCGTCTGACTTGTTTTTTTCTCCATAAATTAAATTTTCATGAGTATCGAGGCTTGTTTAATATTAATATTAAATTTTCAAAGTATTAATATTTGCATTTAATACTTCGTCCCCTTAAATTTAAATCCTGTCTTAGCCCTGCACAAAGAAACCCTTATCCAAAAAAAATGACAATACATCCTCCTGAAAGCAACAAGAAAATGTTGTACGACCTATTCAACATACATGCCCATTTTTTCACTGCCCACTCAGGTTCCCATTCTTCATAGAAAAGCTTCCAAGAAGTTGCTTACTTTCCTCAGCATAGTGGAAGGGGTCTTTTTATACTCCAGCAGACATTCCATTTGGAAGCTATATAATTCTCTTTTGCTTTTATATTACTAAAATTAGCATCTTTTTAGATTCAGGAAACTACAATTCATGCTTTCATTGTTAAATCTTGATGTATGGTAATTAAAAACTCAAGATTTTATAATGTTATGAGATTGAGGTTTATGCTTTCTCAACGTTCTTCTCTCTCATGTCAAAGAATAATACATCATGAAAAAAAAAATTTTCTTTGGTTATTTAATTGCTTAAATCAGAAAAACAGATTATCACATGATGTGAAAATTACAATAAATTATTTCTGTCCATTTTCTGAACCTGTTTTCCTATATACAACCTTTTACCGTAGAAAAAACAACAATCAAAAACAGAAAACAGAAGTAATAACAGATAGGCCTGGCCTGTGGCTTTGCTGCTGTTTCAGGGGTTTTTCAAATTCAGTGGCTATTAGATATAGTTATATGAGAGCCAAAGGTTCCAAAAATTCTACCAAATGTAAAGTTCAACACACAAGCATCAACTACAAAATCCCAAGACTAGTTTTTCATTATTTTGTATAGTTAAATTTAAAGACCTTCATTTGGAGCCTTGGGAAAAAAAAAAAAGATATATAAGGAAACATGAAAGGGCCAAAAATGTGAACCATAGGAATATCATAACAAATAACTGATTGAGAATTAGAACAACCATACCCTACATGCGAAGCAATAAAAAAAGTTGATATCTCGTCCATGGTAGCAGATATGGCTCCAAAGTTACAACACTCTATGGATGTTCAAAGTGACAATATCTTCACCAGTAAAATTCCCAAAAGAGAAATAGTGTCACTTAATACATACAATGGATGTTCAAAGTGACAATATCTTCACCAGTAAAATTCCCAAAAGAGAAATAGTGTCACTTAATACATACAATGGATGTTCAAAGTGACAATATCTTCAATACATACAATGGCATTGTTTCAAGTAGCACCACTTCGTCACCAAGTAATCTCAACATAAGCCAAACTGCCATCCTTTGTTCAAAGTGACAATATCTTCACCAGTAATCTCCACAAGAGCAACTGCCATCCTTGAAATGATGAAATCTTTTGTTATCCCTAACAATCAATTCCCTTCCAACAATCCTAGACATTATCTTGATAGCGTTGTGACAATCACCACACACCCGGAGGTTCTTGATGATTCTCAAAGGTGTCCTTGCAGGAGTACTGATAAGACCGTATGCAATTGCCAATCGTTCACTGTGATACAGCAAAGCTTGCTCTTTAGCTTCCTGATCAATGTCATGAAGAACATATCTGGTATCCGGAACATAACTCACTATCTTACTCATAGCCTTGAGTTTCTCATCATCTTTGTAAAGAGTAGGATTCCGAAACTCAATAATTTTATTCTTTCCTTCAAGCATGCTGATTGCACTATACTTCTTTGGTAGAGGAGTAGGAATTTTGTTGGCAACAGCCTTTGTCGGGTCAAGAGCAACCGTCAACTCCTCAGCACGATCTTCAATATCAACATCTCCATGAATCTGAGCATAATTCCTCCATGCACCCCAGATTTCTGCAGTTGGCTCAAACGGTAATTTTCGAATATACTCTTCAATTTCATTAACATAACCAGACTTTCCAAGAATATCTATAACCCCCAAATAATGTTCAGTCCCTGGATTAATTCCATACTCGTTCTTCATTGACTCAAAATGTAAAAATCCTTCCTCCACTGCCTCTGCACTAGCACAAGCAGAGAGAACCGCCAGGAATGTCTGCTCAGTCGGTTTCAATCCCAACTTCCTCATCTCATCAAACAATTGTAGCCCCTCATCTCCCAAACTATTACTTGCATACCCATTTATCATCAAATGCCATGAATCCATATTCCTCTCTAGCATATGATCAAAAACTCTCCTAGCATCAGTCATACTTGCACATTTCCCATACATTTCAATCACCTTATTATTCAATTTAAGATCACCTCTTAATGTTGATTGCAAAAAGTAGTCGTGTACCTTTTTTGCATCCTCATGTTTCACACACAACTCAAACAAATTATAAAAACAATTAGCATCAGCTTTAACCCCCTTATCCAATATCTCAATGGCTTCCTTAATCTTTCCCTCCTGACACAATCGCATCAAATCCACTATTGCAGGAGCTGGAACGCGAATACTCTCATCAGCATTACCCAATGGGGCTGAAGCCTCCAAGGCCACGCGAACTTGACCTTGATTAGGTTTCCTCATGTTTCACACACAACTCAAACAAATTATAAAAACAATTAGCATCAGCTTTAACCCCCTTATCCAATATCTCAATGGCTTCCTTAATCTTTCCCTCCTGACACAATCGCATCAAATCCACTATTGCAGGAGCTGGAACGCGAATACTCTCATCAGCATTACCCAATGGGGCTGAAGCCTCCAAGGCCACGCGAACTTGACCTTGATTAGGTTTTTGTCCCTGCAGAGCCCACTGGTCAGGGTTTCTAGCTTGTGGGTAACCCTGATTTTGATTGTTCCATTGATTTGAGCTTCTAGATTGGCGATGATCCTGTACATTAGGATTAACCTGAGCAGGGTTTTGGTGGTTTTGGTTTTGGGGATAATTTTGAGGCCATGAGTTCCACTGATTATGGTTTTGTTGCGGTTGGTGTTGAGGAAAATTGTGAGCTGAAGAGATCCACTGATTATGATTTTGTTGCGGTTGGTGTTGAGGAAAATTGTGAGTTGAAGAACTCCACTGGTTAGGGTTCATTTGATTACGGTTTGGGTACTTGGGAGAATTCTGACCCTGAGAATTCCATTGATTAGGGTTCTGGTGTGGTTGTTGCTGAGGAAATGAATTAGAGTACCCTCTATTTTGGTAATTGAACTGATTTTTGTCATATTGAGGAGGTTGTTGCTGTGCATTCCACTGATTCCATTGGCGATTAAGGTTTCTCTCATCTTGATAACTAGAAGGAAGAGGTCTTTGATAGTTATCAGGAACAGCAGAGGAAGAGCTTAGGGTTTTGGAGAGGATTAAAGTTCTATTGTAAAAGAAATCAGAATGCAGAATAGACCGTACCTTGAAAACCGAAGGAGAAGATGAAGAAGAAACCAATTTCCAATTCCTTGAACGCCGAATCGCCATTAGAGACGCCATTTGTTAGTGTTTGATAGCTTAGATCGAAAAACCCTAACCAAAAACCCTCTCATGGCAGAGGCTATGTTTGGAGATTGTTGGGAGTGGGCTATTACTATTGATTTGTAAAAATTGTCCCTAAGAGTTGTGTTATTTGGTAAACGACCTGTCGTTTGACAACAGCAAACTATTCACAAACACACTCTTTTACCAAAAAAATATAAATTAATAAATTAAGATCAGGCAGCCAGGCTTTTATATTATTTAGCTTTCGCAACTTAAAATATAATTTCTTTAAAATCCAAGATGTTGAGTGTACGAAGGAATACCCTTGTTGTATAGCCCACGATATTATTTTAAATTATTAAATCTTCTATGCATATAAGAAAAAAATCAGTTCATTGAATCTCTCGCATACAAAAAAAATATATATATTTTTGCTCATCCCAACACTCTTAGATAGTAAATTCTTTTTAATTAGTAATGTATTTTCTATTGCTTGAAATGTTCAGCTTTATTAGTAATATTATTTTTAGGAATATATGTGCAACACTCATCCGAGCACTATATGTGTGAGAGTGTGTGAGTACTAAGAATATAAACACAACTTAGTGAAGTCAGTTATGGTGTCCTAATGACCTGTGGACTGTACCAAACTTTCAAACTCATTTCTATTTGATACAGGGTTAGAAATTTGCTAAGGGTCCTAATTTTCAAACCCAGATGGAAGTTTTATTTCAGGATTCAATTGGAAGTTTGGAACCCATGTGGAGTGCCAGAGGAATTGTGAGCTCCAAAAAATGATATTCGCATGTCATTTTAAGTGGAGCCTGTAATCTTCCCTATCATGGTCTATTCCATGGTTAACTTTAAATCCACATCACGAGGGGTGAGGATTCAATCTCATAGATCAGACGGTCTATGATTGCTAAGTACACCGTTGGACCAGGTTCAACAAAATACTTGCTGTTGCACATAAAGATCAATCACAAAATGCCAATAAGGCAATAATTCATTGTAGCAACCCAAAATCCTAAGTAAATTATCCTCTAGTACATTGACATGTAGCTAAGTAATAAATCATCAACAATGCTTTGGCTTTAATCTGTTTTAGCTTACAGTTGTTGTCTCTATTGATAATACTTTTTCTTTGCAATGAAAAATCACAAGAATACAAAACTACAGTATATTATAAGATTTTTTTTTTCTTTTTCTGCAAATTCAACTGTAATTATCTCCAACTAGAAACCTTCGTTACTGGAGTTTCCATGTAGCCCAAGACCATTTGATTATGCTTCACTCCTTCAAAACTGACCCAATAAAAGCTCTCTTCTTCTCTCACCAATTCTTTGGCCTCCATAAGATTCTCTATTCTCATTCTCCATGGCTCCAATCCTAGCTCTGAAAGTGTCCTAATTTCTCTAGAAATATGCTTCCACATTTGTATGTCAATAAGTGAAGAAATATAAGGCACCAAAAACAAACATTCAATTGCTATTCTTGCTTCTTTAAGGTGATGAGGGAAATGGGTTTCGATTGATTGTAACAATATTTTGAACTGAGCCAATTGCCCTTCAAAAATAGATATATACCCATTTCTATTCCAGCCTCTAATTCCCTTTCCCCAACCAATTCCATCCCCAAAAGTTATAATACCTCCACCATTATTACAATTAAGGTTGATTGCATCCTTAGCCACCTTCAGAAACTTTATAACACTCTTGACACTTATCCTTTTGTCCATGTGAGGTAGACCCACCATGCAATTGAATGCTAAAAATTCAGTTCCTTCTCCACTTTCCTTTGTTTCCTTCATTTCACTAGCAAAAGATTCCAAATCCATCTCTTCCACCTTCAATCTCAGACCAAAATTTCTTCCATGTTCATATAGTAACAATTTTGTATATTCATAATTACCTTCCTCTTCCCATTTTATTGAAGTCAATCTCAAAAATTTTGCATCTTGCATTGCAAGTGCCTCAATTACTGGAGGCCATTGAATGCCATTGCCAATTTCAAAATCAACTATATGCACTATCTCAGCATTCTTAGGAATAGCCTCTAATATCACAGAATTAGCTGTGAAGTGAGCAAATCTTCCATAAGGAAATATCTGATAAAAGACATTAAAGGCAATTTCATAATTCATACCTGCTTCTTCTCTCAAGGGGCTCTTCACTTGCTCGTCCAATGCTTGAATAAAATAATAAGACAGACGTTGCCAGATTGAACCAGTCGGACAACTCTTCTCCTTCAATCGCATCGTAATCGCATCTGCTAACTCTGTAATTTCCATCTCCAGTGCCTCTCCATAAGCCTTGAGCAGATGAAGTATGCTTAACTGGTTATCAACTTGCATACCATCACAAGGCAAAAGCAAAGAGAGATCTGTGGATTGATAATCACTTGCTATACTTAACACATGCAAGCTTTCAAATTCTATGCCATCATCTTCCAGGCAACTTTCTTGTGCATAAGCATTTTCTGAAGTAGTGTTAGTGACTAAATTTGGCAAATTACCAACGTCCATTGAAGAGGAAGTATCAGAGGGCTCTTCAACTAATAAGCAAGAAGAGTAGTCCAAGCCTTGAAATAAAGACTTATTTCTTGTATAGTGTTGTAGCTATGCCACGAAAGCTGAGTAAACTCGACTGACAGGTTTTTTCTAAGCATAGAATAGTGGGTAAGGGCCTCATTCTATTCTACAGTTGTTCAATTTCAGTGAACTTCTTTCATTGGCATCATCCTAGAGAAAAAATGATAACCATTAATTCTTCATCAAAATATTCTCCCCAGTGAAAGCGACTTGGGATAGTCCACACTAAATATTCCCTTTCATTCAAGGTATATATTTTTTTCCATGAAGGTTAGCCTTATTTTTCCTTTTTCCTATAGCAGACAAATATTGGCCTTATTAGAACCCCTCTCTCTCTAGTTTTTATGGACACCCATTTTTTACAGTAAACTTCCCTAATTGACAGAATAAGTGGTTAACACAACAGTGACAGGGGGCAAACTTACCCAATTACCATGAAAAAGGCCGTTAAAAACAATAAAGATTTCCAAACATCTTACCACACCCAAAGCATTTTGGCACCGAATACTATGAAATTTTATCATCACAAGCTTTAGAAAATCAAAAAGAGACCATATGAAGAAGGCAATGAAAATCAGAACCAAAAAAGATCCGAAGCTTTTCCCAAGGTGAAGGATTATTTACTACCTTTGACTAACTTTGGCAGTGCAGTGCACTCCAGTTAGACTTCTGACGACTTATTTTCTCTGTATAAGATTGTACACAGTGTCCTTAAATACTTAACTATTTACTCTTTTTCCCCATATAATCTTAACAGAGAGCATTACAAGAGCAGTGTGAGAAGCATGACAAGATTTAGACATTCCACTTGCATAACTAATAAAAAGTTGAAGAAAAGTAAACATCAAGGAGCTAAAAGTTGAAGTTACCAGATAAAGTGAGATTACAGATAACTGAAACAAAACAAATTTTTCTAAAAAGATAAATTTAAAAATGTAATGCCTGGAAGTGAAGGCAGCCCTCGACTGTCACACGGTAACAGAAAGAAAAATAAAAGGGCAATTTAAAAAAAAAAAAAGAAAAAGAAAAAGAAGACTGGGAGTATATAATTGGTCCTCTTTTTTCAATGTTGAAAGTTAAGTTTTATAAATTTGACAAATTTAGCATTTCGTACAATGACAAGGATTCATATAGTCAATCCCGATTAGTTTGTGATTAAGGCTTAATTGTTCTTGTTGTTAGCTTTTCATAGACCAAAACTAATTTTTTCAATTTCTAAGAATTACAAAGATGAATTCGAGGACATCAGATATTTCCCCATCTCAATGCCAGTTCAGTTATATTAGAAGCTATGCCTGATGATTCTGCAGAGATACATGTTATGGTTTTAAAATTATCAACCGGAAGCTATAGTATGCATAATCAAGGGACTGGTGTTGTATTGTTGACTTCACTAAGATTATAGTCGCACTTCTTCAGTTAAATGTTAACCACGAAACTTATGGTTTCAGATTGATGGTGAAGATGCAGAACGGAAAAGTAAATAGTGAAACAGAGATGCAGAAGTGGATCAAGACCTGAATTCAATCATTACTGCCCTTGCATAAGGAGAAAGAGAAGTTGGGAAATATGTAGGACTGTAGCACTCACAAAAAAATGCTTCAAGTTAATTATAAAGTTTCTGAAAGTAATTCAACTAGACTGCAGGAAAAAGAAAAGTTCAGAAACGTGTGAGACAGTAGCACTTGGAAAAAAGCTTCATGTTAAATTAAAAATTTTCTGAAGGTAATTCAACCAGACCTCAGGTAAAGCATTATTTGCGGCCGTATGGAATCCAGAATTTCAAGGATGAAACACTTCTCAATCTTTCTAAAACCCAATATTTCTTCTCTTACTGTTGCAATATGTGGGAAGAGAGATCACTATGGACAGTAGAGAATTCGATGGGGACCAAGTAAACTTGTGAGAGAATGAGGGACTTTTAAACAGGAGATTATTAAAAGAGAGAAAAATCAAATACGAGAGATCCATTGGCAAGTGATTCTAGTCGGAAAAAAACAGGAAGGATAGGTAAAAGGCAACCCACATGCTCATACATACAAAGAAAATTACTGAACATAATTTATATACTTGTATCCCTGTCTCTAGTTTTTTCCTTTATTTTCCTGTCTCTATTTTTTTTTTCTTTTTCCCTAGTAAAAAGGCAGACCTATAGACGTATGAAAAAGCATGACAAGCCACATGGTTGTTTTAAGGCACACCTCAGGCTCAAAGCTCAACAAGCACCAAGTCATGTTCATGTACCTAAACTTGAACAATTTTTTGCCAGGTGTTACATGCAGCATTAAATGCTCTTCCATTCTAAAATTTGCTATCATTACACTAGACTTATTCTTTTGCTAAATTTCGAAAGAAATTATTATGTTGTTCTGAATTTGTAAAGAAATTAAATAGCCACTGTGGAAAACTCAACATACTCAAATATACAAAAACTAAATCCAGGTTTCAGAAACACATAAAAGGAATAGTTTGTGCAAAATTTTCAGTAGCCAGAAATCCAGTATAGCCATGCTAAACAATCACTAAAACAATTAAGTCATAACTGAAAAGGGACAAGTTATAAGGACAGCAAATATGAAGAAAATTTTGGTTTTTTGTTTTGTTTTGTTTTTTTTTTTTTTTTTTTTTTTTTTTATTATAAGGACAGCAATATGGAAGTAAAATTCGGTTTTTTTGTTTGTTGTTTTTTTTTTTTTTTTTTTTTTTTTTTTTTTTTTTTTTTTTTTTTTTTTTTTTTTTTTTTTTGGTGGGGGGGATGTGCATTACTCACAGAATATAGAATAATTTCAATGAAAAAGAAGAATGAAAATAAAATCAAACCAGCAATCCTAATACCCTCAAAAATATCATGGGTCAAAGTCAGACATAAGTAACACCAAAGGGAAAAGACAAGACACAATCACTCTATTTTTTACCAAATTCACAAGACTCCATGAAGACATGAAGAGAATTCCTAACTACCCAAAAGAGGAGGAAAAAAAAAAAAGATAAGGATAAATAAGAGATTCCATATTTCCATTACTCATGCACTTAGTTTCCAACATTAATTTTAACAGTCGATTCTTTTCCTTTTGTTGTATTTCAATGGGCAAAACACACTAGAAATAACACAAATCTTTAAAGATTGCTAATAATAGAAGCAGCATTTAGCTTCCTAATACGTTTATATGCTTGTTTAACTAGTTCTTAAAGGGTAATATACAATGTTTTTGCTAAAAAAGTCAGGTGATACCATCTCAAAGCCATCAATCGAAATGGGGCCTACACATTAATTAAACCAGAAAATACTAAACAAACAGGACTACAGAACTAAAATTAGCCCCAAAATATTTGCAAAAAAGGAAAAAAAAAAAAAAGAAAGAAAAAACAACTCTTCTTTTCTTTGATGAGAAAAAGTCAAATAATGAGTGGGATCAGAAAGGCGCACAGGAACAAGAAGGGCACCTGATCAGACCGTTCTCATTGCAAGCAATGCAGCTCTTAAACCCAGATTTCTCTATGTACAATTTGTGGCTACCGTTACATTCGTGGCACAAAATGAATCTATAACCGCCGCATGAAGCGCAGACACCAGGTTCCGCCGCGGGCAAGCCTTGGACAAACTTCTTGAGCTCGCCTGCCTCGTGTAACTCTCTAATCTCATCAGCACCGCCTATGTACCTCCCTCCGATAAAAACCCTCGGCAAACTTAACTTGGTTTGACTGCCGCCAAAGATCTGTTGCAGCTCCTTTACGAAACGAGCGTCCATGGAGAGATCTCGTTCGTCGATGGAAACGTGGAATCCTTGAAGAATAGATTTGACTGACCGGCAATCCTCAAATGTCGACCGCACAACGCGGAGACTTGTGAAGTAAACGACAATCTGTTTCTCGGCACCAGGGATTGAGATGAGCGGCGGCGGAGGCGGTGGCGGCGGCGGCTGCAGCTGCAGTGGCTCTTGGCATTCCAACGGTGCCGTTGTAATAACAGGTGAGACATTGGCTTCTGTTTCAGAGATGAGTTGCGGCGGCTGTAGGTCAGGTTGGGAGTGCGAGATTGAGCGTGACGGTGGTGTCCAGGAGCGGACGATTGAATTGGCGAGGCGAACGCGGTGGAAAACGGAGGACGCTTTGGTGGGTGGAGAGGGATCGTCTGTACAGATGTGTTGGATATCTTTGAAGCTGGAAAAGGAGAAAGAAGGGGAAGGAGAGGGAGTGGTTTCGCGAATCTTGACCGTTGATTTACCCCACTGCCGCCACATTGAGGGTGGGAGATTGAGGTTTTGGGTGGAAAGATTTGAGAGAACGCACAAACAAGAAGCAATAAGAAATGGGAAATGGTGCAAAGAAGAAGAAGAAGAAGAAGAAGAAAGCTTTATTATTGTTTTTCAATTATTTGGGTTTATGGGTTTTGAGGGGTTGATTGCACAAACCGAAGGCTTTCGGCTTTCGGTTTTTGGCTTTTGGCTTTTGGCTTTTGGGATTGAAGGAAGAGCTGCAAAAGCGGGTATGGCTTGCAGGTTTTATGAGAAAAGGAAAATGGAGAAGGGAATGGTGTTAGGCAGGTTGGTTAAGGTAGTTGAGAAGGGTAATTTGGTCGTTTTAATGGGCTTTTAAAGAGATTAAAGGGATGATGAGAGGTCTTGATTTAGAGATTGCCTAAGTTTTGCCTAATTTATGGATGAAAAGTCCTCATTAATGCATCTATAAAAGAAATTAAAAAAAAAAAACATTTCCATTTTAGTTTTTTTTCTTTTTTTATATATATAATCTATTGTATACCTACCAATTAATCTAAATTTAAATCGTTTCCTCTTTAACTATTTTGAAAAAAAATATTTGCACTTGATCAAATTATTAGTTAATTATTTTCTAAAAAATTACTAATTGAATATTATCTTTTTTTAATACAAAATTATAAGTTGAAATCATACCGTATTTATAAAAAACATTGATATATTAAAAAGTATAAATTATGAATGTCTTCATTCACGAAAAATAATCTATCTTTAAAAAATATTTTCTATTATACTTTAAATATTTATTACAAGAAAAATATATGATAATAAATAAGTTGAAGAGTCGATAATAATTGGTGGCTGTTGGTGGTGATAGTCACTAGCGGTAATGAATTAATAAATATGTATAAACTTTTTCTTTTTTTATAATAAGTTTTTCGATGTTAAAATAAATGTTGTTTTCTTCTTTAAGAAAATGAAGTTATTTTCTTATAAAATAAATTGATTTTATTTTTGATTAAAAAAATATTTTTTGCATTGGCTAATTTTTCTAACTACTCCAAACATTAAAAGTTTAGAATATTTTTCAAGTAAGTTATTTTTCAGAAATAAATGAAATAATATTGTATTATGATGATTTATCAAAAATCACATGTGTTGTGCTTATTATAGAAATTAGAAAGTGGGAACAAAATTTTACTATTTATTTATAATTATTTTTCAAACAATAAAAATAAAAATCTATCTTGCAATTTGAAATGATTATTCTAAAAATATGAAAAATAAAAGGAAAATAGATACAATTTATTTGCTTCAACTTTAAGAAACATGAGTTGAGGTGATTTGATTGATTAATGGCGTATGTATGTGAGTGAAAAAGGAGGGAAGAAAAAAAAAAAGCAGAAAAGGGGCAAAAATAGGAATTTTAGGATTCCATTATAGTCAAATTCTAAAATGTAAAAAAAAAAAATAACAAAAAGAATTCAATGGCTAAAAATAGTTATTGGCCCAATAGCCAAAAAGAATCATTTGTGCTTTTTCCCAATTTAATTCCTTGATTTTCAATTTCTCTGAAAAAAGAAAAAAAATATAAAATCAAAATTTTACAAATTGATTTAGATTTCAATTCCTTTATATAAAATTTTATATATATTAAAAATATATATAAAAAAAGTTTGTTTTATTATATTTTATTAGAGTGTATGAAACTATAGTCTAAAATAATAATAATAATGATATAATTTGAAGAGAGTAGGAGAGGGATTTCCCTATATAGGGACCATACAGGAAGAAAAGACAAGGCGTGTTTGGAAATTCTAAAAGGGGTTGTTGGTTTGGATTCCAAAAGCTAAAGGGAAAGATAAAATGTGGGTGGATTCTGAAAAGTTTCACATGGCAATGGCAGCACATGCTCAATGTGGCAACAAAAGCCTTCCAAAAGCATTGATGCTTCTTCCATCCACATTTAACATTTTCACCCCCAACAACCAATAATGGATAATGTATTACTTTCTCCGTGTTAAAATATTAGTTAGTGATTATTTTATTTTAAAATATAAATTATTTTGAACGGTATAAAAAATCTTAAATGATTCATATTTTAAAATAGAGAAAGTATTTATTAATTATGGAGATTGTTCATGTATGATACTAGAATATACATTGAAAGTAAAATTTATACTATGTGTTGATTGAGTTGGCCAACGACCTCGATTTTTGTAAGAATTTGAATAGAAGTTCAATTTCTAAGAAGTCAATTTGTCTTTTCGGTTCAAACGGAATGAATGCATTCTAAAATTATCAGTCAGATACTTTTTCTATCCCAACTATAAGTTATTTAAGATTTTTGAAGGAGATTAAAAAATAATTAATTTTTTTAAATTATAACAAAACCAAAGGTATTTTGATCAAATTATCATTTATCTCAAATCAAAAATATATTGTGAAGGTAGTTATTTTATTTGATGTAAATAAAGATAACATTGAAAAAATATTATTTATTACTTATTAAAATACTCAAGACGACTCATATTTTGCAACAAAATATCCATTTAAAATGACTTATATTTTGGAATGGAGGAAATAGATTAATAGAATTTACATTATCAACCACTCACTGCATCCACAAATATAAGTTGTTTTAGGATTTTTTTTTTAATATGCAAATATAAGTATTTGAGAATATCAACGAGTGATTAATGATATTTCTTTAATTTTATCTTTATTTATATTAAACGCAATAATTATCTCTATAATTTTTTGAAGGATAATTTAGTCGAATCAATAAATATTTTATTATAATTTAAGAGAATTAATTATTATTTTTAATTCCGTCCAACATCATTAAACACTTATATTCATGGACTGAAGGAATATTATTAATTTAAATATTAATATGAAAAATAATGATTAACCAGTAGATTTTATCTTATTAATTTTATAGGTTATTTGAGTTGGAATTAGAATTACTATAAAATTAATTAAAATAAAAATTATATACATCTTATAAAAGAAATGAATTTTAGAGATTAAATTATGTATCGACTTAGATTAGCCTCAATGTTTATAATCCTGACTGACTGAAAGTAATTTAAATATTTAATATAATTGATTTACAAACTATTTTAAATTAATAAAAATGTAAAAAATTATTTTCTTAAAATTTTAATTAATTTTTCAAAAGTAAACAATCAAAATTATGATTGATCAATCCAATTTGAAATCTTTTCTACTGAGTCGCCAAAACCCGATATATAACCGCTGCACAACTCGATCCAAACCCATTGATAGTGTGAGGCCGCTCAGCATATGGTGGGGTCGGTTCCGGATCTGAATTTGATATTTTCTTGGGAAGTTCAAACCATCTGTCTTGCCCCGCCCGAGAACCGGCTTAAGTACTGTACGAGTCGAACAGTCGTAAACATCATATAAACGGAAGAAGAGTCGCAAAGTCGCAGAATCTGTTCTTTTCATAATTCCTCCACAGGAAGAAAAAAATGGAGGAGGCTTCAGTTCCTAATTCCAATTCAATCAACGTGACTGTTAAGTTCAGTGGAAGATCCATTTCAATCTCTGTTTCTTTGGACTCAACCGTCAAAGACCTCAAATCCCTTCTTCAACCTCTCACCAATGTTCTTCCTCGCGGCCAAAAGCTCATCTTTAAAGGTTTTCTTTCTCTCTTTCTCTTTCTCTTTCGAGAAATAAACCCCTCTTTTTGCCCTATTTCAAAGCCTCTAACGGCATGTCGTTTTCTTTTGTAATTTGCAGGAAAGCTGTTGGTCGACGCAATGACTTTGAGACAATCGGAGATCACCAATGGGTCTAAAATCATGCTCATGGCTTCCCAGGGGTTGCACCAAGGGGTATTCTTTTTTATTTCTTCCTTTTCTTGCTTTTCTTTGATCTCTTGGATTAGAAAGATTGGTGTTTTTCTTTAAGATCTTTGTGTTGGTTTGAAATGTAAGAAATTTGCTTGAAATGTAAGAAATTTGCTTAAAATGTGTGGTTTATTTGAACAGGACGGTCCCATTCTAAAAGATGCTATGACTCGTCCTATTTTAAGGGCTAATGGTACTAATAAAATGGGGAATCAAAATGCTCAAGTTTCTGTTGATAAGAACCGTTTGGAAAGATGGAAGGTTACTGGAGTTATTGCATTGGCTGAATGTAATTTGAAGGTACAAAACCCCATCTTTCTCTATTACATGTTAAGCACACATGTTTAGCTTTCTTGATGTTCTTATTGTTATTATGCTATTCATTTTCTTCTTTATTCATTCTAGCATAGTTCAATTTTCTCTTTTACATTATTTCATTTCCTTTAAAAGGATGAGTTCATATAGGCCCTCCTTTAATTTTTGTTTTGGAGTAGCTAAAAGGTGAACTTTTCAATCCTTCACTCTTGACTCTTCCACTCACATCCAGTGAAGGAATTAATTGTTTTTATTTTGATAATGTATTTTAATTTTTCTTGTTGATTGAAACTTGCTAGGCGATACCTGATGAAGTGTGGGTTTGTGGACCTTCTACAAGGGTTCTTGATATTAGCAAAAATTTCATTAAAGATATACCAACAAAAATTGGCTCCTTGAGTTCCATGCAGGTAAAATTGAACTCTTCTAACTTAATTTTAGGCGATTCTTTTGTCCTTGAGCTACTTTGTAGTAAAGTATCTTTTCTATGTGTATTCATTTGTTTTCCTAGATTTTTGCAGAAACTGCTCCTGAGTGGAAATGGAATGTCAGATGAATGTATTCATTGGGAAGGACTAAAATTTCTGGAGAATCTAGCAGTTCTGTCTTTGAGCCAAAACCAGTAAGCAGCTTCTGTCATTTGTGATACTATTGTTGTTCCCATGTCTTGCTCGCTTTGACATTAAAGCATAAATAACCTTTATCTTTTGCATTGCAAGTACTTATGTGGTTTCAAGTTGTGGCCCATATCACATCATGGAAGGTTGTGTATGCTACTATCATGTTTGAATTGTGTTAGGAAAAGCTTCCTGCAATTAACTAGTTCTTGTCATAGGACAGCAAGCCAGAATGTTTAATAAATTCTCAAGTTTATATTGCCAGCAGTGGAGAAAAGTTCTTCAAAGAGTTTTTTCATGGATCAGTGGATGCACAGTAAGTGCTTAATAAATAAAAAAAGAGATGAAGACAAGTGAGTGATAGAGCTCTTTATAGTTTCAGGTCTACACTATGATGTATCTTTGACGTGTTATGGGGAACTTAGTCGAGTAATTTAACGCAAATTGTTGTGGGATTCATAAAAGTTTAGATTTATTTTATTTTTCTTCTTTGAATGAAATTATATCATTTGTTAGCCGTTGTGAAGAGGAATATCAGGAACAGAACCTAACATATAAAATAATATAACTGTGAATTGCTTGAAGCAGAATTATAATGTGAGGGAACAGAAGGCTATAGTAGAACTTAAACTGAGAAGTGCCCAAATTTACATTTAATTTTTGTTATAAGAACTTCCAGCTACATAATTCATTAGTGAAGTGTATATTATTTTCTTTTGTTTTATGTATATGCTTCCTACGTGTGATCTCAAAACGCCTTGCCTCATTTATTTTATTTCTGCTCAAGGCATCATGTGGCAGGGATTTTAGGTACTACTCAAATTGGCTGCTTCATGCTGTTAGAAGATAGGTTATTTCCCCCTTGGGTTCTTTCTCCTCATGTTAACTGTGCTAAATTATATGGTAAATAAATGCAGTTTAACAACATTGCCATCTGAATTGGGCGCTTTGAGATCCTTGAAGCAGCTTCATGTTTCAAACAATAAGTTGAATTGCCTCCCAGTAGAAATTGGATTCCTCACACAGCTAGAGGTTTTAAAAGCCAACAATAACAGGTATCATGCAGATAAAGCATATGGATGAATGTTGAACTTTAGAATTACTATAAAATAAAAGATTATTTAAAAAGGCAATTTTGATACATAAAATGGTTGCATCATGAATATTTCCAAGAATATCACTTGGCAAACAAGTGTCAGTGTTGTCGTTTCTATTCTGTTTGGTTCTCTTCTCTGGTGTCTTCTTTTAGCAGTCTGACGTACAAATTGCTCTGATTCAGATTATGCACCCTTCCATCATCTATAGGGGATTGTAATTCTCTTCTTGAGGTGAGTTTTTTTTTTCTACTCTAATTTGAAATTTTCTCTGGTATAAATGAATGATTCAGATATTGTATGCAAACTTGTTTTACTCTTTCTCATTTTCTCAAATTTCCCTTTTTCAATGCAATTTAGTTTAGTAATGTCCTTGACCAAGCTTTTATGTGGCATAGGTTGATCTTTCATCAAACCTCCTGACAGGGTTGCCAGAGTCATTTGGTAATTTGCACAGCTTGAAGGTCTTTATTCTTGTTTCTATTAATTTCGTCATCATTTCTATATTTACTACACTTGAACCGAGTTCATTATGGCACCCCAATTGATGACGATAGAGATCAAGGGGAAAACTTTTTTACTTTTCTAACACTATATTTGCTGCTATGTTCTTATTCTCATGCAGGCTTTGCACTTAGGTAACAATGGGTTAAAGTCTCTCCCTTCTACATTGTTTAAGATGTGCCTGCAACTCTCAACACTGGATATTCATAACACAGAAATCACAATGGATATTCTTCGTCAGGTTCAACCTCTACCTGTCTATGCTCTTTTGCTCTTTCCTCTTCCTCTTTCCTCGTGTCATTCTTATGACATAATAACAACCTTAACTTCTCAGTTTGATGGATGGAATGATTTTGATGAACGCCGTCGCTTAAAGCATCAGAAGCAACTGGATTTCAGAGTGGTAGGCTCTGCTGAATTTGATGAGTGTGCTGATAAAAATTGATTGTGTTTGACTGCATTGTGAATAGCAAAATGTATTCAGATATCATATTAATGTCGCTCAGACAATAAAAGGGATTTTTTCTTTCTTAAAATGGTTTGGATGTCTAGAGGTGGAATACTAGCCTGGAATTGATGAAGCACTTGATAAAGTTTGTTGATATAGTTGAATTGATGCAGGGTTGTTTGTTATGTTGTGAAACACCGAAGAAAAAGTTCAGTACATTTTAAGATGCACCCTTTTTCCATATTTGTGAAACAAAAGCCAAATACAGGACAGGCCTATATTGAGGAGCTTCCGCATTTATCTTGTGTACTCTTGTACTTTATGTATGTAAAAAAAACCTTACTAGTGCCTCAAAAATAATAACTTCTGTATGATTTAATTAACGTTCGATGCTCTAGAAGTTCAAAATGGCCCAATATTTTGTGTAAGATATAAAGATGAATTTATACATTTAGCTAATATTTCAAGAGCTTCTTATTTTGATATATATAATCGAAGATAATGAACTTAAAAGCTTCTATTTATTCAAACTTCGATACAGCATTTTAGTCAGAATCTTTGGATACTGGCAACGCCTGATGCTTGTTTCTAAACACAGCAAAATTACAGCAACCAAAATGACAAATGGTGTACATCATGCGCTAGATGTCTATTTATCAATTGATATGAAATCTAATATAGTGATAAATAGTCTAGCATACTCCCTTGATTATGATACAAAAAAACAATTGTCTAATCTAATCCTAAAATCTTAGGATCATGCTCAGGCAAATGTGACACAGAACTTCATCGGAAGTATATGGATATTGGAGGAATGTCGATATCATTGTCCTCATCGTCTTCACATGCGACAACTACATCGACATGCCGGCGGTTCGGAGGCAATTCTACTTTTGCCACTTCCCTAACCAAATCCACCATTTTCCTGTCCATTCTGTCTCGGTGCTTAGGGAACATGCTGTTGTAGAGCAGGCAACTTCCACTTGAGATGCTGTATGCATTCAGCCCCTTGTCCTTGAGCCATTGAAGAAGTTCCCTCAAAGTAGGATTGTCTTTAATGATCCACCTGTCCCAAACAGTCCAGCTCATGTCCCGATGCTTGATAACCTTAGGTGGGACTGGCTCAGCCATTGAGAATAAAGGTAGTGCTAGATTGGCAAATGTATTGCGGTAGTCTTCCACTTTGTGCCCCCCATCGAGAACCTTGTACAGCTCTAAACACACAAGACCAGTTGCCATGGCCGTGGAGGTTGCAATAGCTGGGATTATCCTTCCTGCAATAAATTTTGCTTTCAGCTTGTCAACCTCAGGGATGCTGTAGTTTCTTGCTCTCATGTTGGCAAGCCCAGCTATCAGATCCATATGGAAGTTCGTATCATCATCCTGCAAATTGAACAGGAGTTAACTAAACAAAAATTTGTTGTTTAAAGACATGAATAACAGAACAGATTTAATGCCAACTAGTCTGGTCCACCAATTATTTTCTGGGTACTACTGCATAATTAAAAGTTTACGAAAGAGAACCTTCTCAAATTGAATCGGTTTCATCCTGAATCCTGGTGGCAGACGTCTCCTACACTGCTCTAGTTTTGTGATTAGTTCATTGATAATTACTGCATCATCTGGAGATGAATTAGAGAGACTAGTAGCCTTCTCATCTGTCTCAATTTTCACATCTTTCTTTGGCTGAAATTCCGGTACTATCACCTTCTCTACAGCATCCGCCAACATCTTAGGATTCTTGACCCAGTCAGGAATTGGGATGCCAAAAGTCTCTGCTCGCAGTATGGATGCTGCCATAATGAAATGGAGGTGACCAGGATCAGAAGCTGAGAACTCAAGTGGACGAGGAAACCGCTTTGGGGCTGACCAGAATGGAGCCCCAGTACTAGTTGAGGCATCTTCAGGAAATGTAAAAATTAACTGCTTCACGCGATTAGCAAAATAATCTTCAAACCTGATTACAGAAGTAGCATAACGTCAAAATTTGTACAAAAAGAACATGCTTAATGATCATTGAGTTAACTGAGATATAAGAAGGAGGATACTTCAATCTAGCCCATGTAATGCAATCCTGGAACGTCTCACATTTTTCCTTGTCAAGGCACTCAAGAACATGCACCAAGGTATCCCTTGCCTGAGCATCAGCAGCATTGATCATGCCAGTAGTATATTCGACTGGGTTGGATAGGTAGGCATTCACTTCTGCTGGAGTTTTCTCAAGCAAGCCCTCAAACTCTGACCGAGCCCAGGTTAGGCAGTGGTCAATATTGTGTGGGAATGAATGGACTGTGCACATTGGTGCTTGCTTTTCTGGCGGGTCTCTAGATGCACCATAGTTTTCAGTCAGGTGAGGAATAACCATCTGGGTGTTGCATTTGGCACCCAGTGTTCCAGACTCAAGAAGTGGCTTCTGGAAGTACAAGCATCTCTGATCGACATACAATCGTGCATTGACATTGTCTAGAGCATTTATAACAACAGATAAATTCTCCCAGAAAACATCATCAAAGACATTCTCAGTTTCAGGGCCAACACGATTTTGCAATGCTTCAATGTTGAGATGAGGGTTTATTAATGCAGCTGCAGATGCAGCGACTGTGGATTTGGCCTGCCCGATGTTCCAATCACGGAAAAGAAACTGCCTACTGAGATTACTCTTTTCTATTACATCATCATCTGTTATTGTCAGCTTTCCTTTACCGCATGAAACACCCATTAATGCTATATTTTTCAAGAATTCACAGCCCAACGCACCAGATCCAACTATGAACACAGTGGCATCCTCGAGTTTCTTCTGGAGCTTAGATCCAAAAACTGAAATTTGTGCATCATAACGGCTATTTAATGGTTGAAAGGAACTGGTATCCAAATTTTCTGTAGGAAGTGACTCCACTGAGTCAAAATAGAAAAACTGTGACAGAAGAGAGAGAAAGATTAGTACCAAAATAAGCAATTAAATTGAGTTGGAACAAAGGATGCTTAAAATAACTAAATAATATCACATGCCAACAACCACCAGTCTAAAAGGAGGAGGGAGGAAGAAAAGGGAATGGGGGAGGGGGTTGAGAGGAAAAGAAACACTAGAGGAACGGGTGGTGTAAGGGAGGGGGAAAAGATAACCTGAAAAAGGGGATGAAACTTTCCAGAGCATGCTTTGACAACCTCTTGTCCCACAATACCACCAAACATAGCAGCCATGGGATTCAGTATAGCCCTTGCACCAAAGGCAAAGTGTCGCAAAAGTTTTGGGTTGATGTCTTCCGCTCTACCACCTCCCAATCTTTCATTGATGTTAGTGGCCAACGCTATAAGCTTCTGAGCATCCTCTTCTGAACCAGCAACAGGGAAACGACCTAAATCGGAGACAAACTTATCCAGTGCTTGAAATGCTAGGTGTAAGAGAGGTGGGCGATCAAACTTGGAAAAATCACTCAAAAGAAAATCACCCGGATCCTTTAATGCTTCCCGCAATGGCTTAAAGTTCAACTTCTTGGGTGGTTTCACCTGTGTAACAATACCACCTTTCTCATAAGTACCAAAGTTTGTGGTGTCCTCATCGAGAGTGAAAGAATATGGCCTGGCACTTTTAATCTTCCTTGGCTTTCCATCATTTAGTTCTGTCATTCCATGAACTTCAGAGAACACAACAAGATCCCCATCCTGAAACTCAAGCCTCTCATCATCCACACATGATACTAGGGCAGGGTTATCATTGCTGATGGATGCAATTATACCGGTGTGTGGTTCTTCCCCATCAACATCAAAAACTGTGAATTCAGGCCCAAAGTCACAAAAAACAGAACCAAAAAGACCTCTAACTTCAGCCTTAATAAAAGAGATAGGAGGCTGATGACCATGGCAGTAGTCATCAAATTCAATGGCTTTCTCAAGATTGATATCAGTAAAAACCACAGCCTGCACAACCACACCACACAGGTGCATGTAAAACAAAATGAGCAAAATGCATGCATAACACGAATACAAGAGACAGAAATATCATCTAGAAAAGAGAAACACTTTAAAAAATAATGAGAAAATAGTTCCTTTAAAAGAAAGGGTTACATGTCCATTAATGATTTGCCCTCTTGAAAAGAGGTTCTTCATCTACAGACAAAGTTAATTGTATAATTTCATAGTAACTGCAATTTATATACTGTTTTCAAATAAAATCAATTTTCCCATGTTTTCAGATTTTCACTTTTAATAATTTTTCCAATAAATTGAATTGTCAAAGTATCATGGATATGCATTCTATATCCTCATCTCAGAGAAGTGATGCCAAAATAGGGGCGTGAATACAAAATTAAGTACACATAAATGATAAATTATCCCAACAATACTGCTGATTCAGATAACCAAAATTATTCTCTATGCATTTGACATACAAGTAACTCCTATAGTTTGCAACTCTATGTTGACATTCAGCATCTTTGTATATGCAAGGTCGTCGAAATAAATGAAAAAAGAAAATTTCTAGTCATGTGAGGCCACATAACATGATGTAAGCAGCTTCTACGCTGTACCATCACTTTACTGTGGCCTACCTATTCAATCTTCTTTTGATCCTATTTTATTCATTTTTCACATTTTTTTGCTGTGGGGTCATAGCTTCTTTGGTTGCAATTTTGTACTCCTAGTCCTGAGGGTCTATAGCTTTGCAGCTCACTAGAATGAGCTATAAGACACTGCACATCATTTTCAGGCAAGTTACTGAACCTTCATGCCTTACACATAGCTATGCAAGTTCACAAGTCAGTCTTGATGGTTTCTGATTCAGGACCTCTAATCATGTAAAATAAAGTATAATTATTAATTCAGGGCATAATAGTTATCCATTTCACTCCCATGCATGATTACTTCTAACAACCCCTTTATAAAAATCCTAACTTTATGGTTCTTCTCAAGCAGCAGTCTGGCCAAACAATTATCTTAGACCACTGTTAGCCTTCAGCCTTAAGTCCAATCAAATACCAAACAGCCTATAAACCAAGGAATATTAATCATACAGCCCACAAGCCTAAATGCTTACTTTGTCAATGCCAAACCAAGAAATATAAGTCACTATGCAGACAACTCCAAATGAGTTCTGAAATCCCACCCCACATCACAACCCTTGCTCAGTCATAGCTGTGTCCATACAACACAATAGGCACTAAAATATGAAAGATACGTAGGACGCAACAAATCAAACCTGAACATAGCAGTTCAAAGCCAGACAATAAAATTGAAATTTTCCATCCTACTTCCACATTATGTCTATTCACTTTTTTTTTTTTTTTTTTTTTTGCCAAAAACCAAAAGAAATAATAGTCACTATGCAGACAACTCCAAATGAGTTTTGAATCCCACCCCACAATCACAACGCCTTGCTCAGTCATCAGCTGTGGTCCATACAACACAATAGGCACTAAAATATGAAAGATACGTAGGACGCAACACAAATCAAACCTGAAACATAGCAGTTCAAAGCCAGACAATAAATTGAAAATTTTCCATCTACTTCCACCATTATGTCTATTCACTTTTTTTTTTTTTTTTTTTTTTGCTTGTAAAATATGGCCAGAGATGATCGAGATTGGTTTAAAAATCCACAATTGCCAGTGCACAAAGGATGAGATGAGCCTTAAGTTTGCATGTTTTATTCATAAATCAACTTTTTTTTTTTTTTTTTTTGCTTGTAAATATGGCCAGAGATGATGAGATTGGTTTAAAATCACAATTGCCAGTGCAAAAGGATGAGAATGAGCCTTAGTTTGCATGTTTTATTCATAATCAACATCCCCGGCAAATTAGTTTACAGCTCTTCCTCAACAATCTCTGCTTTCCGCGTCTTCTGCTCCACTTTTTCCTTTTCATTTTTTTTTCCTTGTATAATCCATTTTTTCTTCTTCTCATTTGTCTCCTTCATTCGCTTGGCTATTCATCTACATTCTTCTGGCTTCCCTTCCCCACAAGTCCTTCAAGCCTAATCACGGCCCATTATTTCTCTTCGAGATTTGCACTTCTAGACTGAATTTATTTCGATTGTGTTGCAAAATTACTGAATTTATTTCGATTGTGTTGCAAAATTTGAATTGAGCCTCTGCCTAACCAATACTTCCATTTGGGCCCTTACCATTCTAGAAAAATGAATGGACTTTTCGTTACAAATTCAGACAGTAAGCATCCTTGTATCACTATAATTATATTCACTTTAGCTGATACCTAGATATAGATCATAGCATGGAAAAAATTAGCCAAGTCTTCTTGCTTGTAAAAGTAAGTTGTCCTTGTTACCAAAGATATTTGCCACCTATACAATACAATTACTTAAGTCATAGACTATTATCCACAAGGACGAACCACTAAATGAAGGCCATAACAAATTTTGGAACTAACGAACAAAAACTAATATATTTTCTGGAAGTAGCATCTATATTCGTATAATACTATCCCAATTCTTCAAACCCTTGCAGAAACTGTATTTTATTAAGATCTTACCATTAAAAAAAGAAAGAAAAAACATATCATGTGAAGTTTAGCAATATTTTTCCAGATAAAAGACAAAAGCCATAGAAATAATTAAAGAGAGACTGCAACTTTTGTTGATGGAATATCACCTGCTCTTTCTCCCCAACTCCCACCCCTCCCCCCTCAAATGGTAACAAAATACGCATTGACCAAATGAAAAATTATTTAATCAAGAAGTATAGAGTGTGCAACCATCTCTCATTGATCGTATACAGGTTTTTCCACTCTCAGATGCAATGAAATTATATATTCCCCCTGAACTCATCCAACAAACAAAATTGGATCTATCCAATAGCTAACTAAGAACCACTATATTGAAATAGAAAAGAGGGATAAGATTCTCTCTATGCCCAATATGTCTTTGAATCACATTAAAACTGGCATGAAGTTCACTTAAAAGGATGGAGAACTAAGTAATAACTATTTGCCTCCTTACTCAAACTGTTTCCTTAATCCCAAAGCCTATCTTTCAAATCACACAACACTTAACACGAAGGAAAAATAAAAGAACTGACAGTTAAAATGGCACAGGCTTTCTCAACATCTACTGTAAGAATTATACCTATCTTCTATATCCACTAACTAATTGCCAATAAGATATCTTCCATCCAAACCTTTCAAAATAGCAGGATACCGGAGAGAGGCCAGTTTATGTACATGGGCATGCTTATGATGCATCTCACAGAAAATACCTTATTATCTCTGAAGGAATCAACGCGTGGAAGTTTCCAAGCAAAAATTATATCTAAAAAGCACAGCGATTTATCAATTTCCAAAGAGAACATACAAAAAGACCAATAAACAAAATCGTAAACATTACATATCCTCTTGACATACTGCAAGTATATCAAGTAATACCTATTACAGAGATTAAAAGCTAAAAGGCCATCATAAATCTGACATAGTACAAATGCCATAGTTTAAGGCGTGCCTAAAACGCAAGGCATATTGGGCATTTGGCCTAGTGGCTCTGCCAAAGAAAGCTGGGCAGCCTCTCACGGGCAGGAAGAAGAGACCCAGGCATCGCATTATTTAATGAGGTTAAAGGATGGAGTATAAATGAAGGTTAACCTCTTAACCTTACTAGCAATTTTTTTTTATTGTTTAATGTAAATGGGAGTTAATGGGGGTTAAATATACACATCCATATCTCTCCAAATGCCAATTTTCTGAACCCCCAAATCAGCGGGTTAAGAGTGGAATATAAAGATTTTACATAGTTCTACACCCATTAACCTCATTTTCCTTTTAAACCTCCTAGACAAAATAAGATTAATTAACTCTTATTTACATTCCTTTCATACCTTTCTTCACCTCCATTAACTTCCCATTCCATCCTCCTAAAACTCTCATGCAATGAGTAAGGGGGAGAGACCAGTTTATCCCCAAAACCTCAGCACCCCAATTCTGAGTAAAGCATTATCTAATTCAGAGAAGCAAAACAAAAAAACAAATAAATAAATAAACAAAGAATAAAGTCACTAGCGTGGATCTGCCTACAAATCACAAACTTCAAAATAAGTAACCTAATTACATGCATTTGCTTATTTGCTAATAGATGAACTCAAGATTCACGTCTACTCTGTTCCAAACTCGCATATAAAAATAAATGAATTAACCATGGAAATTCAGTAGCATAATCATAGATGTGTTGGCAGTAATCTTGAAGATAACCAACATGCAAAGAGTGGTCATATCCAAGAAGTCATTTATCCTTTAAGGTCAGTATAAAGTTTTTATTTACTGAAAAAGATGCTTGACTATAATACCACTAAGGAGAAATCCAACAATAGTGGAAATGTCTTCCTTTGGGATAATAACTCCAAAAAGATATCCGACAAAGATGGAGATACCTGGAAATCAGAAAGTTTTTCTTTTGTCAGTTCTGTGGTTAAGGTAGACACAACCACTGCATTATTGAGTTCCTGTAACTTCTGAACAGAAGCTAATGCCCGGTTCTTTCCAACATCATTCTCAGAAAAAATGAAATTACTGGACAAATCCCACAGCTCCACTGCCCCTTCATCATGCAACGTTACAGACTTGACCCCAGCAAGAATGAGGTTTTTAGCTGCAGTAAGAACATTCACCAATATAATATACAGAGAATCAGGGACTTGATTTCAAGTCAAATTAAAGGAAATAGTACTCTCTTAATACATTAATATATAGAATAGCATACCCAAAACAAAACAAAAACTCTAAAAACTCCAAAATAAACAGAAAAGAGACTGCTCGACAATAGCAAATTTTGCTGAGTGTAAATGTAGCAATATCGTGAAGTCAAATAAGCAAATGAAAAAAAAAAAAAAAAAAAACAGACGTTACAGACGTGCACCCGCAGCAAGAATGAGGTTTTTAGCTGCAGTTAAGAAAACATTCACCCAATCTTTATATGAGAAGTTCAGGGACTTGATTTCAAAGTCAAATTTAAAGGAAATAGTATCTCTTAATACATTAATATATAGATACGCATACCCAAAACAAAAACAAAAACTCTAAAACTCCAAAATAAACAGAAAGAAGACCTGCTCGACAAAATTAGCAAATTTTGCTGAAGTGTAAATGTGCAATATATCGTGAAGTCAAATAAGCAAATGAAAAAAAAAAATAAAAAATTTTTTTTTTTTTTTATTACAAAACGAGCAAACCAATTCAGGGAGAAAAAAAAAAAAAAAAAAAATACAAAACGAGGCACCAATTCAGGGAGGCAGATAAAAAAGCGGAAGCTCACAGACTGACGAACTCAAAACACAGTTCTTCAGATCTTAGAATCTAGTCAGTTCTCAGCCCACAAAATATTGATCATCACAAACAATGTATTATAACCATCAATCAAATATCAAATTAAGAAAAAATTAATTAAAGAAAATTTAATATAACAATAACGAATTATTCTTTCATATCCATACCAATCTCCACACCAAGACCCTGCATGCCAGAGACGAGGACATTAGAGGCAAAAAGCCGCCGCATGGTCTCACGGCCATACACAGCAAGCTGCCGGCTATGCAGATCCTCATCAATATCGTTCTGATTCGCATCACCAGGTGCCATTATCAGACTGCTACTACCGTGGCTGTTGTTGTTGCTGCAGCTGTTGTCGCTAGTATTATTACTGTTGTTGCTGCTGCTGTTAGCGGTATTGATGTTTGCCGTTGATTCTAAAACGCAACCGACACTATGCTTCTTAATGAGAGATGAACCAGCTACTCTATTTACGTTTTCTTCTTCTTCTACAATGCCTTCAACAGGTCGCTTTCTTGGAAGCATAAAGTGCAGCAAACTGCCGAACAAACCACAAAACCCCAGAGAAATTATTAAAATTGAAACCACCCCATAAAATCTACTACTAGAAAACATCATACTCAGAAGGATCGGTACCAAAATTATAAACCCTAACACTAATTTAAGCTTCCACATGATTCCAAGGTAAATACGGTAAGCTAAAAGAAAGATTGATTATTAATCAAAGAAGAAAAGAAGAAGCGTACCAATTAGGACTGTGATTAAGGGAAGAATAGAATCAGGAGAGAGCGAGAAAGCTAAATGAATTTTGAGGTTGCTTGCAGTTGCAGAGAAATTTTCAGTAATTTTAGTTTGGGTTTTCATTTATATAAGAAAATGGAAATGGGGAAAGGGCATTTTTGGATTTGCAATTCCTCTAGGGTTTTGGGCTGGGGACAGGTGCTGTTTGGCAAGGTCTGTACCGATCATCACCATCTTTTCTTCTCTTCCTCCTCCTCCTCCTCCTTTTGGTGCGTGCAGGTGTAAGAAGATGATCCAACCATTTATTTGTTCATTTTGACTGGATGGATGATCCAACCAATGTCAAACTGTAGAAATAGTTTTATTTTATACGTTGTCGTTTCGTGCCTTCATGGTCGTCGTTTTTCTACATATTGTTTTTTTCTTTTTTCGTAGTTGTAAGAATATAAAATATAAACACCTTAGAGTAGCAGTGAAATAAAAAAATTTTTGAGAAACAACAGAATTAGAAAGCTAATCTCTAAACCTTGTTACTGTTAGCCTCCTTTGTTGAAAACAAACAAAAGAAAAAAAATATATAATATAAAATTTAGTTTTGCTCAATCCCACATCGGGGAGAAGAGCAATGTGAGAGTGGTGGATTGGCTATAAAAAGAAGCCAAGGTTTAGATTTCTAAACACACCAAAAACACTTGAATGTGTTTTATTTTAGGGATTGAGAGCAAGTTTTTTGGAGTCTCTTGGAGTATAAAACATTTGGGGTGTTTTGAGGGTGTCAGGTAGAAAAATATTTTGTAATCGTGGTTATAACAATTTGCCGCATAGTGAATATTTTTCTTGGTTGTCGTTTGGCAACGGCCGTGGTTTTATTTTTTTCTTGGTTGTCGTTTGGCACGGCCGTGGGTTTTTTCTCCACTTGGAGAGTTTTTCCAAGTTAATTATCGTGTTATTTATTCTCTTTAATTTCTCAGTCATTATTTTATTTTCTCAATTTGGTGCATGCTTGAAGGCCCGGTTAGAAGGGCGTGAAAATAGCGATTTTTCCAACAAGTGGGTATCGAAGAGCCTAGTTGTTAGGCGGAGCTTTTGTGTTAAAAATAATTTCTTTGTAATTTAAATTATAAAAGTAATGCAGCTGTGGTTGCGGCTTTAGTCTAATCTTCCACATCAGAAATATTGTTGTTGAGAAATTAGTTTATTTTAAAAAGCAGGTGGAGTTTTTGGAAGTCTTGGAAGCAGGTGGAGCTTTGCTTTTGGTGTGCTTGAGTTACGTGGTGAAGGTCCTGGACGATAATTATTGAAGTTATTCCAGGTACGAAAGTTCTGCTAATATAACCCGTGCACGTAACTTCTGTCTAAAAAGGCCGAATTTTAAAGTTTGGGACCACCGCTTGTGGACCTCAGCCCATTCGACCAACTGGGATTTTTACGTATGGTAAATACTGTTCTGGAGATCATGGTCTTTCCTGTGTATTGCCGAATCGGTTTACTTCACTAATTATTGGGTTCACTGTTATAAGCACAAGTAAGCATGTCGGCTATGAGATGTGAGATTGACAAATTTGACAGGAGAATGAATTTTGTACTGTGGCAAGTGCAAGTCAAAGACGTGTTGATTCAGTCTAAACTGCATAAGGTTTTGCAGGGATTCAGTCTGGACTGCATAAGGTTTTGCAGTGTAAACCAGTCAGCGGAAAGAATTCAGGAAAAGACAGTGGCAGTAGAGACTCAGAAAGATCCAAGATTAGCGATGAAGAATGGGAGGAGCTGGATATTAAAGCGGCAAGTCAAATTCGCATGTGTCTAGCAAAAAATGTTCTTGGTAATGTGTTTGGATTGTCCACGACAAAGGAATTGTGGGAGAAACTGGAAGAATTGTACCAGGGGAAAAATATATCCAACAGGTTATATTTGAAGGAGCAATTTCATACGTTGAAAATGGCGGAAGGTACAAAGTTGTCAGATCACCTGAGTGTTCTTAACGGCATCGTCTCTGAATTGGAAACTCTTGGAGTGCAAACCAAAGATGAAGATAAAGCTCTCCAACTCATCCTGTCACTTCCTTCGACATCGACATGATGAGCATATGAGCACATGAAACCTGTTCTGAAATATGGTGGTAAGGAAGTGGTGTATGCGGATGTGGTTAGTAAGCTCATTACTGAGGAGAGAAGACTGAATGAAATTGAAAATAAATCATATGAGGATTCAGTTTTATCTATTGGTACTAGGAAAAAGAATAAAAGCTCCGGAAAGAGGAAGGTTGTCTGCTGGGGTTGTGGTCAAACTGGACACGTGAGGAAGGATTATTGAACAGTGGAGCTGATTCGGCTAGAAGCTCTAACGTTGTTGCTACCAATGTGATCTCCTGTGGCGAAGGAGATGATGTGTTCTCTCTGCAATTGAGAGATGTGTGTCCTCATGGCATGATTGCTACCCGTTGAGATGCCATGGAAGAGGACAAATTATTGGTAGTTGGTCCACGGAAATGCGCACGGCATTGGTTGACAGTTGATGCAAAGTGTGTGGTGGAAAAAATATGTCGATGGCTAATGAACTCTCGCTAATGCTCTCGAAAATCACAGGAGGGTTGCCACGCATAAACTATTAGCGGGACCGACATGGGCGATGGGAAATTTTCTTAGAGTCGGTAAAAGGTGGTTCCAAGTGGCGATACTCCTTTTATGGTAGGGTATGATATCTTGACGATACGATAAGAATTATGATTGTCGGTAGCAGACAATGTTGTGTTTTTTTTTTTAATTTTATTTTCAAGGTGGAGATTGTTAGCCTCCTTTGTTTAGTTTTGCTCAATCCCACATCGGGGAGAAGAGCAGTGTGAGGGTGGTGGATTGGCTATAAAAAGAAGCCAAGGTTTCGGTTTCTAAACACATCAAAAACACTTGAATGTGTTTTATATTAGGGATTGAGAGCAAGTCTTTTGGAGTCCCTTAGAGTATAAAATATTTGGGGTGTTTTGAGGGTGTCGGGTAGAAAAATATTTTGTAATTGTGGTTTTAATAATTTGCCGCATAGTGAATATTTTTCTTGGTTGTCGTTTGGCGACGGTCGTGGTTTTTCTCCACTTGGAGATCCACTTGGAGAGTTTTCCACGTTAAATTATCGTGTTATTTATTCTCTTTAATTTCTCAGTCATTATTTTATTTTCTCATTTGTTCTTACTTGAAGCCGGTCCGAAGGGCGGAAAAATAGCGATTTTCCCAACAGTTACTTCCATAAATTAGGACATATGCCCCTATTTAATTTCGAAGCACAGGGTTGATGTTGTTATCTTTAGGGCACATGCCCTTCCTCGAGGTGCATATGCCTCGAAGGGGAGGCATCATCCCTCCTTTGCATCTTCATGGCTGTGAACCATAAGTTATGGTACGGTAAATTAAGGTGTAAATGTCAAAAAAAAGTTATAAAAAAAAAAAAATGTTCGCTCCAATGGAATTCGAGTTCGGATTCGAATCGAACTCGGAGCTGTATGAATGGTCAAAATTACTAGTACATACCTATTGTTTATCAAAATCACTTATTCACTCCTAAATTTAACCCGTTAACTATTTCATCCTTTTGTTCAAAAAATATTATTTCTGTTGTTAATGGTTTTTAATATTTAACTATTTTATCTTCACATTTAACATAGTGCTACTATTCAATTTTTCATATTTACTATTAAATTATTATTACTTTTTTAGAAATATAATTCATTAATAATAAAATCAAGTATTACAAATATTGAAATAAACTAGATATAGAACTTACTATCATAATTAATAGAAAGTTTGTTGTAGATATAGAACTTACTATCATAATTAATAGAAAGTTTGTTGATCCTTCAATAATAAAAGAATTATCCATATGTTTTTAAATAATAAAACTAAAATTAAAAGAAACAATATTGAATTTTTTCGCTTGAAGATAACATTGACCGATATAAATCTTCATAATAGCAACTGATTCTTTAATTGATTTGGACGATAAAATAACTTCTCCAAATTTTTTATGCTTGGATTGCTTTTCCAAAAACTTATTGCGCGTGACGTACACGGATGAATTCAAGCCACTATGCGTTAATAGCATCAATGTAGAAACATATCACATTATCAGGCTCCATTGATCGAAGATACACATCAGTAAAACATGATCTAAATTTCCAATCAAATAAAATAAAATATCATGCATTTAAAAACAAATCTTCACAAAGAATGAATTAAACTCTCACGGAAAATAAACCATTGATCGAAGATACACATCAGTAAAACATGATCTAAATTTCCAATCAAATAAAATAAAATATCATGCATTTAAAAACAAATCTTCACAAAGAATGAATTAAACTCTCACGGAAAAACGGATAAAAGAACTCCAAATATGAAGACAAAGCAACAATAGCAAAAAAATAAAGAAAAAAACAGATATATTAAAAGAAAATAGATATGAGTTTATAAAAACGAATAAAAGATCATGAGCGAAAAGAAAAAATAAAAGCAAGGAGCTACCGCTGATTAACAACGGTAGCCACAAACAAAAACCAGGTTAGATAAACTAGAGAGAAAATGGAAAGAGAAAAACCCTAAACTAATCTACCAAATTATTATTTAATTAGGAAAATACCACTTTTTGAATAAATGGATTGTATAATTTAATAAGGCTAAATCTCACTACCTAAGGAACGAATCAATAATTTTGTCAAACAATAGTATGTGATAATAATTTTGACTAAATAATAAATAAAGAAACAACATACAAGTAAAATAAATCTGCAATTAAACTTATATCGCATTATATTTATTTTAATATATTAAAATATTATATTTATTTTAATAATAATTTAAAATATTTTAAAGTTTGGACAAAAAAAACATGAGGGACCCTCACATAAACAAACTATGAACACTAGGACACAAATCCTTGTATCACTCAAAACTTGTAGGTCCATTGGAAGAACACATAGACAACCACAATCTTGCTTTCACTTTGTTTTTTCCTTTTTTAATTCTTTTTCTACATTGGCTATCTTTCCATTTGCTCTTTTTCTATTTGCTATCTTATATAAATGAACCACATTGAAAGCCATTGTCATTCATGACGACAAATACATGCAACCATATTTTAGTTCCACCACCTCATCCCATCATTGATAGGTACGTTACACCAAAATTTCTATCCTTGCCCTTTTTTTTTTTTTTCTCTTTTGAACATAATTTTCTTTAAAATATAATTATAGGGTAAAATATAACGGAGTCTCTAATTAAATTATATTCGAATTAAAGGTTAAGTTCTTCTACATTTGAGAAATAACTATGATATCTCTATCTGATGCTTCTGTCTCCCTATTAGCTTATTCTGCCTAAAAAGTGAGTTTTTTTATCATTAACGGAGTCTCTAAATTAAATTATGTTCGAATTAAAACTTTAGTTCTTCTACATCTGAGAAATAACTATGATATCTCTAACTCATGTTTCCGTCTCACTATTAGCTTCTTCCGTCTTAAAAGTGAGCTTTTTTATCATTAATTAGACACTTTTTGGTGAAAATATCTGATAGTGAGATAAAACATAAGTTAGAAGTGTCCTAATTATTCATCAAATGTAGAAGAATTTAAGTGATAATTTGGACATAATTTAGGGACCCAATTATACTTTACCCTATAATTACACATCAATCCCTCTCACCTTACACAAGTCCGACGCTGAATTCAAGCGTGTCTTACTACCGATTTGTTTCCTGTTTAACTGATAAAAAGAGACTAGGAAGTTTGCAAAAGATTGTATTAAATTCACGCATAAAGAATTCAAATCAAGACACATTATTCACTCTTTCATTGACCGAGGATAAACATTTCTGCTAATATTAACTTCCAAAAATCTACATTTATGCATGACAGCACCTAATTAAGGTACCTTCTTTACACAAAATTCAATTATATTAATCAAACTACATTTAACTTTTTACCTAGTACTGTTGTTGCTGAACCGTGATAAAATCGATAAAATTTCAGAGAACTGAGGACGCTTTGATGGGTAATTATTCCAGCACTTGGTCATCAGAGATTTCAGGATTTGCGGGCAGTCATCAGGAATATCCGGTCTTAGGCCGCAAGCAGCTATTCCAACAGCAGCCTGCACAGGTGAACATGCTGCATATGCAGCCTCACCAGTCACCATTTCCCAGATCACCATCCCAAAACTATATACATTACTCATCCATGTCTCACTGACACTCTCTGGATCACCGGCAATGATCTGTTCAAAAATGGGAAGGCAAAAAAAAATCACTTCAATCACCGACAATTCATGCTATAATTTCTGCGCATATAAACTAGTAGATTGATTACAAAGATGAATCACATCAAAGTCAAGAATTATCATCATGCATTTGTGCTAGAATTTAGGTACAGAAGTTTGATAAAAGTTGTGTTCACATGGTGGCTTACAAATTAGGTGTGGAAAAGGACTTAAAATGATGCTTAAAGTTCAAAAGATCCTTTAACCTGGCTCCACTAGATAAACAATTTTGGTAAAGGTGGCAACGGACGCAACAACATAGCGGCTGAAATGATTTGTAGGAGTGATCATGCAAAGGCAAACACCATATTGAAATATAAAAGTTAAAACAATTATGAAGACATGTTCAGCATGCTCAAGCAATTATGTTGGGATAAGTGGTATAAAGCCTCTTTAATAAACAGTTGATTATGCAGAAAATAGCATCTGAATACATTGGATCTAAAAAATGCCCTTTTAACACACTAATAATTTTCAACATGTTAGTGGTGGGAATGAAGAAAGTAACACCATGTTTGGGAAAATAATAAGAGGGGAATAAAATGAGGGTGAGTGTTGCACTATTGATCCCATTTGTTTGAATGGAGAGGAGACAGTGAGGAGGGAATATTGAAAACATAATTTTTCATTACTCATTGTTTTTTTAAATGATAAGACATAAAAGAGGGAATTCAATAATTTGGAAAATCATCCTCCTCTCGCCATTTTCAACTCAAATTAGGGTGATTTGGGGTGAAATGTTCAATGGGTCCCATTTTAATATTTTCCCCCTCCATTTTCTCCTTCTCTCTCTTTCACCCCCTCCACATTTAACCCTTTCCAAACAAAGCATAACAAAGCTTGTATTTATTACAGGGACAGATAACAGTGTTTGGAAAGTAAGTCAAATAAGTAGCTCCAAATCCAATTGCAGAAAATATGCGTTATCTATTTACAACCTAACTCAAAATATAATAACCATGCCCCACAAAACCAATATTTCCTGGAGGGCTGGGACCCTAGTTGACATCACAGCTAGTCACTATAAAAGTTTCCTATGTTTATTTGGGCGCTCAAAAGAAATAAAAAGATTATTCCATCACAAAAGTGAGAATTTTAAGAAAAATGTCATTCCACAAATGCATAAAAGCAAAATATACTAATTCCTTTAGCATGTAAAAAAAACAATTGAATGGTTTCAATGCCTGGAGAGACTAGGGTCACAATACCAATGCAAAATGCATTCTAAATTTTAAGGTTTATGAAGTACCAAAAATATGTTTCCTCAATTGCATAGTCATGATCAACCTCAACATCTTTTAGCTACTTTAATTTGGGAAACTCAGACCAAGAGATAGAACACTAACCTCCGGGGCTAGCCAACGATAGCCATCTGTTTCATACTCCATTGCCTCACCCATACTTTTGCAAGCAGTGACTATACCCATGTCCCCTAAGCAAGCATTCCCATGCCGATCCAGTAGAATCCTCTGTGTGTTAAGGTCTCTATATGCAACACCATGATCATTCATGAATTTAATCCCTTCAGCTATATCTGAAGCAATTCTTATAATCTCCTTAATCTGAAGCTTCTTGTTCTTTAGCATTAAATCATTGACAGAGCCACCTTCCATCAATTTGGTAACCACACATAAGCCATGATTTTCATCAACACAAACACCATAAAATTGCAGGACACTTTTATGTCCACAAGTCATTAACACCAATAGGTCTTTCCTGAGCTCAAACTCATAACTATTCCCTTTGTCACATCCTTTGAGCTTCTCAATTCCAACCCTTTTGCCCTTGTAGATACCCTTAAAAGAATTGGGTCCAATCTGATCAATAAACTCAAGATTATCAGAGTTCAAAAGCCATTTCCCAATCTCATCTCCACCTGACTGAATCGTTTGCCATTCATCAACTGATACAATAAATGATGAAGTGGGCAAGGGCATCTCAAGCTGAATTTTAACATTCAAATTCTCATTGCCATTCCTGTAATTCTGTTCATTCACATCCTCTTCAATTTCACCAAAATCTCTCCCTCTAGTATTCTCTTCTTGGCACCCGCAAAGTCCAAATGGAAGCTTCACTGTAGTTTGTTTAGGCTTCTTTATAGCAGATTTTAAAGCACTTTCAATCCGGGTTTTGAACAATTTCTCTTGGCCAGCTTGAATTAAAACAAGGACAACCCCAAGAGTAAAACCCTTCTTTTCAAAGATCTGAATCTTTTTACAGCAAATGGAAGCACTATCCAATGCACCAGACATTGCCGGCCAAGAAATTGAAGAGTTACAAGCAAAAGTGAGCTTGAATACAGAACCTTGTGTATTATCATCTTCAGATACTTCCTGTATCATTATTGCTGGTTGCTCATCCACAGATGCCTGCTCGATCAACTTTATGTGTAGAAACACATCTTTCATATCAAATTCGGCCTGCGCATAACTGTCAAAATAACATCAAAAGTAAATAAGTTACAAATGAAGATAATCCCAGATGCTCCACTTAAAACTGAAATCTTTTTCAGAAAATCAATCAAAAAAAATACAGAGATGAGAGAAAAAAAATCACTACTTTACTTAGTAAAATATTATAAGGTCCAATCCAATTTCCAAAATTCCATCATTTATTATTAACAACCTGAAAGGAAACAAATTAACATTAAAGAAAATCTCACTCTCGTCTTTTTTTACTGCATTTTTGCGGAAAGCAAGCAGAAACCGAATTTAAACTCAATTGTTCTCAGCTAAGCTATATTTAACTAAGCATCAAACCTGAGAGGCAAAGAATCGTAATGCTTCCTAATATTGCAGACGAGCTTCTCCGGCAACTGGCTACCTGGGTACAGCTGCGTTAAGTTCCTTACAACACTAGCCCACACGACCTTTCTGCAGCTTTCAATCTTAGCGGCATTATTATTCAGTTGCGGTAGTTGCTGCTGCTGCTGCTGCTGGAGGACCTGTACTTGCGAGTCGCGGGGTGAGTCAAGATTCAGTGAGTTCTTAAGCGAAGCAATCGCCTCCGACACATTTCGACTGAGTTTCTGAAACCGCTTCTGCATCGCAGAGGATGATGGGTCTTTGATTGTAAGATTTGAAGATGAAGAAGAGAAACTTCCACTATTCAACGTGGTTTCTGATCTGTCTTGAGTTCGCATCAGGACTTGTTCTACCATGTCCTCATCGGTACTAGCTCTGCTCGACCAGCACTCTAGAGCTGCAGCCATGGCTCAGTGGAGAAGTTTGAAATGTGGGTTTGGAGTTACGAATCAAGACTAGTGTGACTATGCTTAACTAAAAGGTAAAATGGTTTGGTCTCTGTTTCAGATTGCTGGGTTTGGCCATTTGTTCTGACAGAGGGAAAATGAAGAAGTGGGGTGGTTTTTGTTTAGGAAGGTGAAGTGTAATAAATTTTATGGAGAAAAGGTTATGGTGAGGTAGAACCTATCTTGCTAGTAAGAACTCCCATGCTCTCAACCGTCGGATCATGTGAAACATGAGACAACAGACACGTCCTTGAATTCTGGAATGAGGCATGAATATTAACGTGTCCTAATACATAAATTCACCGTTTTAAATCTCCAACTTTAATTATTTGGCGCCCTGAACCTTCTCGATAATGCATTATATATTTAAATTTTCAAAAATTTTAATAATATTATAGACTTTTTACATTAATATTAACTTTTTTTTAAGTTTAAATTTTTATACAAAAAATATTTTTTAATATGCAGTTAGTATAACTTTTTAGTTTTTACATACTTTTTCCATTTAATAAGTATTTAATTGATCTAATTTGTAAGTTAAAATATTTTTAAAAATGATTTTGCAAATTCAAGTATTTAATATATATAATTTTATAAATTAAAGTATTGTTAGGTGGAGTGAAAATTGAAAATGCTATAATGTTAGGATTTGTTCGCAAATTTAGTTGTTCTAGGAGCTTTTAATTATTTTGATAGTTGTACTTTATTAGTAGTTAGTTGTTAATGATTATATACCGATTTAGAATAGAAGTGTTCAGTATAAATAACTTTTGATTAGATATTTAATATAAAATGACAAAAAAATGATATGAAAACGAGAAACAATGTAAAAATAAGTGACAGGTACATGAAGTAAAGTGTCATAAAAAAATTATAAAACCCAAAACGTTAGTAAAAATAATGTTTCATAAAACACTATCTCAAACTTTAAACATTATGATACATATTGTATTACCGAACGCAATAATTACTTAAGATAATGTTTCAACTCTATCAAAACACTAAACGCTTCCTCAAACATTGCTACCAAACAAGGCCTTAAAACAACGAAGTTTGTGAGTAAATTTATATATATAAAACGTTAGTTAAAAATAATGTTTTTCATCATAAAAACACTATCTCAAACTTTAAACATTAGATGATACTATTGTATTACACGAACGAATAATTAACTTAAGATAATGTTTCAACTCTATCAAACACTAAACGCTTCACTCAAACATTGCTACCACAAGGCCTTAAAACAACGGAAGTTTGTGGAGTAAATTTATATATATATATATATATATTATATATATATATATATTATTGTGGTTGAATTGTAAATAAATTATATCGAATCAAGCTTTTGTGATAACTTATATAGTAAATAGGACAATTTGAAGTTATTAGCTCTCTACATTTTCTATAAGAAATGAAAAATCAATCAAATTACACATTCTTAAATCATATAATACTTTTAATATAAATGTATAGGGAGATGAGGCATCGTGGTAACACGTAATTGGCATTACAGAGGATGGCAACCCGAATCCCTTCAAATACTCATTAGCATTTTTTTCAAAGATAAAAATTAAATAAAAATTATAAAATTATTATTTTGACTTAACAAAAAATATAATATAAAAATATTAAATATAATTGTAGCATTATTTATAATTGAAAATGTGTAAATATATAATTTTTGAAAAAAAAAATTATTTTAAATATTTTAGAACATTAATTAAATCGGATATAGACAGCGGGTATTAAATTTTTTAAATCCGAATTGGGTCAGATATAATATGAATAATAAAAATATAACTCAAACTGAATTAGAGATGAATTCACTATTTGAATCAGTTAAAATTGAATCGGATTGAATCAAGTACTAGCCGATGGGATAAAATTATCATCCCTGAGTCCTTACCAAATAAGCTAAGGATCTAATTGTTGAAAAAAAAAAAAAAAAAAAAAAAAAAAAAACTAGATAAAGAATGGCCCGAAAGGACTTAAGCCTTGACTTGATGAAGGTCTCGATTTGATATTTGTGTCTGTATATGTGATTGCGATGTATGTATGTTAGAGATGAGATAATGCGTATGTACACCGTATCTACATGTGAGCCCTTTATGCTTATTAAGATTGGAGCAGTGTTTGCTGACTTGAGAAGGAAAATGTGGGTCCAAACGGGTTTGATTGGACATTGAAAAATGGGACCCAGATGATATAAAAATAAAGTTGCCCCATGTGCCCCACAATGGGAAGAATCATGTGAAACAGTGCTCACGGGAAAAATTTTAGATGATCTTAACTCACAATCCAAACTTATAAATCAGGTATACAACATTGTCCTGCATTTTTTAAATTACATAGTTCCATCTCTATTTTTTTTTTTCCATTATACTGTTTTTTTTTTTGGTCAATTTTATACCTTTTCATCAGTAAATTACTATTTTATCCCTATGTGTTTTCAAAAATACTATTTTATCTTTATTTTACCAAACTAACTAATCCGTAATTGTATTTAACAAAAAAAAAAAAAGTAATCAGAAATATATAACAATGTAACAAAGACAAAAATTAGGGATACAACTATGTATTTCTAAAAATATAAGAGCAAAGTCATGCATTTTAACGAAATATAAGAATAAAATAATGCTTTTTTCAAAAAAAAAATGTAAAACACACTACTTTCGACGTAATTTCATTTAAAATAAAAGTTGCTTAATCTTCGTAACTTTCTTTCACAACGTTTTCTTTTTTGTTGCATTCTCTCTCTTAATATGTCCTCTTACTAAATTGGTCATCTCTCTCTCAAACTTACCAATTTAAATCAGATTTATGTATTTGGATAATAAGATTTTAGGGTTTCTAGGGTTTGAAAAAAATAGTGGTAATAGAGAAAAATTCGAAGATGTTACTACTACTAGGTTTGGAAAATTTTTTTGATTTACTGAAGGGTTAGATTATGCTTTTGATGGCAATTTATTGGTGCGTTTGTACATGGTCTTTCTTTGATAACCAGAGTCATTTTTTAATAAATGATCATTATGCGTCAAACTCAATAGAATTTGATCAATTTTGATTTCTGTCGATAAATTGGAGAACTGAACTAAGATGAATTTAATTCAATTTAAACACTTAAATTAAAAATCTTATAGAATGTTCTATAAAACATCCTTCTTTGAGCTCGAGTTATAGAGTTCTCGCTTAGGTTTTTAGTTGATCTTATTAACTTTTTGGGGTCTAATACAAAAAACATAGATAAAATGATGCAAGAAATTTAAAAAGTAAAACTTTTAAGACAAAAAAGGAACACATCTATCGACAAGTTGTACCTTAGTTGGTAATACAGACTGGACATATAGAAAAAGCTCTTAGGTTCGATTCCCACTAAATGCATCTGCAGGAGGACGAAAAACCATAACTATAACTAAGCCCTAAGCCGAATTACAGATAATACACTTATTTTGTTTATCTTGTTGTTGATTGCATGTGCATCATAGTCTAAATAACGGGTTAATTCACTCATTTTGCTAGGTGAAAATTGCCAAAAATTAATTTTTGGGCAATTTAGATATTTGGCCAAATTTAAAGGGTGAAACAAGCTTTTTTTTTTTTTTTTTACTTTTATTTTCTCATTACATTTGACTGACTTTTGATTTTTTTATAAAAATTTTTTAAAAAATTAAATCACCTCAATTAAAATAAAATTAATTGACTAAATTATTTTTTAATTAATGCTCATCTAATTGAAATAAAATTTAATATAAGTAGTATTAAATAAGGATAAAATTGATAAAAAATAGTAATTGATAACTTTAATGTTGAAAAAAAAAAAGAATGGCGAAAACTGTAAATTTGAAGGGAACGGAACTTAGGCCAAGAGTCCATTTTGTCACAAATTTAATCACATTTGTAGTTTTTCAAATTTTCATATTTTATATTTCAGTTTTTGAAGGGAAAAAATTTGCATGTCTCTATTCGACTCGTGTACAAAAAAAGACAGATCTATTCTATTCCTTATGCAGACTTGGCTTTCTCTATGCAATTCCACTCACTGACTGCCCATTTTACGTTTCGTTGAGATCTTTAGGAAACCGAGACCGACTGATCTCTTATGGCGTCCACTAGTACAGTGGAGCCATCTGTACAAGACGAAACTCAGGAAGAGGAGGTTTACTTTCTTTTTTGTAACTATTAGTATAATTTTCTTTCTGAAATAACATTCAAAATTTCATAATTCATCAGTAAATTCTACTTGGATAATTGTTTGGATAAACTGATTGTTTTTCTTCTGGTTAAATTTACTGGTCGCAGCTTGAAAGATTTGACGACTTCACACTTGCCTCTTCATGGGAAAGGTATTTTTTTTTTTTTTTTTTTTTTTAAGCCTCTTCATGGGAAAGGTTATTTTTTTTTTTTTTTTTTTTTTTTTAAAATTTCAGCAATGGAACTTCATATTGTCCTTTTGTAAACTTTTTTTTTTTTTTTTTTTTTTTAAATTTCAGCAATGGAACTTCATATGTCCTTTTTAAACATGGAACTGATACAAGCTTGTAGGCGAGCTCGCTCGCTCGCACATATATATGCACATTTCTGCCTTATATTTGAAGTTTGTGACCTAGCCACTTAATGGATTGGGAAGATCGATATTTATTTGTTTTCTCTTGATTCGTAGGTTTATATCTGAAATTGAGGCAGTTTGTCGGCAGTGGTTGGCTGATGGTCCAAAGAATTTGTTGGTACGCCAATTTTGATTAATGAACTAGTTTTATTCATTTGATTGTTGTGTAATTGACAATGTGATCTAATATATTCCTTTCCTGCTACCCTAGAAAAAAATTATTATCTTCTGTTTTGGGTGTTAATTATTGGAACAGATTGCATTTTGTGTTGCCAGCTATTGTGCTTCGAGTCAAATGCAATACAAGCTTAGGCTGAGTGTTATTGCGTCTGATTTATTTTTACCTAAGAATATACCCATCTTTCTCCTATGAGTGATTATTGAGAAAAAGCATCTTATTTGGAAAGGATGGGTGATTAGTCCTTGCTTACAATCATCTTAACTTGCTAAATTCTTCAATGTTTCACAAGGTTCGTTGCTTATTAGTCAATAGCACCAAATTGTGGAAGTCCGTTAGGATGATTGCCTTGCCTCTTTGACTACCAAGATTGATGGTGGACCTAGATTCATGTCTATAATTCTATTTGATAGTGGGGTAGAAACTGCTTCTTCGAGAAGTACGCTTTTAGATATTGTTGCAAAATAGTACATTCGAACCATTGTTTAATTATTTTGGAGTTTTAACGACTAAACATATTCACCTTAAAAATGATTTTTAATAGCCTTCAATCAACATACTTAAGATGTATTGTTTCTTAACAGCATCTCCTACAACCTCCAATCAACATAATTTCTTAATAGTAAAATGCTAAATAGATCCTGGATCTCAACTTTGGCTATCTTGGACCTTTTTGCAGTTTTCTTCCTTTAGAAATTGCATCACATGGAAAGGATGTATTCTTTTTTATATCGCTCACACTCTTGAATGTGGGACAAGGTTCATCCCTATCAGTTGCTAAAAGGAAAAAATTATTATGTATTAATCATATGAATATTGGATTCTTGCTCGATGAGCATGATAGAAAAATTTATGTGCTAGACTATGTTATTATTAAACTTCTGATTGTCTTAACCTGTTAGTAAAACTAAATCCATCTTCCCTTATTCTTTTGTTCCCATCCTACACTACAGATTTTCTTTTTGTTTTCTTGTAGGCAAAGGGTGCAGTTCAATTGGACTTCTCTGAGAAATTATATAAGGTCAAATTTGAGTTGAAATATGCTATGAAAAGCTATAGCATGGAATATTATTTTGAGATGAACACTGGCGGTACTTGCAACAATTCATTCTAATAATTTTTCTTCTATTGCTGTCTTTTACCGTGTTTCATATCTTTATTTAAGTTTTGGTTTGCACAGGAAAAAGAGTAGACTGGGATTGCACTTTGCATGATCTGCAGTTATGCTTTGGTGTAAAAGAATTTTTGGTAAGCATAATCTTACTTTTTGTTCTGCACTATCTAGTACTTTCTTCATCTTTGCAGGCATGTTTAAATTACCAGGTGATTGCTCCTCAAAGTGCCAGTGGCGTGGTTCTTGACGCACCAGAGGCTAGCAAGCTCTTAAGTGCAATTGCAATTGCTTTGTCAAATTGTTCCAGGTAGGCCATTAAGATATTGTTGTTTGGTTGTTAGGGAAGTGTGGCAGTATATGTGCTTAAACGATATCTATTGCATTATGTGCAACATGAAGAATGTTCTTTGGGTTGATATCATATGTATATTGCATCCTCGCCTATTAAAATTCAGTTGAACAATTTAATAGTTGTGGTTTGAACTGTTATAATCTTGTATATGTCACTGTTGTTAAAGGCTGAAACCACACTAAGGCACAAATGGATTTGGAGCCTGAGGAAGAAGGCTCAAAGCCAGGTGTGTGCCTGGCGGATATGAGGCACAAAAAATAGGAAAACTGTATTTCCTATTGGAATAATAAGGTGCAAAAAAGGTCCTAAACATATTCACATGCTGAAGTGGCCTAGATTAAAAGAAAAACTTTGTAACTGAGAATCATGCAAATGAAACATGAAAAAGAGAAAAACTGAAAAAAGAATTTATCATAGAAGATGAGAAAAAAGAGCAAATGAGAAAAAAAAAATAATTTTTAAGGGAAAGAATAGAAAGAGAGAGTGTTTGGAAGATGAACAAAAAAGAAAACTATCATAGATAGAACAGGGAAATATCATGGAAAGCAGAAGGAGAAGAGAATGACATAACATACCTTGGATGGTGTGCTACTTGACATTGGAAGAATGGAGAAGATGACTTTTGGAGTATTCGTTGTTACATGAGATTTTTAACAGTTAGTTAGATTAAGTCATTAAGAGTTCAAAAATTCCCCTTTTGCATTAGGTTCCAATACGAACCTTGAGAAAGTTCAGAAGTTCCCATTTTGCATTAGGTGTCTATAACGAATGTTTAGTTTCTAAGTCTAGACCTACAAATTAGTTAAAACGGATAAAACAATTAAAAAATTCAGGCGTGCCTAAGCCCAAGGCTGTGCCTGGCAAGATCACACCTTCCTTGGGTATAGTCTACACAAGGCACCTACACCTGGTGGTGCCTTGCACCTAGGAACACCGTTAAGAACAGTGATATATATGCTAAACCATCTTTATTTTGCACAGCCAAAATGGACTCTAATACTTGGAATGTGCAGCTTGTGGCCAGCATTTGTTCCGGTGCATGATCCTTCTCGAAAAGCTTATATTGGAATTCAAAATATGGGAACTGTTTTCACTAGAAGATTTGAGGCAGATCATATTGGCAGCCAGGTCCCAGTAAAGCTTATGCATTTGGAAGGGCTATATGAGCTATTTGTTTCTAAGTTTGTAAGCTACTCAGAGTTCAATAATTTGTATATTCCTGTTAGTGTTACTGTTGTGCCAAACTTGTGGTTCACCAAATGGTTGTGCTTGCCTTTGTGTTATTCATGTTGGCCAAAGGCCCAAATTGATCCTCCAAATTAGACCCAAGAGTCAATTCTTCCATTCTACAACAAATTTTGTCAATCGAGCCCCTCGACCTTCTATTTTTGGTTAATAGTCCCAAAAAGTCACCTGAAAGTCGCATGATAGTAACATCAGTTAATTTTTCAGTAATCTGTTAGCTTTCTTGTCTTTTTTTTTTTTTCATAACTAGGCATCTCTAAATGTGATATAGCATAATGATCATTGGAGACTAGAGAAAAATGGCCGTTAATGAAAAAAACAAGCTGGAATGTGACTAAACAACATTGGGATGACCTTTCATCATCATCACCATCGTCCTTTTGCCCGTCAGGAACTCTAAATCTAATTTCCATTCTCATATCTCAAATCTGAATCCGAACCCACCCAAGTTTAATCTGATTGTCATCATTATTGTTATAGCTACAGACTTCATCATTTCTTAAAAGAAAAAAGTTCTGAATCCCAAATCCTATTCCCAAATCAACTAGTAAGGATATCCCCAAATTGACAAAATGAGAAATTGTCTGGCAAAGTTTTGGGCAAACTGAGATGTGAGAGGTTTAGTTGTGGGTGAAGGAGAAATCTAGAGGCTTCAGGAGATTAGAAACTAGGGTATTAATTGAAAATACATAGACATTACCTTTTTTTTTTTGAACAATAGGGATTGCAGATTAATTGAAGCAAAAAGGAGAACTAGAAAACAGAGGATAGGGAGAGGGAGAGATAGAGCTTGTTGTTTGGCTGTAGTGAGATAAGGGCCCCTTGAAGTACGGAGTTTGTACTTTCACATGTTTAATGCTTTATTTAACAATGTTAGAAATTAGGACTTAATCAAATAAAATTAGAAGGTTGAAGGGTCTGATTGACAGAAACAGAAGTGTGAGGGATGAATTGACTTTTGAGTCTTTGTTGGAGGGCCCATTCATATTCCTCTGGCATTATTGTTGCTTGATTTTCGATTGATAAACTATGAAAACAAAATTCTTAGCTGAGGCCTGCAAGAGTGGTGATATTTTCTTCCTTCTAACGACCTGAATAATGTTTCACGCCCAAGTCTGTGCAAGGTGTTCTTGTAACAGTTTATTGTGGTAGATGTTTGTGCTCAGATTTGATATTTTTTTTCCTTAACAATGATATCAATAGTTAATTTATCTTCTGGTGAAGGCCTACTCCACAGTGGATTATGCTATGCGCCTTTTCAAAGTTCATTTTACGATGAAGTCAACATACAGAACTATTCCCAATGATGATGATGACAATGATCTTCAGAGTCCTGCTGTTGAAATTGGAGAACATGAAAAAGATCCTGGTGGTGATTCTGACACCCATAACAGATCACAATGGGATGATGATTGTCCTTGGAGTGAGTGGTATTCTGCAGAGAATCCAATAAAAGGTAAACTTAAATGATTTTGTGAGTGTTAGAAGCTGAAACATGCTGATAGAAATATGTTTGCTTCCGACATATTTGAGTGATGTGCACAACATATTACAGCGCTTGCACTTTTTATTTACATCATAAATAGATCGGTATGACCTTTATGCTATCTTCCTAACTGAATAATCTCTTTTTTATATTATCTTCCTTTTTTCTTATTTCTTTTTCATTGCTTCCATTTTTTGGGCCATTTATGAGCTTACATTTCATGTTTATGTTTGTTTTACCTTGAGCCTTTGAATCTGGAAACTAATGGATTTCTTACCTTTGATAATTTAACTACCGACAGGATTCGAATTAATTGCCACATGGTCAGAAAAGATGGTAGAAAGCTCCCTTGAGATGGCTGAATTAGAAAATGCCTCACCTCATGACGCTGAAAATTGGATGATACGTCCAATCTTGTCTCCAAATCTGTAAGAATTACTTTTTCAATAGGTCTTGTTATAACTGAAATATTATTTGTACACTAGCATGGATGTCATAATCACTTGGCAGATCTTAGTTTGTTACATTTTGTCGATCCAATCTTAGCCTGACATTATTGAGAGGACCTATGAAAATTGAAAAAATTGTGTAGGCTAGGTATTACTCAAGTAATTATTGTCTAATATAGTTATTATTTGATCAACTATTACTTTATAAAGCAAATTTTAATTCCTAGCAGTTAGCAGTAACACACTACTGCTAAATAGAAGGCATAGTAATTGTAAACCAAGTTCTATACTGGAGAAGTGGATGTGTAGCTTATTTTATTTGGTTAGTCAATTTTTTGTGTTGTATTATATTCATCTTTATTTAGATTATTTAATTCAAAATTTGGTTAACTAAAATAGTGGATAAACTGGATTTAGCAATATTTCCTTTTTGTCATGTATGTTATATGGTGCAATATTGGATAAACTTGATCTAGCAATCTTTCTTCTGGTAGGCATTATTACCTTATGGTGCTTTTCCATTTCGTTAATTTTATTAAAAATTCCTTCTGAATTTTTTTTTAAAGTGATAATTCAGATGGAAACAGAATTGGATTTGCTTCCCAATTGCGCCTTTTGGTTGATGCATTGTATATGTCTTTTAATGCCCAATTCATGGAGGATTTTGTGTCAGGTTTGACATAATTTCATATATAGTATCTTCTTACTCTAGTTTTTTGATTTCCTTTTATCTGGTAAGTTGTATTTGGTCTATTAGAGCCTTTGTAATACTCCTTTCTTCTTGTTTTTTGTTTGTGGCAGTTGAAAACCCAGGTTCTGATAATCTCAAGACCTCAATGATTTTACCCCCTCCAACAGTAATTGATCGGCTGCTCAAAGATCTCTTTCATGAGGGTACATTTTTTTCTCCTCTTTTTAATGGGCACTTTTCTGGCACTTCTTCTATTTGTTGGTGATTTATATTTGCATTGTAATCATATCATTCTGTTACCTATTCTCCTTTATGCCTTATTTGATCCATTGGATTTGGTGCATACGATTTTATCCACTACAAGAAGGCATTAGTCCCATGGATTTTAGCAGAACTGCAAAAGGGATTTAAGTAAACAAATCTCATGTGGTTGGACTTGGAATTGAAACTTTTAAGTTGGTTGCATTGTAAGAGCAGAATTATAGGGGTCTGAAAGAAGTTCCAATTAATAAAATAGGGGGAAGATTGAGGTATTTGTTTGCGTCATAGAAAATATCATTGTAAGCGATTCATTTCTTTGATAACACCTAACTGATTGCTGTACTTGCAAATATATTTGATTTTGGATTAGTACTTTTTTGGAAACCAGCAAGTGGGAACCTTTACCTTTTTCTCTTGATGTCCTCAACTATACCTTTTTCTCTTGATGTCCTCAACTATCCTCTTTCTTTCACAGGATCTCGACTCCCAAATTTTTCCAAAGGCGAGCATAAGAGTTCTCGAGCTATAAAAGGTGCACCTCTGGGGTCTCTTTTTGCACAGTTTTGTCTACATTCTCTATGGGTTGGGAACTGCAACATACGTGGTATGTATGAAAAAAGGACATGTTATATTCACTTTAAATATGGACATGTAAGAATGTTAATACTCCAACTCATATAAAACATGAATTTAGTAAGATTTTTTACTCTAGTGCTTTTCTTGACTGAGTTAATGCTTTTCTTTTTAAGCTGTTGCTGCACTCTGGATAGAGTTTATTCGTGAGGTCCGTTGGTGTTGGGAGGAGTCACAACCTTTGCCTAAAATGCCTTCTAATGGTTCCATTGACTTGTCAACTTGTTTGATTAACCAGAAATTACAAATGGTAATGCTTCTTATTTTTTAAATGATAGTAGTCGAGTTTGCATCTTGCAGATTGTTTCAACATACAAACTTGAGAATATGGTCCATGTGAAATTCATTTGTAAATGAATTTTTTATGTTTAGTATGTTTAATTTAAAACGTGTAATTCAATTGAATTCCATATAATTATATTTGGAATACATTCAAAATTGAGAATTCATTTGCTTTTATTTCTTGAAATACCCTTGACATAGTAATTTTAAGAAAACAAATAACAAATAATAGTTTTATTCTAATTGAATAAAACTATTATTTGGAGGAAAAAATTCTTTAGCAATTATTAAATCAAACTCAAGGTGAACCAATTGCTAGTCAAACTCAAACCAGTTCATCATATTTGAAACAAAGGATTCATATAGTTGACCCTACTTAGTTTGGGACTAAGGCTTGGTTGTTGTTGTTTTTGTTGTCCCTCTAATTTTGTGAGGTAAATCTTTGTTGCAACGTCCTTTTTGTGATGTTATTTCTTCGCTTTTGTTCACTGAACTTACTTCCTTTTGAAAAGATGAGGATACTAGTTTTTGTTTTCTGTATTTGAGTTGAGTATTTTGATGATGAGTGTTTGAGTTGTGGATATAACGTGGATTCCAGAAATAGATTACCATTTGCAGTTTTCACTTTTTTAAGTGCAATCTAGTCATATGTTCAAAATGGCGGTTCGAGATTTAGATCTAAAATTTTGAAGTGGGTCTATTCTTTTCATAGCACTCATGATAACAAGGAAAATCACTTTGCCTTTTATTGTTCAGCTTGCTATATGCATTGAGAAGAAGTGTGAACTAAATGAAGAATTTCAAGATTGTGTAGAAAACAATGATAATACTTATGCTCATAGCAAGGTGATTCAGCTGCTTTTGTTTTATCTTGTTCTTTTAGTTGCTGCTCGTGTTGAAATTTCTTGGATATGATTTTTGTTTTTTCAACTTTGGAATTGTAAATTTGTTCAATTAAATATGCAGGAGGATGTTTTAGTGGGAAATGAGACAACTAATATGCATTTACCTGATGAAAAAAAGTTTGATGGGATTCCTGACAGGTGAAAAGCAAGTGAGAGCTCCTTTATTTTCTATGTAAAAATTGACTAGTTAAAGCGTCTACAGCTGTTGATTTTGTTATTTTTTATTGTTGAACAAGAGAAGCTTATCGCTGTTTGACTTCTGAAAATTTACTACTACTATTTTTCTTCTTTTTGATATTTTTCATTAACCTGCACCTATCATAGTCATTCTAGTCTTGGAGTTGATGGGGATGACATCAATCATTAGCTTGAAAATGGGGCGCCCTTCCCCTGATCATTTCATAAAGTGTATGGGTATGCCTCTTCCTTTTTCACCGCTAACATGTAGAGATCAGTTCAGGTTATACTAATGTGATTAGGTTGTTTTCCATAATGTCTGAGTTTGTTTCCATGGTTTCTCCGTATGAGAAGAGAACGTGCTCCTAGTACTATGGATGCGTGTACTGCATCATTTATCTCAGATAGATGTACTGATATACATGGCCTGCATGTTTTAAATTGGAAAATTAGTCTACACATCTGTCAAAGTTTTTTTATTTTTGTGATTTTTCCCGTTTTCTTTTGTTTTTGTGATTCTTGAATAATGTAACTATACAGTTATTGGCTCATCTTGCTACTGTGTAGTTAACTTTTAGGTAAAAAAGGTTCTTTTTTTTCCTTTCTTTCTGTCTTTGTTCTTACATTTTTTAAATATAATCATAAAGGTAATTTAAAGAGTTACAAGCTTTCAGTGCAGAGATTGTCCTGATAGATATCAGTTTGCATCATTTTGCTCTGTCTTTTGGGACAAGCTAGTTGTTAAATGTCTGTAGCACGGACACTCTGCACATATTGCTGACTTGTGATGTAAGTTTAACCAGGCCTCTCTCCAAAGAAGAGAGCCTTTCTTTTCTCCTTGGTTGGGAATGGGTATTTTTCAAGAGAAACAAGTTGCTTCACATTGGATTAGATTTAAATTTAGTCTACTCAACTTTTGCGTGTCCTTTTGAGTATAATTTTTTTTGTATATCCTGCATATGACTTGTATATAATTCTTGCTGTACATATTGCAGCCCCATGATGCAGGATGGCTTGCATGGCTCTGATCTAATGTCAGCAAAGTTCAATATGAAGCATGAGGATGTGACGTCTAATGATCTAAAATCTTCAGATCGTACCAGGAGAGGCTCAGCTGGTGTGGTGGGATCCATGATGCTTCTGAAGTCATGTCAGTGCATGCATGGCCCTTTCACACAGGTTTTCTGACTCTAGTTCACTTTACGTTCTTATTGCAGGTGTATCCTGCGAAATTCGATATATAAAATAACATTTTTTTTTGGTGAATTTCTATAGGATCCACCACTTATGACAGAAGACATGCATGAAGAACGATTGCAGGCTGTTGAGGCATCTGGTGATTCTTTCGTAAGTTGCTTTTTGCACATCTTTTAGTTTACAAAGTCAATTTTGATATCACTGGAGCTGTGAAAAGGAAAATTTCTGGTTTGACTACCACAAAAATTTTGCTTATTTCTTCTTAATTTTGACGCCAATATGAAATAAATTAAAAACGATTTCCATGTGACAGATTGAAGTTGAGTGGCTGTGCTGAAATTACTGTTTAATCTAGTAACCATGGATGACATTAAGCCCCCATTTTATGATTGAAACTGCATTCTTTGTAAATCTTCTCCTTTTTTTGTTTATTCTTGGAAAGAGGATTGGTGCAATATGTCTTTCATTCATGTTTGCTTGAACATTTCTGTCATCATGAACTGGGTGGTATCATTTTATTGCAGAACTTTTCTGCTCAGTTGGAGAGAGATATCTTGTCATCAGGTACTAAATTTGCTTCAAATCTTATTCATTTCAGTTCCTGGTATATCAACTACTTTATAAACTTTTGTGCTGTTTCCATTAAGTGGGAAGCCCCCATGTCCGTATCATTTAATAAAAGGTCTGGTGGGGGTTGAGAAAGTGTTGAAAGGTTGTTCCAATTCACTTCATCCGTTTTACTTCAATGACCAATTCGTTTGCTATAAATTTTTATCAGCTTTCAAATACATGTTCAATTTTATTCCTCCATTTAAAGATCCTTGATCAATGATTTCTGGAAATATGAATTAGACATGGCAGCATTCAAAGCAGCAAATCCTGATGCCATTTTTGAAGATTTTATTCGGTGGCATTCTCCTGGAGATTGGGAGACTGATGAAACTGAAGATACTGGACTGTCCAGAAGTTCAACAATGGATAGTTTGAAGGATGGCTGGCCTCCTCGAGGCAGACTTTCACAACGAATGTCTGAACATGGAAATTTGTGGCGAAAAATTTGGAATGATGCACCTGCTTTGCCAGCTTATGAGCAGAAACCACTCCTGGACCCAAATCGAGAAGGAGAAAAGGTCTCTCTCTCTCTTCCACCCCCCCCCCCCCCCCCCGGAAATTTGTGGCGAAATAATTTGGGAATGATGCACCTGCTTTGCCAAGCTTATGAGCAAGAAACACTCCTGGACCCAAATCGAGAAGGGAGAAAAAGGTCCTCTCTCTCATCTTCCACCCCCCCCCCCCACCAACATTTTTTTCCCCTTCTATTTCGTGCTGCTAAAAGGGAAACTGCAATAGAATATTACCCCCCCCCCCCCCCCAACATTTTTTCCCCTTCTATTTCCGTGCTGCTAAAAGGGAACTGCAATAATATTTAATTTGACCCCCTTTTTTTTCTAAATCCAGTTTAAGAAATTCATATTTTGAGGGTGTGGAGTAGGTTACTATCTTAAGGGTCCATAAAAAGATGATCAGTAAATGTAGTTAGTTGGAACAATCTGATAACGACTCCTCATCATCAAATTTATTTCAATTCTGATAATAAACTTGTTGCTCTTCCACACAAAAATGTTTAACAGTTCCTTGCAATGTAATATTGTAGCATCCTATATTTTGTACCAGAAGTATGTTTGAGCCTTGAGGTTTGAGGTATGTCCTTTTCAGTCCAAAAGAGGAAATGGAGGTCAACCTATAGTCATTCAGTGGTTCCTCCTTAAAAGTTCCCTTTCATGTGTTGTTCCCTTTCTAGTTTCTAGTGTTGTGCAGTACTGGAGTATTGGGCTTTTGTTCCATGTCAAAGCAATGTATTTATTGCCGAACTATATTTTTGTTAGCTTTCCCATGTTACTGAACTTGTACTTCTGTTACTTCACGATTGAACTTCAAATCTGTAGGTTCTTCACTACTTGGAGACACTACAGCCCCATCAACTTCTAGAGCAAATGGTTTGTACTGCCTTCAGAGCATCAGCCGACACATTGAGTCAGACTAATTTTGGAGGCTTGAAGCAGATGACAGCGAAAATTGAACAGATTTACCGTACAATGGCATCTATATTGAAGCCTCTGCAAAGTAAATATCTCATCTTTGTCAGTGTTATGTTACGAGTAATTTATGTTTTTCCTGGAGCAAGTTTACTAATACTAAAAATCCTTTTTGTCTCAGCAAATAGCTTATCTGGCAACAGTGAGACTATAGAAGACCTAAGACGGCTATGTGCAATCTTTGAACATGTTGAGAAGTTACTTACTCTTGCAGCTTCTCTTCATCGGAAGTTCATGCAAGCACCACGTCTCTCTGAAGAAATCTTCACCAACTACTACAATTATTACCTTCCAAAAATGGGGACAGGCTCCCCAGACATCAATCAAAGGGTAAACTGTATTTATGTTGTTAAACGTGTTTATATCCGCAATCTAGTAGTTCATTCCAATTTTATCTTCTAGTGAAGCATAAATCAAATTTGAGAAAGTTGATTTCTTCATGGGTTTTCATTATCATATTGCTACAAAAATGTGGGAAGTACTACTGAAATTTATCTAAGTATTGAAAATCAAATTTCCAGATTGATTTTTGCATCAAATGAAGTTTCAAGTTGACTGTTTGTGGAAGTTTTATTACTTTTCCTTTTATTAGCATTGAGAATATCGGTAAACTTGTCCTTTCTTTAGAGCTTACATTGTGAACATGGATTTGAATTTGAATTAATATGCTTCACTTAGGAGTTCGATATGAAGCAGAAAGTAGGGATGAAAGAGAGACAACTCATCTCGGATATGTTCACGCCGCCTTCAGCTAACCAGTCGTGGAGAAAAGTACTAAGCATGGGTAATCTTCTCAATGGCCATGAGCCTATTGCCAGAGAAATTATATTTTCTCTGCGTGATAGCTTGAGCAATCATCATTATGCTGCTCTTACTCCCAGGGGCTTTCAACAAGAAATAGAGACATACAGAATGTACATATGTGGGACCTCAAATGATCTCCGGGTAGCACTTTCTATTACCTCATGTGATTGATTCATTTTTTGGTGATTTCCATGTTAATTGTTTTCTATTGATTCAATTTCATGGTCTTAAAGTTTTATCAATAGAGTAATTCTGGGATGTTTTGGCATTGTATTGGGTGCAAAAAAATCCATAGAAACACTTATTTGTTATAATGGAGCAGCATACCTTAATAAAATGAACTTTCAATTCACTGTTTATTGCATGTTCATTTTTGTCTGTCAGTTCCAAAATATAGTCTACTTACTTTTTGTACATTATACTTAAATCTTTGAATTGTTTATTATGTCCTTATTAAGTTTTATTTTATTTCCATTCCAAATCAATCTTAATTGCTCGTGTTATATGGGTGTAATAGGAAAATTATGGTAATAAAATTGTTCACTAACCATAATAACTTTTATTTCTTTATTTCTATAAAAAAAAATGGACTATCTTTTCGTAACGGAAAGAGTACAGTCAGTACACGTCTTATTAAATGGGGCGTGATGGGCAATGATATTCATACAAAACACCTATATGAGAAACACCTAGATGAGAATTGTTGATATTAGAATATTAGGTGAGATAAATGATAATTTAGTCAAATAAATGGGATATATATTGTTTTGATAATTTGAGAAATATTTAGGTGAGATAAATGATATTAGTCAATAAAATGGGATATATATATATATTATATATATATTAAAATTTTTGGGTGATTTAATTGTTTTTAATTTTGGTGATTTAATTGTTTTTTATCATTATTTAAAAAATTTAAATGGTAGATAAAAATTGACGGAGGTGTATTTTATAGATTATTTTTCTTTAGTTAAAAGATATGTTCACAGTATATGCCATAAATTTGTTTTTTTTTTTTTAAATATTAATTCTTTTTCACATTAAAAAAACAATCTTCAACACGTCAATTTTTTTTATCCGTTGATGGTTCAAACTCATTAGTGATTCATATTGAAAAAGACTACATTAGGCAGAAGGCCGGTCACTGTCGCTGGAGGCATCAGCGTTGAAGAGAGTATGAAGAAAGTAGATACCGGGACCTCCTTTTTTTGGAAAATCTGATTTCGCTAATTTTTTTTTTATTATTTTTGAGTTTTCAAATATCTCTTTATTCATTTTAGAATATAAAAAATTAATTTCTACTTATATCTGTCAAAAAAAATACACTAAAAATATCAGTCTAAAAACTCATCACGTGAAGTTTAAAGGAAAAATTAATTTTTTATCCTCAATATTATTTTTTTAGAAGAATTTAACTAGCATTATTATGAAAATAAAAGATAATAAAATGTGAAATTTTAATATTTTTATGTTGAGATTTAAATGCAATTGTACCTTAAAGGTTCAATTATATTTAAATGCATTAAGTAAAATCCTTTATTTTCAAATTTTAATTATATAATTCCTCAGTTTTGTTTCTGTTATATTATTTATCCGTTTACTAAATTTACTTTTAATTGAAAAATTAAGTAGTACAACAAAGATAAAACCAAGGAACTGTACAATGAAAGATTAAAGGTTAATATTTTAATTTTCTTTGTATCAGGATTTCATTAATAATAATAATATAATAATTTGACTATTATATTTATTGATAACAGAATAATTACGGCAACATTAGATAGAAATAACCCGAATGGAGGTAGTTTAGTGGCAAAAAGTATTTGTAGGTAATTATAATGACTTAGGTAATAACTTTGATCCTCCGCGATGCAAACTCTTCTATTCCAGCCCCTTTGACTTTGATGGCAAGGAAAAAAAAAAAAAAAAAAACAAGGAAAAAAAAAAAAAAAAAACACTAAGAAATTTTTTGAGACGGGGTATGGGATTTTGATGTGATAGGATTGCATATGGAAAAAAAAAAAAAAAAAAACACTAGAAAGTTTGAGACGGTATGGATTGATGTGATAGGATTGCCATATGGGTAAAATTTGTATTTATAAAAAAAAATTAATTTGTGTTATCATAATTAAATTTGTTTTTAATTTTAATCATGTTTATATTACATTTTACTTTCTAATTAATATATTTTTATACTTCTAATTTAATTTCATTGAGTCTCATAAATACAATAGTCTTCATGTTTTCAATATTATACCAAGAAGCAAATCCGTTTGAAAAAAAAAAAGAAAAATCTCGGTAAATATATACAATTTTTTTTCTTGACTAATTATTTTCCTACATTTTTTTTGCATTTATTATAATTAGATATTATTTTTTATTCACAATATTATAAATATATCTTTAGAGAAATATTATATTTTTATTTGATGTTTATTAACAATACCAGTTTTTATATCCTTTTCGAAATATCAAATAATTATAATTTGTTTTTTATTTAATAATATTTTTATATCTATTTAAATTTATTAATGAAAAAATATAAGAAAGGTAGTGAGGAAATGTTGTTTGACCTACGGTGGACCCCAATAAATGCCCATCCGATCCAGCACTACAAGTACCACAAATAACCCGAAGCACAAAGATCGGCAGTGGTCACCACGCAATAAAATTATTGGTCAATTCAGAGAAGGTTCCATTAGAGTCATACTAACCTGCGCGCAGATTATAGGCACGTGAAGTGAATTACAAATAAAAGGAGAGTGGAGGAGGCCGCCGGAGATGAATGCTGAACACTAAACATGTCGCTTCCAGAAGGGGCCACCACGTGAAAAATCCTCAACCAGTCCTCCACCTCCACCACCACCACCTCCACCACCATAACTATGCTTACTGTTACTTTTTTTTTTTTTAAATCTCTCTCTTCCTTAAAATATCACGTAAAGATAAATGATTGCTTACAAGGGATGTATATTCATCGTTGTCCTCCTAAATCAAATTAATAATTCTATTTTAGTTTTACACATGTATTTCTAAGGACGAGAACAATGAATGAGATAATGTTTGGTAATAGTTTTTTAAATAGATTTTAATTTTGATTAATTAAAAAAATAAATATTATTATTGTATAATATTCGGTAATATAACATTTAAATTAATTTTTAGAAGTTAAAATAATATTTTATAAAAGAGTAATTCTGTAACATTTAACTTTTGTATGAGAAGCTGCTAAAATAGTTAAAGACTAAAACATATAAATATAACAGTTATTAATATAACTAGTTGTACCGAACATGCACTGTATAGCTTTTTCATTAAAATTGTATTCAGAAACGACTTTTTAAGTACTTAGTATAATAGCTTTTGAATTAACTTTGAGAGGTTAAAATAACATTTTATAAATAAATTTAATATATTTTAAATTTAACTTTTCGCGTTATATAAAAAATTACTCAAACAGTTAAAAGCGCCGATAATATAAAAATAATAAATTTTACGGAACAATCCTTTAAATGTATTCAGACATCCAACTTGTGCTGTTACCTTTTTACCACCCTAACTAACAAATTGTTAGTATTATTAAATTTATTTAGAGAATAGGCTGACTATAGTTAAGTCTTTCTGCCCACATAGGGTCTCACTCACTCATTCACTCATCTCTCTTGATGTCCCATCACCAATCTATCTCTCACCTCTTTCTTCTCCTTCATCGTCCTGAACATCGTCTCCTTCTCACGAATAAAGAAACACAAAATGAAATCTCTTAGCCCGTGAAAAGATCCACGCTATCAAGACGAAGCTGCGTTTCAACTTGATACTAGTTTAAAAACGAAGCACAAGACAATAACGAAATATAATAGTTTTGTTTCTTCTCGGTTTTCTTCTCATGGACACGGCAACAGGAGAAACTGCCGTACCCGATCCGAACAGTGGAGAACCGAGTCCATCAGCAGCAGTAACTGGATCATCGTCGTCGTCACAAGCACAACTTCAAGCTCCGCCTAGCCGGTACGAGTCGCAGAAGAGAAGAGACTGGAATACTTTTTTACAGTACTTAAAGAACCACAAGCCACCATTAACTCTAGCTCGTTGCAGTGGTGCACATGTAATTGAGTTTTTGAAATATTTGGATCAATTTGGTAAAACTAAAGTCCACATATCCGGTTGTCCGTATTTCGGGCACCCGAATCCGCCTGCACCTTGTGCTTGTCCTCTGAAGCAAGCGTGGGGTAGTCTTGACGCGCTAATCGGACGGCTGAGAGCTGCTTACGAAGAGAACGGTGGACGGCCAGAATCTAATCCTTTTGGAGCAAGAGCGGTTAGGATTTATCTTAGGGAAGTGAGAGAAGGGCAGGCCAAAGCTAGGGGAATTCCGTACGAGAAGAAGAAACGGAAACGGCCTGCTGCTACTGTTGCTTCATCGGCGGCTGTTAGCCAAGGGATTGATGTCGGTGACGGCTCTTCAAGTGGTGGTGGTGGTGGTGGTGGAGGAGATAGGACAGGTAGTAGTGGCGGTGGTGATACGAATGTTGCTGCTGCTGCAACTGCTGCTCCTCCTACTAAAACTACAGCCGTATAGTTTTTTAGTTCAGATAATTTCTTTCCATTTTTAATATTTGTCTTAATTGTGATTATGAGTTTTATATATATATTACATAATCTGGCGATTATCTTTGCAATCGAGATGAAATTGAACAACAAAATTTAGTTAGACATCTAGTTAGAATTGAATGTTACTATCACTTCTTCTTCTTCTTCTTCTTCTTCTTCTTCTTCTTCTTCTTCTTCTTCTTCTATCCTGTCATTTGAAAAATATTCCATATAACATAAAGGAAATGAAGGCAGAGGGAAAGAGAAGTTGAGAACTGAGAAATTTCAACCTTTTCTTCTGGTATGTATACTATACATTGTCTATTCTTTCTCCTATTGTCTGTCATGTTATTTTTAATTGCTTGAGGAACCCTTATTCTGCTTCTTCTTCTTCTTCTTCTTCAACCTTTAAATTAAAAATTATGGGATCTTTAGCATTTGAACACTCTAGATTTCTAATATTTTTTCTCATGTAAATGTATAAAAAATATTACCTAAAAAGAGAATAAACATCGTTTTTAGGCTTGAGGAGTTGATCAAATATGACTCTTGAGACTTCCCACTCTGCACCTAGCTAGCTCTTAGCTCTAGGATTGGCTAATCATGTAAATTAGTTTACTGTTGTTCTATTTATTGGGTGCTCTCTCCTGTTTTTGTTTTCTCGTACTGTGGCTAAAGATTTTGGATTGTAGATCGAAAAACTCATGAAAAGTGTCAAAGACTGGAAGGACTAGCTTGTTGGAACAAGGGCAACATTAATATTAGGCTATATCTGGTCCCCTCACCGGCTTCCTTGATCGCCTGGGCTCCCCCATGGCCAAATGTTTCTGCTTTGATGCACACGCACGTGCGTCTCTGATTTTTCTCGTTTTGCACTTACACTTTCAGGTGCTTCTCCTTTAACTCATGTCTTTCTTTCTTTTCTCAATCCTTCATCTTAGATTTTGTTTTCAGATTTTAGATTTCCAGTTCTATGTTTCTTTTTAGTTTTGGGGCATATCTAGAAGTTCGAGTGTCTTATGATGAGACATTATATATAAATTGTACCCATTTGATAAAAATCACCGGAATTTGATTGGATTTGATTCCATTCAATTATTTCAGTTGAGTTGAGTTCTCGTGTAAGTAATCAATTGATTTATGAATATTATTTTTAAATTAAATATAACAAATAGTGTTAGAATTTAATGAGATTAAGATGTAAAATATAATTTATGGAATTAAATTTAAAATGAAATATTTTTTAAAATTATTTTTATGTTCAATTTTTATATTTTGTTTATTAAGTCAATAAGAAAATACAAAATAAAAGGAGAAATATTAAAATTTTATATCAGAAAAATTACAGTATGGTTTCTGTAGTTTGAAAAATACAACTAGTTCGTCCCTGTATTTTTAAAAATATACCAAAGGTAAGAAAATAAACGGGTATTTTTGTCATTTCATACTTAAAAGAAAAAATGCAAAAATTGAACTGAAGAACCTTAATTATAAGGACTTTCTAGTTTATTTTCTAAAATACAATGACCGAATCGAATTATAATTTTTTTTTTTATATAAATTATTGTACTTTTAAATACAAAAATTGATAAATTGTTTCTTTAATACATGGGTTTCAAATTAGAAGAAGATACTCAATCACTTAGATCTATGATTTCATTTGGCAGGATTGCTTCTTGATTGATACAAACATCATACGAATCTCTCTTTATATTTATGAAAATAACATCTCTTTGTATGATATGATGATGGAGGCTAAGCTAAGCTACAAACATGAATGAGAAAGAAAAATAATTAATAATTAATAATTAATAATAATAATAATGGTTGTGATTGCTGTTGTTATTTTAATTTGGTAATGACCACCTCAGTATGAAAGGGACAAGAAGCCAACTCTTATTTTCCTTTTTAATGTATATCTTAATATATCTTACAGCATATCATAATTCTCCTATTCTTTAGACCCACCACTCACTCCCAAACAAAACCCCATTTCTATATGTTTTTATTTATTTATTTATTAATTAATTTCCAATATTCATTTGCCCAAATGAATTCATTGCCCTACTCATAATGAACTTAAATCAATTGATTATTTTTATTCTATTTAAGTTTCTCCTTTCCTGGCTTTTAATTAAATAATTTCATTTTAAAAGACAACAATCATTTTGCATATCAGCATATAGCAGCAGCAGCAACTTTCTTCCTCCTCTTTATGGCTTTTCGTAGAATCACATCTTGTCATTTATTTATTTTATTAGAATACTTTATTTGTTTTCTGTAATTATTTTTCTCTGTGCCTCTGCAACTTCAACCATATCTGGTCCATAAAAGTCAAAAAGGAAGAAAAAGAAGATAAGCATACACACATGAAAATACTTGCTGTGTATATCATTTTTCGTACATTCAATAGATAGTCAATTATTCATCTAGTTGTAAGATAAGGTGAGAATTATCTTGTTTTTCACATTAAAAATACTGTGAAATTTATATAATTTTAGATTTTCTAACTAGCTTTTGAGATATAATTCTATAGAAATCAAAACGATTCGTATTAGAATGAATCGTTGTGTTGCTTCTCTAGGTTATAATCACAATATTTATTTGGTATTACAATATTTTTCTAGAGCTTAAAAAACAAAAAGAAAATAGCACACAGCCACCCTAGTAGAAGACCAACCCATCTTGAATACCTAGACCATGGAGCATGGTGAGATACTATTCATCGGACATTAAGTCAATACTTAATTATCAGTTAAAAAAAATTATCATTCTTTATAAATGTTTTTAAATGGGTTTGAATTTTTATTTACATGGATTATTATTATTAGATTTATTAAATTTAATTATACATTGAAGTTCTTTTTTATGCTTCTCCACGTGCACACACACATATACATATATAGAAAAATAGATAGATCTCTCTTGCTCATTTCTATCTATTTTCATTATATTTTTCTGTTAACTTGTATGTTGTTTGAACTTATACCTAAGATGTTGCATGAAGCAAAAACAATTAGGTTCTGTTTGATAAAATTAGCTGTTTTGATAGCTGGTAGCCGTTTTAGTAGTATTTAGCTGGTAGCTGTTAGAGTAGTTTTGTACGAAATGCTAAAAACTAAACGTTGTATAAGTTAACTTTTCATAAAACGCTACTTTTAATCTCTAAAAACTAGTCTATAAAAACTAGGCTACCGAAAATTATAAAAAATAGTATTTAAAAGTTACTTGAGAAGCGGCTGTGGAATCCAACATTGTGTTGATTTGATTTGGTAGCAAAAGAAGTGAAAAGCTAAAAATGTGTAGGGCAGGGTGAGCAAGTTGAATGTATTGAAATGGTAAAAATACATGGTAATGGTGAGGTAAAAAAAGGTAAAATTTTGGCTTTCAAGGAGACAAATTTTCACAAGGTAGTCTTACACTTGTGAATTGTTGAAGAATTCTACTTTGTCTTTAGCTTGGAAGACAAGGGGAAAAAAAAAGAGAAAAGAAAACAAAGGAAAAGTTATAATATGGTTAAAAAAACAAATTACCCCAACAAAACATGCAAGCTACTACTCCCTTTTCTTCATCATTTTTTTTATTATTTAAATATTATATTAGATTTAATAATGTGAATTTAACACTATTTGGTATTTTAAAAGTATATGTGCAATTATTTTTTTAATCATAATGTTTATGATATGTCAAATTTAATAGTATATTGATGATATATAATAATTTAAATAAAGAGTTATGGTTATAGATATTTTATTTATTAAATGAGATTTCAAACAATGTTTATAATATTAATTTATTGACAATTTTTAAAAAATATATATATTATACTATATATTCAATATAATACTTCTCAATCATATTTTTAAATAATATCAAATAATAATGAATATTATTTACTAGGGGTTTCTTGGTTAATTTGGATTAGTTTGGTTTGACATTTTATTAAATCTAAATTCATAAAAAATTAAAATCAAATCAAATCATAAAAAAAAAAAAAAAAAACTCAGACCAACCAAAGAAGTTCGAAAAAGTTCACTCAAATTGAGCTCCGAATCATATGCATAATGGGCTGGTTTAGATCGATCCTAACCGGATGATTATGAATTTTTTCTATATTAATATTCTTATTAATATTCTATTATTAAATATTAAAAAATATTCTATTATTAATATTAAATGTTAATTATATTAAATTGAAATTCCGATACGAAAAAAAATACCAAATCGCGTGAAATTCCTATTATTTCTTAGGCAACTGCTACAAGGTCAACAATTCTATGAGCTTGGGCTTCTGTTGCTGACATAAAAACAAAGCCTATTTGTTTAGCAATTGAGACGAGCTCGAGCGTAAAGATGTTCAGCTCGAAAACTCGTCGAGCCTTATCGAGCTTTTATATATATATATAATATTATTTTAGATCACTCAAGCCAAGTTGGCATTTAAAATTTTTCAAGGTGAACTCGAGCCTCGAGCTCAAATCTTCAAGCTCGTTGAATTTTGAGCCGAGCAGGTTTGAGCTCAGCTCAACTTATTTACATTTCTAGATATACCAATGGACATAAAACAAATTTCACTTAAACATTACATGAAATTATTAATTATTTAAAATTTTAAATAAATTTTTATATATGTATATGGTTGAGTTCCATTTGAGTTTTTTTTATCTCAAAATTGTAAACTGAGCTGACAATTTAATTTTTAAAAAATCTTATAAATCAAGTCAAATTACCAACTTTTAAAACTATAATTTTAAATGAGTTTTAGAAAATTTAAACAATTCTTGTACAAGTCATAAATCTCTAAACGCTAAGGATGAAAGCTAGAAGAATATTTTAGAATCTTTATTCCATTCCGTTTAACAAAGACACAGATAGTTATAATTGATATTTTAGAATCTCTATTTCGCGAAGATACGTATAATCGTAAATAGAATTAAGATGAACATGAACAGTGAGATTACATTTCTTTTTATTCGGAACGAGTCAAAGGAGGCATTTGATTATTATTATTATTATTATAAATAAAAGAAAAGGAAGGAACCGTTCCAGCCAGTAGTCAGTTAGCGTAGAGGCTAATAGTAATAGTATGAGTATTACTAGAGACAGACAGACAGACAGGCAGTGGTATTATTGGTGTATGGTACTTGAGGGGAATATAATATTTGTGTATTTGGGCCCCATTAAGGAAGGGAACCCACATCACATGCCCTTTCTTTTGCCTTTAGGCAACAAAATAAACGGACAGTGTAATATCACGCGGGGATGTATGCAATGCCTCGTGTCAAAAGATTAACCCATGATGGAGCCCATGTAGGGATGGCAACGGGTCGGATATAAATACATTTCACGTGATCGTAAATGTACACATTTCACTATTCACTCAACATAATAAGATGGAATACGAAGTGAATTAGGGTTTATCTCTCCATTCCAATCGAATTTGAAAAGATAAAATTACTATTCTTAATTGATTTTAAACTTTCTAAATAGAAAGGTTCTAGTTTTCCATAAAAATTATTATTTAATCATTGAGATTAGTACAATTTGTACTAATTGCCAAAAACAATTAACAATTTTTTCTGAAGAATAAAGTAAATATTAGGGGACTATCAATTTATTCAAATTTCAATTTAGTCCATCTTACTTCTTCTTTCATGGTCAAATGTATGAATCAAGATATTTTTTCTTTACATAAAAAAATAAAGAGAGTTTGAGATTTTATTCCTTTTTTTTTTATTATCAAGGATATTTTAATATCTTTAGTGGAAAATTAAAAAAAAAAAAAACTAATACAGATAATAACAAAAAATGATACAAATTATTTATTCTAATTTCTAAAAGGACTACACAGTAGGGGATAACCTTCTTTCCGTTAACTCAACAAATTGATGAAATCTTATATTCTTTATATAAATAAGAAAATCAATCAAATTCAAATTAATTTATTAAATAATTAAAACAAAATTTTTTATGCCGACAATTAATAAAAAAAAATAAAAATTTAATTCTAGGAAGAAAATTTGCCAATGTACAAAACTTGCGAACTATGATAATTCATAAAAATTATAAATGCCAAAAAGGACAGTCTATGTAATTTAAGAATGCAAGTCAAAAGTTGCTGCTTTCTGCCCCTAAAATATAGAGAGGTACTATCCAATGAAAGCATTGTATGGTTCACATCTCATTAATTCCCAAAATTTGGGTCCCACTATATTGATGATGATCACAAAGGAACATGATGGGTATTATACGCCATCAGGTGGTGAATTTGGATTCGCTGTTTTTGCAATTTCTGTGTGCAGAAGAAGCAGCAGAATGATCTGAACATTTATTTTTTGTCTTGCGGTTAAAAAAGCTTGTCTACTTCTAAATTTGGTTTGATGAGATTGGCAAGACTTGTGGGGAGAAAAATTTAGCTAACACGGCACATATACATTATATGGTTTGCCAAATAGATTGTACCTTGGAAAAAACTTGGTCGGGGACCCGAATGAGATGCCTCATGAATATTAATAATTCCCCTTGCAGCAGGATAAAGCTAAACCCAGATTTTTATCTTGAATAATCACCCTATTTTGTGACAGCATTTTGTTGGTACGAGGTTTAACCACTTCAAGCCATCGAATATAAAGTTTTTTAGCCCTTTCTAGGTTTGAGCCCTTCTAACAAAGTGCGCTTTCAGAAATTAAACTAAAGTATAAACAAAATACGAAAGAAACATTAATAAATTATGAATGCAATACATAAACAAATGACACAAATGAATGCATAATACAAAAAAGGAGTACAATATAACTAAATCTGAGCATAGCAAATTGAATAGAGAGTCTACTTCAAAATATTTCATGGCACCCACTTGTGTGATATCGAAAAGCCAGAAGCTTGGAGCAATCACATAATCATCATAGAACTTATAAAAAGTATAAGAAATGGTGAAGCAGAATGTTATGACCTTAACCTATAGGTCTATGCCATTACTAGAACTTTGAAATCACGAAAATGGCGAAGCTAATCAAGGGGGTAAGCATCTAAAAATGCATTTCACCTACGATTCAAGCACAAGAGGCTAAGGCGATTACTCGAAGCACATACATGTAGTATACCATTTACATAAAGCACCATTTCTATAATTGTCTTGATTAGAAATGATATCCTCACAATAGAGATGCTGTCGAGACTAAAGAGCATATTAGCTCAGACTAGAGAAATTGGAAGTAAATACAAGATAATGTGCACTTTAACTGCATACTGCCATATTTGATAACTAAGAAACGAGAAATAAATAGTTGCAACTAGAGTGAAATCGAATTGAGATGCATTTACATGTAAGCAGCCTCATTTGTCTGCTGCATCCACAATGATATGGCTGATATAATTCGTCGTGATAATGTTGACATTTTTTTCTCCTTGTAGCAAACTGGAACGATCGGTCTTGATTTACCCCTTTGGATGGCATAACGTGATACTTCACTGCAAGCTTTGGGTGCAGCAGTTCGCTTGTGTGTAGTAGTGCTATTGTATGCCTTGCATATGTAACTAATAAAATTATCATAGTCCTACAAAACAATTGACATAATGGATTCCACCAATCAACATTTCTAACAAATGGGATCAATAAATGTAAGGAACCACCCATTCTCTATGAGCTCTCTTTGTTTTCAGAAGATAATTTACAGAGAAAACATCTTCTGGAACTTTTGATGTCTACCACTCTGGAAAATCAGTCAACGAAAGATACTTTCCTTGTCAAAAGGAAATACTAAGTCATTTTAAAAAAAAATGACTTCCCCTTTTAAAATAGGAAAAACACTTTCTGAACATTTTACAAACTTATTATAACAAAATAAAAGGCCTATAAATACACATTTATTAATTCATCACCGGTACTCATTGTTACTGACTACTGCTAACAAATACCAGCTGCCAACCACAGTTATTAATTACCAGCAACTATCATAATTTATCATTTTTATGTATTTTTCTTATATTTAACAACAAAATTTTGAAATATAAAGTTTTTATACTTTAAACATTTTTCTAATTTTATATATTAAAAAATTTATTTTTTAAACTAATTTTGATATTGCAACCTAACAATAGAAAATGTGTAATTTTGAAAATATTTTTCAAAAATAACTTATTTTCTAGAAAAAATGGAGCTTTGGAGATGAAATATCACGTTTCATAAAAATATATTTGGTCAATCATAGCCTAGATGCAAAATACAAAATTGATAAATACAGTGCTTTTGTTTTGATGTAAAGAAAGGAACGAACCTCGTAAAGTGGCTGTCCATCCACCACTACCCAAGGCACATATTGGTGAGGAGGCTGCAGGGCATTTGTTTCAGCTGCATACTGTAATTCAAGCTGCATGAAGGTACATAGTATATCCAATCAGTATAAATTAGAAAAAAGTTCTATCTCAAAGGCAAGATAATATAAAGTTATAATTGTGTTTCATCAGCTAATGAATATAAGGTCACAAACCAGCAAGGAATACTGCAGAGTAGCCATAAGTGATAGAAATAAGGATTACATGATCAACATGAAACAAATTTCGAAATATGCTTGATTCATGGGTTTCTACTAATTGATACAAATCTCTTCTCCAGCCACTCGATTCAAGAATCTCAACCTTCAAGATTTTGTAATTATATAATACGGGCAAGGATTTTTTATACATTCTGAGTGGTTCTCAAGGCTCATATGTTTCCCTCAAAAAAATTTTCCAGTCATAAGAGATACCATTGTAAGAAAGCTTTTGCTGGAGTTAAAAACCAGTTAAAATTATCAAAAGAGCATATTGAATGCCCTACAGTGTTTTTGTTAGGAGTGCAGCCCTTTTAAGCAAGTATATCAAATGTTTACAAATGGTAACAAGAAAAGGGAGGCTTAAGGCAAGGCAAAACAACAGCAGAAAATCGGCAATGAAACATCAGCTTTTACTTTATTTATTTTCCCCTATGTAGTCTATTTTTATAAATCACCAGTGTCATTTTGAGTTTTGTAGGTAGTGGTATAGTGAGTTAATTACTGTGCATTAACTTGTATATAAACTTCAAATCATGGAATGAAAAGAAAGAATCAATTTTCTTAAAATTTCAGTTCCCTTGTTGAGATTTGAAGAGTTCTCCCATGAGCGCATACTTTGAAATTGTTCAATACAATTAAAAATGCAAGGAAACCATAAAAGAAAACTTCCATTGATCCTATTAGTGATTTCACGTAAGGATTTGTTGTTTTTTTCTCCTTTTTCAATGATTTCTAGGTAGCAATATCCTTAGCATGGCTCATCAAGATGGTGCTCTGACCGTCTTACATCTACTGTTATGAGTATGGTTGCAACCACACCAAAATTGATTCTACATGAGTTTGTTCAATCTACAAGTTAATTGCCTACCATATCTACATAATTGGTTCTTGAATCTACCTTTTTAATTTGTTCATTCTACAATTTTGCTCATTATACAACTCTAATTGTTCTATAATTGCGTCCTACCAGATTCTTAATTACAAGATATCTGTTGTGTGTAATACATACTAGGGTTATATCCAATCAATGTAAACCTAATGCCAAAGATAAACTAGATGCTTGTGTGTGTCTTTGTGTGCCAAAAACTCATTAAAAGTTTGAGAAACCCAAACCATTAAGGATTCATTTCTTAATCTAGATATTAAATGAAAAGTTAACCTCTAATGTTCTGATAAGACCTTTCAATAGGAAAGAAGCAAAATAAACAACGTGACAAAGTCACAAGACTTGCCTTAGGCATCCCTCTGAATGCAGTTAAATGAAAAAATTTGAAATAAAAAAAAATCTTAATAATGAAATAGAGAGAATTTATGAATACTTGTTGATTGACTCATTAATTAAATAAATTATACTTTACGACCCAGTGAACATAATTTTCCATTAGCGTGATTAACTCCTTCAACCCTTGCTTTCTCAATTTCTCATTGAAGTTTAGCAATTACAACTCCTAATAGAGGAAAAACAAAGGTCTCGGTGAACGAGGTAAGACAACAAACTTATCACAATAGTAAATATCACAACATTTACATATCGCAATCATCCTAATTGGTTCCCAAGGATTGAGATGTCTTTCTAGTTAGTAATCCTTAATTATCTAAAGAATACATGTGATGCAGCATTTTACAATTCTTTATCAACGTCAAATCAAGTAATCACAAAAGAAAAATCCTAATTGTGATGTTCTCTGAGGCATATATTGGAAAGTGCATTGGTTTATGAAAACCGGCTTCCACTAGACTCTGTATAATTTCCATGTATTTAAATAGTCAACCTAAAAGGTAAAAACTGACTATTGCAAATTTTATCAATTCCGTCAAAGAAAGGAGACAAACTTTTGATCAGTTGATCTAATAGCACGTGAATTGTTTCAGATTTCAGAAAATAGACTGGCATAAATTGAAATGGTCCATCTCAAAAGTAAAGACAATTGGCATGAAAACCAACCTCTTTGCCATATCCACTATTGTAGCAATCAATTACAGGTTTCGGGTCCAAACCCAGTGTCTCAAAGCATGATTCCCATTCAGGGAATTTGCGCTCATGCACCAGAGACTCAATGCAATAGATGAAGGGAAAATGCTCCTCCTGTATAAAACAGATGCCGATTAGGATAACAAGGGAAATGAACACTTACCATCCTATGGAAGTTAAGCATTATCTAAACTAGATTCAGAACAAACAAAAGAAACCACAACCTTAAAACCACATTTGTTTCTTTCAGAAATGAAAACAGAATGCAATAGGCAAAATATGATTAAGATTACATTTTATGCTTTGGTACAAGAATCCAATTTTTTTTTAACTTGAATTTAGGTAAAAAAATGTTTTCTTTTTAAGCAAAATTTTCAATACTGAAACTAAATTACATTTTATTACTTAAAAAATCTAACATGGATGGAAATCTTAGAATAGGAAACATCAGTTTCTATTTTCATTCCAATTCCAAAGAGCCCTTGGTTTTTATTTGTTTAGGTAAAATACTCCAAACATATTAATCCATTTCTTCAGTAATCAAACAAATATACTGGACTTTTAGCATTAAAAAAAATAGTGAAAAGACAAACTTAATAATAATTTCTAAGCAGTCCATGGTTTCTACAATTTTTTTTCTTCAGACAATTATACAGTAATATACTATGCGCAAAGACGAAGGACGAAGAAAGAAGAAGGCTCACCAGCTGAGGCCAAACGTTAATAGCACAAGCTTCTACTGTATTCAATAAGCATTCAGATGGACCGTGCTGAAACAATCAAACATCATCAAAAATTCAAAATATATATTAAATTTTCCCTTTGAATTAACCAAAAAAGAAAAGAAGAAAAATTAGTAAGTGTATAAAGACCTGGCAAACAAAGGAGTCATTGCCTTTAAGTCTGGCATTACCCCAAGGGGAGAGATGGAGATCGACGACGGAGAAGAGTTCATCATCTTCGAAAAGCTCAACCAGATCATTGATTATGAAATTGGCGCTGTATGGGCATAGAGATTCATAGTACAATCCCAATGAAACTTTCCCGGAATCAGAAGAAGCCCGCGAGAAGGAGCAGAATAAGCAAAGATAAACCAGAAATGAGAGGGTTATTTTTGGAGGAGAAGCCATTTGGGAAATTGGAATGTCTACCAATTGACTTGGAGATGAACAAGAGCAAGAGCAAGCAGATTTTTTTTTTTTTTTGGCAGAATAAGCAAAGATAAACCAGAAATGAGAGGGGTTAATTTTGGAGGAAGAAGCCATTTTGGGAATTGGGAAATGTCTACCAATTGAACTTGGAGTATGACAAGAGCAAGAGCAAAGCAGATTTTTTTTTTTTTTTCTATATATTTTTTTTTTTTTTTTCTATATATATATATATATATATTATTAACAAGAGAAAAAATAAATAAATGGATAACCCAGCATCACGCACCATGCATGATTAACAGGTGTTTGTAGGCGGACACTGCCACCACACACGAGGAAATTACTTAACAGTTAGTTTGAATCCATGGAATTTGAAAGCCATCGAATTTATTATTTATTTTTGAAATTAAATCCATTAAATTTAAAAAATTTATGAAATATAGAATTTATGGATTGTAAAATCATATAGTTTGATTGAAAACAAAAATAATTTATAAATTTGAAAGATTTTTAAGAATAAATTAAATTTGTTTAATTTGTTTAATCGATGAAAACTATAAAATTAAGGAATTCTACTTTAAAAATGAGATTTATTTCTCTTTTAAAATGATAAAATTAAAATTATTATAGAATTTATTAGTTTCACGGATCAAATCCATTCAATCAAACGAAGGAAGTTTGTAATATACACATTTCTATCGTTCAAATTCCACTAATAAAAAAATATTTATTTTATTTTTCATTTTATAAATATTCCTTTTTATTACAAATTTTTACTTGTTTAAATACTAGAAGCAAAAAATTAAATAATAAATTTATATTAAAGATAAAGAATGAAAAGTTATATGTATAAAAAATATTTAACTCTAAAAATAATATTCTTTCAAAAATATTAATTAAATAGATATCAAAGAATGAATAGGTTTTTTTTTTTAATCCTAATAAATTAAGTGAAAATTCAAGGGCTACGTAGAGAGTATTTTTAAAACACAAATGGAGTATTTCTCCATTTCCTACATTTTATCTACGCGTGGCATAGTTTTTAGGATGACGTGAAAGAGAATTGATGACATGACTTGAAATGCAATAATTAAAAAACAAAGTGAATGGTGATTATTGCTAATGACAAAGTGTACTGGTTTGTTGTATTGGGCCACGTGGAACCAAAGGGCAAACCGTCAGTTATCGGTATAAGGGTAAGAGAAAAGGAGCGAACTCACTGAAGCAGAGTGTGGCGGAAAACCAACGTCAGAAGAAATGTCCAAGGAAGGACAAGTGGTTTGCGTAACCGGAGGGAGCGGATGCATCGGTTCTTGGCTCGTTCGCCTCCTTCTCGAACGCGGTTACACAGTTCACGCCACCGTAAAAAATCTCAGTTACTATCGATCTCTTTTCTCTTAATTTGCTACTATTTTGCTTCTGTTCTTCTTCTAAACCAAGCTGATATTCTTCTTACAAAGATGATGAGAATGAGACGAAGCATCTAGAAGCCATGGAAGGAGCAGAGTCGCGTCTTCGTCTTTACCAAATCGACTTGCTCAACTATGACTCGATCCTTGCTGCTGTCGACGGTTGTGCTGGCGTATTCCACCTGGCCTCTCCCTGCATCGTCGATAAAGTTCACGATCCACAAGTAGTAAATTTTCTCTGTGTTGTGTTTTTTTGATTTTGGTAGATTTGTTTTGTTCAAGTTTTGTACTTGCCTTTTGAGAACAGAAAGAGCTTCTGGATCCGGCTATCAAAGGAACCTTAAATGTGCTCACTGCGGCAAAGGAGAAAGGGGTTCGGCGCGTGGTGGTCACATCATCTATATCTGCTATAATTCCTAGTCCGCAATGGCCAGCGGACGTCATCAAGTCAGAGGATTGCTGGACTGATATTGACTACTGCAAGCAAAATGGAGTTAGTAGCCTTTTTCACTATAATAGTTCAGTTTGATTTTTTTTGAATAATACGATTGCTAAATTTTTATGTGATAAACAAGTTGGGTCAGCATTGGTTAGGTGTACAAGACTGCCAATTTTGCCCTTCATTCCTGCTAAAATTGATGATCCCATTTGCTATGGTTGGCATTTGCTTTTTGTTGGAAGAAAATTTCATTACTTAAAAAGAATAATTGTTGTCAAAATTTCCATGTTTCATTGAATCGTATACCAGAGTACAAAATTTTTATTAAAACAGAAGTGGCCGATTACATCCATTGACCCGTTAACTTTACAACTTTACAATTTTAGCCCTGTAGTGGTAAACTTTGTGGATAACCGCATTTATACTTGTTAATTGTGGTAATATTATACATATTTTTTCAAACTCATAACCACAATTTTTATAGTTTTTCACTTTTATCTATAAAATACTGATATGTTACGTTATTGGCATAATTTTTAGAACAATAATTTTGCCAATTTCAACTATTTAATGGTGTTTAATTGATCTAATATTGTAAGTTGAAGTGTTCAGTAAAATGATTTTGCAAATTTAAGTATTTAATAGATATAATTTCGTAAATTAACACATTCAATCAAGGTTTATTCAATCAAGGTTTTCATAGTTTTGTAAGTTCAGAGGTAAATTTATGTATTCGGACAAAAGAAGTAATAAACATAAATGATGCTGAATATCATGAGTGCAATGAAATTAGTCTCATTCATTTTTATAATATAAACGCATGATAAACTGTTAAGATGAATTATTGATTTGTTAATAGTTATGGTATCCACTTTCCAAAACCTTGGCTGAGAAAGCTGCGTGGGAGTTTGCCAAGGAGAAAGGTTTGGATGTGGTGGTGGTGAACCCTGGTACGGTAATGGGTCCTGTTATTCCAAAGACTCTGAATGCAAGCATGTTGATGCTTTTGCGGCTTCTCCAAGGTAATTTTTATATTCCTCACAAACTTGTTCTTAATCATCTCTCACATTCGTTCTTCACTTTATTAGTAATTAAATAAGCAAAATTACCCACGCTACATTGCGGGCCTGCTTCTATATTTTCATTTTTTTACTCTATTTTTATTAATCTTTTATATAAAAAATATATTTTATTTATATAAAATTGTATTTTCTTTTTTTCTCAAAAATTGTATATTATTAATATAAAATTTACTTCATGAATACATGTAAAACTAATACAAATGTGGTAAAATAATAATTATTATTATTAATAGGAGAAAAAAGAATCATATTAAAGCTTTAAATTTATTTTATGTGGGCTGTTATATTTTTGTTTTACATTATGCTCTCACATGTTATTTCTATTTTTTAATATTAAAAATTTTTTATGGAAATATAAAATTCACATTTTAACATTTTCTTCATCAATTTTTTATTGTTGACATCATTGAATTTATTGAAAGATATTATTCTTTTGCTTGTAATTTCTCAAATTCTATGTAGTAAGTAATATAATTTCTAATAATTCATAAATTATCTTTCGCAAATCTTTCACTCTTAGCATAAACATTTTTTTTTTTTTGAGTGAAAATTTAAACCATTGTGGAAGAATAATTGTTTAAGAGTTTTAAATGATTTTTTATTATAATTATTATTGTATAGTTACAACATAATAATGGCTTAAACTACAAAACACCCCTAACTATGCTACTTGTTGAAAATTACCCTAAAACGACATTTGTAACGCGGGTACCCTCATTTCGAAATTTAGATATATTAACGCCCTAATTTAATTTTTAAGCTATAAAGGACTAAAATGATATTTAGTGCATGACCCATTTATTTACCTTGGGTTAACTTAACCGAAGAAATCAAAACTCATCATTTTAGTACCTTGACCTTTAACACCCAAAAATAGTCTCCTGCAAGCCAACTATTTATTTATTTATTTATTTTATTATCAATGTGACATCCGGACTCGGCAAAGCAATCCTAAGAGGGCGGGTAGAGTAAAGCTTTTGGCTAGCTTCTAGGATGACAGGCACTAGCTATGAGTAGAGGAATGCGGGACATAGGAATGAATCGATCATCAGAGGTGCCTTTTGGTGGAATGACTTGAAGAGTTAGAAGAACTCCAGGGTTGAGCGTACTCGCTTAATGGAAATCTTAGGATGGGTGACCTCCTGGGAAGTTTTTCATTTCACCTGCAAGACAAAATTGTGCAGGTCTTGCCAATAGAATTAGCTTGATCCAAAGCGGATAATTTTTTTGGTGGTTGGAGTCGAGCGTAACAATTGGTATCAAAGAAGGACCTCTTCCAATAGATGTTGGTTCGAGGATGAACCACGTGGAAGCTGGTGGGCCTGTAAGCATGCTCGCTTAACGAAAATCCTAGGATGGTGACCTCCTGGGAAGTTTCCCAGTCCCCATTCCTCTGATGGTTGGAATTGGGCGTGACAAGCATTTTAAAATCAAATTCTTTATAAATAAAAAATAAAAACCAAATGAACAGAGTGGAGAAAAATCTACAGGTAGAAGGTCGTTCATTGTCGAAGAAGCAGCTCAATGAACCCTCATTTGCTTTCCAAATGTGGAAAAATAAATAAAAATCAAATGCCAAAAAATAAAGGAAATATAGAGGTCTAGAAGATAATTAATTATTTGTTTTAGAAGGTTTATAATAAAAACCAGGTCCAATTTGTAAAAAATATACAAAAGAAAACTTTGAATTAGGGAAAATCGACGATAGTAGTTTGCAAGAGAGGATTGTTGGGTGTTAAGGGCAAGGTATTAAAATGATGAGTTTTAGTTTCTTGGGTTAAGCTAACCTAAGGAAAAAAGTGGGTCATCCATTAAATATCATTTTAGTCCTTTTTATACCTTAAAAATTAAACTAGAGTGTAAATATATCTAAATTTCAAAATGGGGGTATCCAGGGTACAATTGTCGTTTTAGAGTGATTTTCCAACAAGTCGCATAATTGAGAGTAATTTTGTAGTTTAAGCCACATAATAATATATAAACGAATAGTATTTCAATTGATGAAATATAAAATTATGGCTTGGTTTATATATCTACAACATAATAATAATAATAGTAGTAAATAATGATAGGTGTCCTAAGAGTGGAATAATGCCTAGCCAATTTGATATAAATATAATGCCTGGCCAAATGCATGTTTATTTGATTATATTCAATTGCATCCTACCAAATATAGTGTAAACACTTCGGTTTTTAATGATGATTATGAAATTGAATAAGTCTTGATTTGGGGAGTTTTCATCTTGGTGAAAATTGACACACCAATGGAAGGATGCATGCAGCCTTTTGCTGAGTTTTCATCACTTCTATGAATCTATTCTCGATCTGTGTTTGTATAGACTTGGACATAATCTTGGTTCTCTTGCTGTACTAGGCATGTTCTGAAAGCATATTAAGACCAGATTCACAGACATAAATTTAATTGAGACCCTTATATATGCTTCTTTGATTAGATTGACTATTTGAGGATTTGAAAGGAGTTTCTAGGCCTGTGACTTTCAGTTGTTGTTTGAGGTATTTTCTGAATAGAATGACCTTTTATTTGTCTATGTTGAAAGTTGCTCGTTTACCTTAGTTCAGTGGATTTTATGTTCTTCCCCAAATAGAAAAGAGAGAAGAGTATGATTAAGGTTTCAGGTCAATGCTTAATCTGGAAACCATGTAGCTGCGTTTCAATGCTAGGTTTTGAGTGAGATATTTTGGCTTCTGGAGATATGAGAATACTGTTTAAGAGGAAGGAAGGGAGAGAATTGAAAGGTAAGAGAACAAATATGTGAAAATGAATGCAGGTTCTTTTATATTTATTTTTTGGTCTGAAAGGAAGGAAATGGGGACAGAAATGAGCAAATGGATGACAAATAATATAACACGCTTTCCTTCACGTTCCCTCACCTTTGGAGAAGCAAATTGTATACCTTTGAAAGGAGATTTCTTTTCTGTACATTTTCCTTCTTTTCCACTAAGCTAGGAAAAACTACATTTGTTATGTTCCTTTTTCTTCTAGTGGTAATCAGCGATAGTGGAAAATATTTTTCTAGAAAACATTTTTCGCATTTTCTGTTGTATGTCTTGTAGGAAAATTGGAAAATGCGAATTGCTTTTCTGTGGAAACTCCCATAAAAGGAAAGAAACAATATAATCAAGTAGACTTATGCTTAGTAGTTTGTTGATTTCCAGTTGCTGGCACCACCTGCAAAATTTTTTTCTGGCAATAATTTTCTTTCTGTTGAAGTAGAATCAGAGTAGGTTTGTATATTTTCTTCGTTGACAAAAAATTAATTGGTTTCAGTCATACTCCAAAAGTCAAGAAGATAATCTCCAATTATTTTTCAGTGTTACAGCCAAATAAGAAATAAAATAAATGTCATGAAAATCTATCTGCAGAATTTCTTTTTTTCCACGCTTGTAGGAAAACAAATGAAGCCTTAGATATTTAAGTTGTTTACTTTGAAAACAAGACATTTTGTGTAACTTAAATTTTTTTTTTTAAGCCAGTAGGAACAAATGGTTTCACCTTGCTCGTGCTGACTAGGTAATTCAAAAATGACTTTGGGGAGAGGAGTTAAGTACTAGCAATTTGGAAATAGTAGAATTTATAATTGGCAGCTGATCTATTTTTTACTAGGCTTCCACATGGTAATATTTTATCATACTATTGGGAATCGACTAATTGCCACCTCTGAATCATAAGGATAGTATAATAATCTGACTTTTGTTAAATTGATAGTCCATGTTTCAGATCCTTTCAATTTGGAAACCTCTAACATAATTGCATTGTATACTCATTGCAGGTTGCACGGAGACATACGAGAACTTCTTTATGGGATCTGTTCATTTTAAAGATGTAGCCCTGGCGCATATCATGGTATATGAAAACCCATCAGCATCTGGCAGGCACTTGTGTGTTGAAGCCATATCTCGTTATGGTGATTATGTAGCCAAGGTTGCTGAACTATATCCCGAATATAATATTCGCAGGTAACAAATCATGCAATGTATTCTGCATATATTATGTCTAGCAGTTTGATTTTCTAATGTCCGCCAACTTTGCAATATTATTAAGTCAACTCTCTTTTGAAATGATTTCTTAATGTATTAGTTAGCCAAATTATATTGTGTCTGAGAGAAGGACGACTGAGGATGGTTTGATCATGTCCTATATTGAGTCCTATGTGTCTCGGTTCGTAAGTGTGATATTTAAATGGTGGATGGTTATGAACAGTGCGGAATGAAAACAAATGATTCTTTAGCCTACCCAACCAGTTTGGAACTAAGGCTTAATTGTTATTATATAATATTAGCCAAATTAATAAGCAATACACTCATCTAAGCTATTTTTGTGTGAACTTCCTTTAAAGAAACCTTAGAATTAAGTTTCAAGTTATTTTAGTTAAATCTTCTGCAACGATATGCAAAATTATTTGGTCTCATTGTTTATTGTCCTGGTGAGCTTTCGTGTGCGTGAGCCTTTCATCACATATAGTCTCTGTGCTGAGTTAAGATTGGCATTTTCTCATCTCTGCTTTAGAATTCTGCGTGGTCTTGTCTGCATGATACAATTCCAAACTATTTAACCCTTTCACATGTCTCTTGTTGCAGGCTGCCAGAGGATACACAGTCAGAGTTGTTAAGGGCAAAGGATGGAGCTAAGAAGTTGATGGACATGGGTTTAGAGTTTATTCCAATGGAGCAAATTATCAAGGACGCTGTTGAGAGTTTAAAAAGCAATGGGTTCATTTCTTGAAATGAAAGGTTTAGATAATTAACCCATAAATGATGATTTACAGCTGATGAGTAGAGAGGAATTGTGTCAAGAGAGCAGCTGTAATTCTTGTTTCAGGCTTTATGTCATTATGTGAATGAGTGTAGTCAGCCACATAGGAGTGCTTTAAGGTTTAAAGTGTCAAGACCTTTTGTAATTCTACTGAAATATATATATATATATATATATATAGGTCTTAGAATCCAGTCAACTAGAGGCAAATAATTGGTAGTGACAAGATCAATGAGATGGAGTTAAGGTTGCCTAAGCTATCGAATTTTTATATCTTTATGTAGTTTACAGGATAAATTGATAGTAAGTCAGGCATTCCCAGCTAGGCATGGCCGGTTCAATGAACCGACGGTTTCAGTTCATTGAACCGCCGGTTCGAGAAGTTTAAAATTTTGAACCGGAACCGGCCCTTTTGGTAGTGAACAAGATCAATGAGTGGGTTAAGGTTGCACTAAGCTAATCGAATGATTTTGATATCTTTATGTAGTTTAACAGATAAATTGATAGTAAGTGCAGGCATTCCAGCTAGGGCATGGCCGAGGTTTCAATTGAACCGACGGTTTTTCAGTTCAATTGACCAGCCGGTTCGAGAAGTTAAAATTTTGAACCGGTAACCAGGCCCTTGATAACCTCCGGTTCTCGGTCCGGGTTCCGGTTTCAGTATGGTATCAAGCAACGGTTTTTTTCCGACGAACCGACGGTTCAAAAGTTACGGTTTTCGATTCGTTCTGGAAGATTACGCATTTTAAAAAAATAATAAAATTTTGATCAGACAATTCATGGAATAAATAATAATTTTAAAATGTTTAGAATTATTAACTAAAATAAATTATTTAATCAAATTTTAAATAACAAAAACTCTTCTCATAATTTAAGAACTATTATTATATTGAAATTTACAAAATTTTGCTAACTCACTGAAGTTATAGAAAATCAATAGCCTATATATTTTCTTTTTTTTTTTGTTAAGCATTGGAAAAATAAACTCTTAAATTATAACATTAGATTTTTAGTCAGTGGCCCGCTAGTCTACGTTAATGAGTCGCGAACTCAATCATCATCGCATTGAATTTTGCTGTTTTGTAAGTTCTCAACAGCACTCTAGTCCAATTGAGTTTGCATTTTACATCGCAATTCCTACCTCAAACTTGGATGATGTGATTTTAAATGCCTATTGAGAGTGCCAAATATAACTCCCTCCAAGCTTGAATGCATATTCTTTTTTTGGCAATAATGTAGCATCGAACCAGCAATTGAATTTCTCCCATTATCCTTGAAAAACAATTTCGAGTATGGTGGCCAAAGGATGAGCTTCTTGAGACAAGTGATCTGATTTTCGGGATGGTTTTACCCTATTGCAATATTAGGAGATATTGTTCTTGTGGTGAAAAATACAAACAATGGATCCATTTGAATCAAATTTCTCCAACGCTTTGAGGCACTCGGCTTTCCCTTGGAGATTTTGTTGAATTTGTGGTGCCATATTTTAAATGGAATTACGGAAAAAAAAATGAATAAATGGAAAATATGAATTTAATAGAATTTAGAATTTGATGTATGCAAAATAAAGCAACTATTCAAGAAGAGGAGAGATAGAATATAATTGGTTGTGAAAAAAAAAATAATCAACTCCATCAAATTTAAATAAACATATTTTTTCATTTATGTGATTTCCCAAATTGTCCCTTCAACATACAGAAAAACAATTAATATTTTTGGATAATTTAGTAAATTATAATAAAAATAAATAATTAATTAAATTATAATAAAATAATTATAGCCGTTTGAAAGCTTTGTTTGAAACTTAAGTTTAACGTTGTTGTGAATTTTAATTATACTTAAATATTCATGATGATGAATTACATAGGTCCGAAAGCGTATTGTAAAAAAAATTAAACGTTGATTTATGGGTTAAAAAAACAAAAAAAAAGGTGAATGATGATGTTTTCTTTTTTTTAAATTAAAATGAATGATTTTTTTTTTCATAAAAATCAATTTTATAATGTGAAATCCCTGTTCGACCGGAACGGAAACCGACGGTTAACACGCCGGTTTCAGGTTTCATTTTTTAAACCATTCACATGAACCTTAACACGCCGCTGTGAAACAGCCCGGTTCGGTTCAAAATTCTTGAAACGGTTCCGGTTCAAAATTTTGAACCGCCGGTTTCGGTCCGTCTACAGTACGGTTCGGTTCCGGTTCGGTTTCGGTTAGAACCGAACCGGTGGCCATGCTGATTCCCAGCCCACTGAGCGGAACCAATAGTTTCTTGGTCGCAACCGGCTAAAGATAAAGTTCTATCAAATAGCATTTCTATGTGGTGGAATCTCCTTCGAGAATATAAAGTTTCATGAAGCTGATCTTCAGCTATCATCTAAACACGAATATCTTCATTTAAGAGAATATTCTTAGTGTAGAAAGTTTGAAATTCATGATCTTTTTCTCATGGATTCCGTAAAATTTCCCAAATAAATGTTTAAATAAAATATTCTGTGTAAAAAGTTTAAAATTTAGGATCTTTTGCTGCATGGATTTTGTAAGATTTCCTAAAGAAATGCTTAAATGAAGATTATGAGACAAAGACTCTATTCTAGTGCTACATGCAACAAAGATCGTGTCATTTTCTTCACCCGATAATTTTAGTCATTTGGGAGAAATTATGAAAACAAAATTTAGCAGTTACAGCAGAAAGAAAGCCAACAGCTTGTATATGAACTTTTGTTCTAAGAGTTTGGTGATTTTGTAAGTTTCTATAAGACTATAACTATACACAAGTTTGCGGGTCAAATTTTTCAAAATTTAATTTTCTTATCTTGAATTTTATTTATATTTTTAAATATATATACATTATAACTCTCTAATATTTAAAGTCTAACTCTACTTTTATCTTTATGTATTCAATGTTTAAATTCTAATCCTAATCCTTAGTTGAAATAAATGAATTCCATAATATGTTATGAAATTTATTTATAAATTCAAAATTTTGTATTTGATATAAAAAATAAAGAGTTAAATTTTATGAATTCATCTCTATGGATTCGAAGAAAACTAATCTATATTCAATTAAAAAAGGTAAAATTTTCAAATGAATTCCACAAACTTAAACATTTTAAAGTTTTATGATAAAACTCTTGATCCTTCTAACCTTCTAAACTTACCATGTTAATAATATTTTAGGAATAGAAATAAATGAATTTTTAATTTTGAAAAATTTATTCCAAATCTGAAAATTTTCATTTTCAAACAAATTATATCTAGAATTCATTCATAAATGAATTCCAAAATTTGAATCATTTATACCAAATGAAATGTAATTCTGTTTATAAGCATTAAAAAAATTAATTGAAAGGTATAATTACATAAATATATACTTTTAATTGGTAGGATATTTAAATATTATTATTAGATATACTTAATTTCTAAAAAGTTACAAAGTTTATTAATATATGAACTCTATTGATGAATGTTTTCATATTCAATTAATATTTTTTCAGTTAGAAATTTATTTACTTAATTATTATAGCATATTTATTATTTTAAATGTAATAATTCCATATTATATAACTCAAAAATAAAACTCACATCTGCATTTTCAAAAAAAAAAAAAAACCTCAAAAATAACAAAAAAAAAAAAACTATTATTGTATAAAAATATAAAGGTACAACAAGAAGTATGTTTAGAATAAATGGCCCCACAAAAGTTCAACAAAACAGAAAGTCCAGACTGCAATTTGTGCTTCACAGTTGGTCCCCATCAGCTTTCATCTTTATTTCAAATATTTCTCTCTGCTCTTAAGCTTCATGTTTCTCACATTCATTTCCTACAGGCCAAATGTCTCCAAGTTTCCAGCTTTTCCTCTTCTTCGCCACCATAAGCTCCACCACGACGGCCGCTGCTATAGGTGTGAACTGGGGAACCACAGCTTCGCATCCACTTCCAGCGCCCAAGGTGGTGGAGCTCTTGAAGTCTAACAACATCTCCAAAGTCAAGCTCTTTGATGCCGACCCACTTGTTCTACAAGCTCTTTCTGGGTCCCATATTGGTGTCACTGTCGGAATTCCTAATTCCATGCTTAAAAGCTTAAACTCTTCCTTGAAAGCTGCAGAGAGCTGGGTCCATGATAATGTCACCCGCTACTTCTCCAGCGGTAGCAATGCAGTTCGAATTGAGTATGTTCTTTTTAATCACTCTTCCTTCCGTTTTCATATTGCTTTAGCTGCCTTACGTCCATAATTAAAGCCTAAGGGATATAGCTGCGTTTGGTTTTGTTCATCTTTTTTACTATAATTTTTTAATCTCCTTTCATGTATTAAGTTAGGGTTTGGATGGGACGTGTTATTGCTGATTTAGAAATGTCTTTGAAGATTGAGAGTACTTTCTAGCATACATCTTTCTGTTAGCTACATTTTATAGTTTGATTAAACTATATGGAAGTGCGCAACTTGAGGAGGACAAATGTGAGTGAATAATTTCTGATGCGTCTGAAAATTGATCATTTTGAATCAGTCTAATGTTAACCTAAATGAATTTCCGTAGACCCGTAGTGCCTTTCACTCAGTAAGAAGTGCTTTTCTTGGCAAAGCGAGGTTTAAACGAGTTCAATTAGAATGAATCTGAAGTTTTTTAGCCTTGTATTCTGAAACTGATGTGAAAATAAGAGGACACTAGACTTTTTTAAGGCAAATTTGCATACCGTAGAGAGTAGTCCTTTTGCTCCTGCTACTTGTAGTCCAAATGCCAAAGATGCACCAACAGTTGAGTAAGGATTTATTAAAATATGATAAGTAAAAAATTGTTGTCCAATGTTGTGACTGTGTGTTGGAGGTGGATAACAGTAAGTGTTGTTGGTATGATTCTCAGTGAAGTGGAGGCCTTCAACAATTACAAAACTTTGGTTCAAGCCATTCAGAACTTGTTAATAAGGAATTGGGAGGTCAAAGTGCAACATATTCTCCATGAGACTAACTATCAGCAGATTGGATGGCAAACTATTGAACACAACAAAAATTCAGGTGTCTACTACTTTGTAGACCAACTTGAAGGCTCTCTCAGTTTTGCTAAATCAAGATTTTGTAGAGTAGCTGCTCATAGGAGGTGTATTAGTCTTGGGCTGATGCCTCTGTGTGTAACCAAACAAAGAAAGGGTGTAGTGCCTTTGTGTCACATATATGGTTCCATTTGTTGTAGTGTTCTTTTACAAGTTCAGGTTTAGGTAGCATTAGGGATATCATTTGGGCTGGGTGAAATTGCCTTCTCTAGTTGGGACTGTTTTATTGGTTTATGGCGCAGTCTCTGTTCCACTATGTGCTACTATTGATGCCTTCACTTTTCCTGAAAATTGAGAAATTGGGCAGTGTACTGTATTTGAGTCTTTTATCACCTTAGTTTTACTAAGCATGGTCTTTTCTCAGCTTGCTATTGAAATTGTATGTTGCACTTCGTATTCTGCACCAATTAAGTAAGCTCTTATAGTAGTCTTTGTTTCAACTTTTCAAAAAATAAAAAATAATCCTTTCAGAAAAGAAGAATGACAATAGGCAATATGATAACAGACTCAATGTTAGTTAAGCTCTAGGTAAACTATTTAAAGAAGTGAATTAATAATTATTCATTCTGAGATCATTTTATGATAAGATTCTTTTTGATATCAAGACTATATTGCTCCACCTTTTGTTTTTGCATATATAGTTCCGTATGTTCTTTTCATGTTCATGTTAGGTTTTAGTTTATTCTATACTCCAAGGTACCAGGACTTGCTTGTTTGCACTTGTGTCCTTCCTGGTCATGTATCTGACATGTATTTTGCTCAAACATGAAGACACCGTGTCTGAGGCATGCCTGAGTTACTGTTATTATTTTAATTTTTGGGACACAGCAACAGGACAGTAGGATACTCATCTCTTCACATAATGAGCTGATGTTGAGGGTGTCTTGTTCAATGATTAAAAGTAAGATTATAAACAATATTTCAGGATGAGGACAGTATTGAAGTTGTATCGAATTGGTATTTCATGGTGCTTTTTATTTTAACTTTGGGGGTAAAACAGTTTTATACTTATTTTGTTTCTGGGGAGAAGATGACAATGGTAAATGCTTCCCTATGAGTAGACATCACAAATTGATATACTTCCTTCCTGTTTTCAAGAACTTCTGATTGTATAGTATAACTTATGGTGCCTGAAATAGAATGTTATATTTATAGATGATCACTAATGATTTGTGCATTTCAATCAAAGCTAATTCAGAAAACTTGCCTTACAATGACACAGACAATCTCTTCCCTCTGCATTGCTTGCTTTGTTGGTTGAAGCAAATCTTCTGCTTAAGTCTTCTGTGTAGGATATGCTTGAGATTGTTGTTTCATTTTTATTTTATTTTTATTTTTTTATGTACTTCTAACCAAATTATACACAGATATATTGCTGTGGGAGACGAGCCATTTCACCTGAGTTATAATGACCAGTTCCATCCCTTTGTAATTGGGGCAGCCATCAATATCCAAACAGCTTTGTCCAGGGCAAACTTGGCAAGCCAAATGAAGGTTGTAGTTCCATGCAGTTATGACATTGTCCAGTCAGAATCCAGCCTGCCTTCCAAAGGAATTTTCAGGACTGACCTTAACAAAACTATGATTGAACTCCTCACATTTCTCAGAAAGCATCACTCACCTTTCTTTGTGACCATCTCCCCGTTTATTTCTTTCCATCAAAACAAGAACATCACCCTTGACTTTAGTCTCTTCAAAGAAGGTGCTCATCCTCGTAATGATGGCCGCAGAACTTATAAAAACACCTTCGACCTAAGTTATGACACTGTGGTTACGGCATTATCAAATGTTGGATTTCCTGAAATGGACATTGTTGTTTCAAAGATTGGGTGGCCTACAGATGGAGCAGCCAATGCCACTTCATCCATTGCAGGGACCTTCATGAAAGGCCTGATGGACCATTTTCATAGCAAATCAGGAACACCACTTAGGCTGCGGGAACTGCCGCTGGAGACGTACATATTTAGCCTTTTAGACGAGGATCAAAGGAGCATAGTGGCAGGAAACTTTGAGAGACATTGGGGATTGTTCACTTTTGATGGCCAAGCCAAATATCGAGTCGGTTTCGGCCAGGGTTCAAAGAACCCAGTAAATGCACAGAATGTTGAATATCTTCCTCCCAAGTGGTGTGTTGTAAACAATAATAAAGACTTGTCTAATGCAAGTGCAAGAGCCTTGGATGCATGTTCAGTTGCTGATTGTACGGCAATTTCTCCTGGCGGATCTTGTTTTAACATCAGCTGGCCTGGGAATATATCTTATGCATTTAATAGCTATTATCAGCAACATGATCAACGGGCAGGTAGCTGTGATTTTGGGGGATTGGGTTTGATCACAACAGTTGAGCCATCGGTGGAAAACTGTAGATTTTCTATTCAACTTCGTACTTCTCATGCGAACTCCTTATCTGGGTCTTATTTTTCCCAATGGATGATCTTGTTAATGGTACAGGGGTATTTGCTTTTACTAAATTTCAGATAACAGATAGATTTGTGGCGCTTTTGTCTCTCTTTTTTGTTTGCCTCAGGTCTGTTGCAGTGCATCATTATTTATAACATTGGACGAAGGTCGGAAAATGGTTAGAGGTTCAGTCTTTATGTTTCACATCTCCAGGTTTATGTCAAAGCTAACCCTTCCTCAAAATGCTATTCTTCTTTTTCCCCTCGCCGAAAAAAAAGCTTGGTGAAATGGTAAGCAAGGTCCTGAAATTTCCTTCAAATATCAAACCCCAGGACCTGATTGTAGTTCGACTCGCTCTAGATAATACATTATGGAAAGGAAAGCAAGTCACAACACCCTTAATAGTAACATTCCATTATCATTGCCTACTCTCTTAAATCAGGCCCAAGTCCAACAACCCGATATGAATATCCCCTAGTCGTTAAAAAGAAGGTTTAATTGAGTTTACATAGAAGGGACATAATCATACTGTTCATCTTTTCTTTCAGAATATCAATGTCGCCCTAATTCCTTTCAAAGGCATAAAATGTGAATGCATAAAATATTTTTCGTAACATCTTAAATAAGCATTTCACTTTCTTACGCCTTTCGACTCAACAGAATTAACAAATGCCACCAATGTAGATATGTAGGAAAAATGTGCTGATTAATTTTCTTTCAAAACAAATATTTAGATTTCTTAATAAATTTATAATAATTTCATTGTTTAATTTAAAGCACTTTTAATTTTATTAATTTGCAATTGACTGATTTCTCCCACAACTTTTAATTTTTCTAAATCTTACAGTAAAACTTAATAATAAGAAACTTAAACTTGAAATACCAATTCTTCCAAAAACCTGAATCATCCGACTCAATCTGTCATAAACTGAGGCTACAGTCAGTGGTCCTTGAGTTAAATCACAATCAAAGTCGTAAATACCTTACGCAAACATCAACTAAAGCTTCAAGGGACTACCATTTACCCAAAATTAGTAGTTCGATTTCTCTATTTTATTAATCATCTTCATTGCGTCGTCATAATCACATGGATGAGTAATATTTACATTAAATCCCAAATTTGAGTTCAACCGGGGAATTATCTATAAACAAAATTGGAAAAAAAAAAAAAAAAGGATTGACCTAAAATAATTTGACAAAAGTCCAATAAAATTACAAATCCAAAATTCAGAATAAAATTTGAAAAATATACAATATCACATTTTAAGAAACACTTAATCGACTTGTTTGCCCTATGGAGCTTTCCAAACAGGTCTGACCCAATCTAGCATATTTAACAGACATGCAAAGCTTAGCCCAGCCCAAACTCAAGTTCAAGACTAGTTCCATTTTAACCAAAAAAAAAAAAAAAAGCCGAAATTGCACGTCCAATACTTTGCAACCCTAATGACCGTTAATCGTTAAATCTGTAATCACCAAATTTATCAAATGTGAAAAGTCGTAATAACTAGGGCTAACGCATTGCGGGAGCAAAATTTGCAAATTAGAATTAAGAATCAGTGAATCCAGTCGCTGGAACAAAAGCTCTCGACAGATAAGAACCAGCAGGCAGCAATCCACAATCAGCACAAGGACTTCATTGCCTCGCAGATTATTAGTGGTTAAAAGTTCGAAGCCAAGCCACAGATGAGGATCCCATTACCCATTCAGCACCAGATCGGCACAACCATTCATCTTTTACATAGAATGATAGCTCCAAAATATACATCTTTACGATGATGATCGAAAAACAGTAAAACTTACCAAGCAATTCCAGTCTTTTACAACCAATTTCAGAGTTACATACATTACTAAAATTAATTAGTTTAACTGAATAAGAAATTCAAACTTTTAGACACCCAAACAAGGCAAAAACAATAGACAATTAGAAAGGGAACTGAAGTATGCCAATTACAGATGTATAATTCATGTTCATTCATGTAAATGAGCAAGTCAAAGAACTAGAGAAAAAAAAGACCAGAAACTGTTATTATAATAAAGAAAAAATGGAAATGACTTGGGATTTCATTTACTTGAGGAATTTTGCCTATTTCAAAAAAAATAATAAAATTAAAACTTCAGCTTTCCAAGGTTATCTTAAGAAATTAAAATTCTAGTTACGAATAAAACAAAATTATCATTGACATTTATCACAATTAAAACAAAAACAAAAAAAAAAATAGTATTTGATCATCACAAGACTTGAGCAAGATTGAACCCCTTCCACAACAATATCAAAAGCATGATTCACATTCTATAGCATGCATCACAGGAAACAATGTCAACAAGAAGCTCGAGATAGGACAAAATGTTAATGAAACAAAAATGATTTGCATTGCCATCTCCCTACAAATAAATAATTTATGCTAGAAATAGCCCAGGGTGCGTTTTTTGGGTCAGTACAAAGCTTAATCGCCTAATCGCCTAGCAAAGATAATGCATGCAAAAAATACAAGCGCTATCGCCACATCGAATGAGGCATGCAAAATAAACTCAACATAATCCCCTATTCTACATTCCAAACAAGGATAAAGTGGGATTTTGAAAGAGCTTCACTCACCTGAAAATATCAACCTACCATAGCAGCAAGCAATTTGGAGTTAATCCACTAGCCACTATAAAAACATTCACACAATTAATATCAATCCCATGCCTAAAATAGAAACCCCTCCATGAGCGAGTAAACAGAAAAAGGAGAAAAAGGGGTATTGCTCAGTGTAATGAACACCTACCTCTTAGTCTCCAGTTTAAGAACCCCCCAAGGAAATATAATTAAATCCCTCAGATCACAATTCTTAGTACATAAAAAGCTCAGAGCTGAAATTCTCAGTATGGACGTGATCGGTTTCCACCATGGTAGTGCCTATCTGGACCAGAGCCTCCATCTCTATAAGTATCTCTGCGCCGATCACCTCCACCATAGCCACCTCTACCGCCCCCTCTGCTGTTCAATCAATTAGTCAACATATTCATTGCTGATCAAAAATCATTGTCTAAAATAAAAGAAGCATAAATGCATACAAAGAGAAATGGACGAAATCATGAATTTTCAAGTCAGTGTTTAGCAGTCCTAACACTATTGCATTGTTTTCTATCTGATGCAACATTTCCAAGAGAGTCATAATTAAAAACTCCATACTCCTATCACCCATCCTATAAAGAATTGAATGCAACCTGCAGATATATTTGACTCTGAATTTGTTCCTAGATGTACCCTTCTACAAATCACAGACAAATTCGTGCGGAAATTAAGCCACCCAGAAAAATACCAGCAGCAGCAAATCACATATCAGTGTGATGTTTATACCACCATGATCCATCACGTGCACAATGGTGACCAGCATGCTCCTAGACTACCAAATCGCAAGCCCCAGGTTCATGTTCGAGGAGATGACAAGCAACCAAATAAACTAAATCCCTATCCTCTAGAATCATAAGTAACAAAAAACCTTACTTTTGGCTCCTTTGGAACAGAGAGAGAGAAGAGGGACAACAGGTAGCCATAGTCAATATTAATTGCATGGAACAGAGAGAGAGAAGAGGGACAAGAGGTAGCCATAGTCACTATTAATTGCAAGTAACAAGATAACAGATACCCAAGGCCTGAGAAAGAAGGCACCTTCCATCGCATCTAGATCCCTCGACAAGGAAGGCCACCATTTTTGGCATCACTGGGTGCCAATTGTTCCATTTCCAACAGTCACATCCCTCAAATATATCTCTCTCTCATTCCACCTTGTTTCAGTTCCTTCCTATGCCTCTTTCCTCCCTTCTCCTTTTCAGCTTCTATGTTTGTAGCTATCCATTCAATCTTCCCCCTTACCTCGTTTCTGTTTCATCTTTTCTTTTTAACATAAATTGAAGTCTTTTCTCAACACACACACCCCCCCCCCCCCCTTTCGTCTTCATCTTTCTTCTTTAAACCAGATAAATTGACAGTCTTTTCTTCAACACACACACCGCCCCCCCCCCCCCCTTCTCCTTGGGACAGTCCTAAATGTCTTCATTTTTCCAATTTTTTAAACAACTATTTGCCTGAAACTATCTGACCCATTTGTTTCTGTTTCTTTTCAAATGGTTTCTATCCATCTTGACTTGGCTGTCCTGTAAAACTTACTTATATGAAGTTAAATTAACTGTTGAAATTATTCCTTAGCGAAGGGAATATTACACGGGACAACAATTTAAAAAGAAAAAAAAAAAAAAAAAAAAATAACTCATAAAAGCTCGTTTTTTAGACCAAATATTTGATTTATAATTGATTATGTTAATTCAAAGACGACACGCCCAGTTTGATCATATGAGCAAAAAAAAAAAAAAAAAAAAAAAGAACTCATAAAAGCTCGTTTTTTAGACAAATATTTGATTTATATTGATTATGTAATTCAAAGACGACACGCCAGTTTGATCATATGAGCACACGCTATTCTTAACCTAATATATAAAGGAAAACCTAGTAAAAACAGATTAACAATTTAACATGGTCATCAGAAATTAAACAATTCAACACGGTCATCAGAAATTAAGCATCTAAATTGAAACAGTGCAACAATGCATCTGAAAGCATACATGCTACGAGAAACAAGAAGAGATCATTGTTAGGAAGGTTACCTGTGGTCATAGGAAGGTGGCTGCCTTGGTGCTGATTTCTCTGCCATGGCAACACTGATTTTATAACCCCTTATATCATGATCTGAAAGATTAAGCAAGCAATGAGTATAATACTTAAAAAACAGACGGAATAGAAGAAAAGAAGAGGATGTTAAGGTCTTGAAAACGTTAGTTAAGGGTCAGGTGAAATATTGTTGGAGGAAGCAAAAAACAGAAAAGATAAACAGTAATGTGGTAAATACTGTTAAAGAAACCGCCAGCAGCATGTGCAGCACTTGGATCTTCATAAGACAATACTCCATCGCCTTTGTTGTTTCCATTCTCATCTGTGTACAATTTTATATTCCAAGGCCATTGGTCTTTAAAACCACGCTTCTGCTTAATCCTTCCAACCTAAGCAATATTAATGCAGTTTCCATTTCAATAGAATATTACAATTACATCATATGAAGAATTTGTACTAAAGGTACTTAGCAAAGATTGCAAATTCTGTATTAAGCTTATTATTTCCATTGGACATTTTCCACATTGATGCAACAGAAGCTACATAAAATCAACATATTTCAAATATTTCCGTACTTAAAGATGAACAATTAATAATAAGCTAATATATATTTGTAAAACAATCTGGAAAAAAAAAATCACCTTCAAGGAATTAAACAACAATTACAGAATCATCAAATATAAATCTTCATGCATTTATATTCAAAGGGAAGAAAGAGTTGGAATTACTTGTCCAATGCCACTAAAAAGGTCTCTCAGTTCATCAGTAGTCACGTCAGGTGGCAAATTTGATATGTATATTCTCGAGTTGTCACATGTCTCATCACAATTTCCATCACACTGCTTAATTTTAGCTGCGGCATCAGAAGCATGAGCACCACTTTGTCCACCACCTCCTTCATAACGAGGACCACCGCCAGCACCATATCCCCCGTGTTGGCCACCTCGCCCACCACTTCTAACATCAGTTGTAACATCACCACCACTGTAACCACCAGCAGGACCACCATAAGATGGAGGATAAGCTGTAGGTCCACCTGTATAACTTGTAGGAGGAGGAACTGCATCCATTCCATAATTAGTGTTCCCCCCATATGAGTTAGGAGGTGGTGGATAATTAGCTCCACCTCCAGCACTACCATACGACGGTACTGCAGGAGGCATCTGGTTATAGCCACCATTGTCTCTTCCAGAATTACCACCATAGGAGCCCCCTCTATTGCCACCTCCACTCCTATTATCATAACTACCTCCTCGGCCCCCTTCATTGTAATTGCTACTTCTATTTCCATCATAGTTACCACCTCTACCTCCTCTGTTACCACCGTATCCTCCACCACTTCCTCCTTTGTTATAACCTCCGCCACTGCGATCATTGTTAGAACCAGCAGGAGAAGGAGTGCCACATTTGTTACATTCAGATCTTCTAGCGAAGTTCAAATTTCCACAGCTACATAACCATAAAACGGTTTCAATTAGAAAGCCCCAAACAATAAATTCCTATATATGGTCAACCTTATATCTCCATATTTAATGTTGAATATTTTCTAAATTAATAAAGTTTGGGCCATAGCAATTAAGATCCAATCCCAGATCATAAAATTGCAAGATCCCAGTATTCAAATTTGGTTAATCAATCAAATCTCATGCAGAATTTTTCCTCTGGCAGAATCATAGTCCAATCGGTTTAAGATCATTAGGATATAATAAAAATCATATAGGATCATTTTAGAATCAGGATCCCAAGTAGGATACTACCATTTGCTAAATACTTAAAAAAAAAAAAGTTAGTTTGCTAATGATTACGATTTGGTCAGTTTAAATAATTACCAAAACTGAAGGCCATTAAACAAGTCCATAAAGGTTATTAAACAAGAAAAATAAAATAAAATTTCTATTTTTCCTAATAAAAAGTAATTTTCCATTTATATTGCTCTATTTTTTTTTTAACTTCAATAGGCGAAGTCCAAAGGAAAAATATAGTGAATATAAGGTAAAGACCAGAAAGTAAAATTTAAGTTCTACAAGTTGAGCCAAAAATGATTAGATACTTCTTCGAGTTTTATCTCTCCATCTCTGTACACACTGATAATGTTAATGAAAAGTTGAGGCAAAAATGATTAGATACTTCTTAAGAGTTTTATCTCTCCATCTCTGTACACACTGATAATGTTAATGAAAAGTTGAGGCAAAAATGATTAGATACTTCTTAAGAGTTTTATCTTTTATCTCTCCATCTCTGTACACACTGATAATGTTAATGAAAAGTTGAGGCAAAAATGATTAGATACTTCTTAAGAGTTTTATCTCTCCATCTCTGTACACACTGATTATGTTAATAAATACAATTATTGTTGTATATCTAATGAGTGTGGATTTGATGATGGATGGAGAGGTAAGAACTTCTAGCTTTAGAAATTGATTTTCAAAAACAAAGTTTCGATTACAAAATCTTGCATTGTGTGTTGTTAAGTAGACTAACAGATGAGGTAAACCAATACTCCTAATGGCACATTGTTCTTATTAGCTACGAATGATGAAAATTATCAGTCATTCTTTGATAATAAAAGATTATTTTTAGTATTTTTTATTTTTATTTACAATTTGTAGCACTTCAGATTCTTAACGACGACTTATGAAAAATCCCAATAAACGTAATAAACCAAATCAACTTACAGATTACACCACAAATTACCTCGAGTTAGGGCATAGCCAATCACCGTCTCTTCCACTTCCACCTCGGCCACCTCCTCGGCCACCACCGCCGCCGCCTCTTCCTCCACGATCTCCTCCTTGATATCCTCCACCACCTCCTGCAGATCGGATCAAACAATAATAGTTAGCAAGAGCAGAGAAATAAAGCTTCTACCAGTGCTAGAAATCAAATTAATCTAAAACAAAAATAGTACCACGATTTTGCGAATTACCACCATATCCTCTACCACCTCCGCCACCACCTCGACCACTATAACCTCCACGGCCGCCTCCACCACCGCCATATCCACCATCACCTCCATAGCCTCCAGCACTTGCTCCTCCTCCATATCCTCCTCCTCCACCGCTGCCACCATAGCCACCTCCATATCCGCCAGGGCCACCTCCACCGTAAGATGGAGGAGCAGAATCGCCTTCTTGACCGTACATTCCAGACATGATCTAGTTCTTAGGGTTTTCCTTTTGTCTTCTACCCGATAGCGATAAGAAAAATTAGGGGAAGGACGCTGTTTGGTTACAGGAGCAGAACTTGTATTTATATATACGATATTACTTGACCTTTGAAACTTAGATATTTTGGTAATTCACCGCCCTCGTTTGATCCATATATTATTATATAGGTCGGTCATTTAAAAAAAATAAGGTCTTCAATTTTTTTTTTTACCTTCAAAAAAAAACAAAATATATTTTTTTGGTTCAAAATAACTTCTTATCCATTCCTGCATTGCACAAATTATAATCATAAATTTTTAATTTTATTAATTATTAATTATATACAATAAAATTATTAATTATCTATGGAATAATTTAAGAATTAAAAATTATAACTAATTCTCACTTTTAAAATTAAAAAGATAATAAAAAATTTAAATTTAAATTTAAAGTTGTATTTATTATAAAAATATTTTAAAAGTTATAATAACTATAATATTTGTGGTGTGTTTTTTTTTTTTTTTATATTTTAAAAGTTATAATAAACTATAATTATTTGTTGGTGTGTTTTTTTTTTTTTTTGAGTTGTCAGACTTTTTTTTTTTTTTTTGAGTTGTCAGACACATTTGGTACGTGGATCGAGTAAGGTAATTATAGGAAAAAAAATAATCAATTGCTTTAATTAATTGATTAAATTTATATCAGTTTTTAGATTAAAACTGATATAAAGCCCAATTATACATTGTATGATTAATTTAAGTTATGAGGCTGATAATTTGCCTAATTTATCATATATCAAAAATCATAATATATAATTAATAATGTGTTGATTCGGGTGGTAAGCGACCTCAATCCCTGCAAGAGTGAAAATACAAATTTGATCATCGAAAAATACACTCTATTGAAAAAGTTAAAAAATTTTACGTTTTACGATCTGAGATGAGTTACACATCGTATGTACCGGTAAATGGCACTCTATCAACATACTCAACATATTGGAAAGATTTTGTTTCCTCCTTAACATTTTGGTTGTGTTAATTTGATACTAAAATAACTAAAAATCAAGTACGTGCATATCTACTTTTTTTTAAAAGAATTTCTGGAGACCATGAGCTTAAGCCCCTATAGAGCTTTGCCCCTGCCTTCAAAGCAATAGGTTTGTTGTTACTCATTATTTGGCTATAATGCACTTTCCATTAGTGTTATCACTTATCTCATAGTAAATGAGACTATCTAAAAACTCATCAAATGAAATCTTGTTTAAGCCTTTTATTTTTATATTCTTAAGAGAAATTACCTTTAGAAGTCATTCCTTAATAAAGACTTTGCGGTCTTCTTTTCATTTTTATTGGTGAATGTCTTTTCAAATTGTAATTTAGAGTATAGATTCGCTTCTTCATGTCTAGGGATATAAACGAGTCAAGCCGAGCTCGAACTTGCTCGACTCAAAAATTAACTATCCTGAATATTTTAGGATCGAGCTCGGCTCAATAAAAGCTCGAGTTCAACTCGAAAAATTTTAAGCGTGAGGTTTGAAACTCAAGCAAATCTAAAATAAATATTATATATATAAGCTCGATGAATTTTCGAACTGAACATCACTAGACTCGAACTCAGCTCGTTTAACAAACGAGCTGGCTCCGGCTCAAGCTCTATTCGAACCGAACTTTTTTGAAATTTTTTCGAGCTGAGCTCGAATAGCTCATGAGCCGGCTGGGCTCATTTACCCTCTTATTCATGTCATTTCATTCTTCTGGAGGTTTTTCCTGTTGAGCTCCATTAGCAATCTTTATAGGCTTGTAAAGTAAACCTTTAATAGTTTCCATAAAATTTACACTTTCCACTCTAAGAAAGTAACACATTCAATATGGATAGTCAATATCGTAAAAGAATGGGCTTAATAATAAATTTGGTGTCCCAACCCTCTTATTTTTATTTTTTTGTCTCAATAGAAAATTTTCGCAACTAACATTTTCACTCAATTGTCTCCATCCTACGTAGCAAGTTGGAAATACAATTACGAAGGAAAGGAACCACTAAAATAAAAAAAAAAACATCGCATAGGACGACACTAAGACTGCCACTTTGGATCCACGTGTATAAAACGTGATTGGATTTTATCAAATGACAGTATTGCCCTTATTATCTCCCTTCTCTTCAGGCAACACTCCCTCTGTCTCTCGTTCCTTCAACACTGAAACCCAGGTCACTAAATCAAAGGGGATGATCTTGGCACCATCGACGTGAATTGCCGCTCCATGGGTCGCATCTCTCTCCCCACCGTGAGTCCAACCAAAGCAATCATGAAAAAGAAAACAATGATAACCAAAAATTACATACTGCGACACTGAATAATCGAGGAAAAAGCATCAGAACCAAAAGGAGAGGACTTGTAAACTGAAGTTAAAATTAGGAAATTTGTGGAGCAAGAACATGAAGGTCAAAGTGTAACTTTTAATGAGAAAAGAGATGAAAACCTACTACAGTGTTGACAAAACCTTAAAATTTACTTCCCAACAAGAGCTTTAATGGTATTTTTCAAGGCCCAACAAGATTCAAGCGAAGTCCATCATCTTCATCCAGCAAGTGCTGACAAAACCTTTGCATTTACTTCCACCTTCTTCTTGTTCAACTTAAAGGTGTGATTCCTAATGCAAAATATTCCCAATCCAGTGGCGGACCCATTTCGCCAATAAGAACTTTAAGCCAAGTATGTGCAAGTTTGTATAAGCAAAACACTTGGATTAGAAAAAGCGAAGGACTTAAAGAAGAAGAAGAACAAGAAGAGTGAAGAAGAAAGTGGAAGGAGATGTTTTAGCAGACTCAACTTGCTCCCAATTCAGAATCCTAAAATAGCTTTAATTCTATCTATCTTGCAAAATCACTAACCTCACACAAAAACTCTCGATGTTATTAATCCTACTGACATCCTTAAAAGACAACAAGTGCAATACAAATGTAATTTAGACTACCAAAATTGCAAAAGCAAAGAATTCCATTGAGAAAATTCTTCAACCTCTCAACTTTATAATAAAAAAAAAAAAAAATACAACTTCAATAAGAATAATAAAGAAGGATCCCTAAGGTACAATATGGAAGCTACAAGTTTCCAACAAAAGCAAATTAAAGGATTATTAGACGTACATAAAAAAAATAAAAAATCAACATACGATTGGATTAGCCATAGTAATTATATTTTTAAGTGACTTTTTAGCTTTAAAATTGTCCAAATATAGAGATAATGGTGAAAGAAAAATGATAAATTACAATTTAAAAAATCCTTTGTTTGTTGAGTCGTTCTCAAATAGATCATGTGTTGAGATCCATTTGATACTTGAATCCTCTCCAAGTGGATTGTGTACACCACCATGCTTGTCAAGTGAAGAGGAGGTTTTTTTTTTTTTTTTTTTTTTTTTTTTTTTTTCCCATGCGCTTGTTCAAGTGAAGAGGAGGTTTTTTTTTTTTTTTTTTTTTTTTTTTTTTTGTAATTGTACTTTGATTTTGTATTGACTCAACCAGATAAATTCATTACTTTCACGGAAAAACCTTTTACGTTTTTTTTTTTTTTTTTTTTTTTTTTTTTTTTTAATTGTACTTTTAGATTTTGTATTGACTCAACACATAAATTCATTACTTTCACGAAAAACCTTACGACATCCTCAATTTTTATTTTTATTTATTGAATACTTTAACTTATATAATTGGACTTATTAAATACTTTATTTAACATATTGAACACTTTATTGTAAAATTAAATTGATTAAATGTTAATTAGATGACTGAAAAATATAAAAAATATAGTTAGCAAAGTTGTATTATTCACATACCAAATTAATATTTTACGTATAAAATTCAAAAAACTTTTAAATTATTGTTTTTAGCGTAAAAAGAGATAAGATTATTTCAAAAATTGAAATTATACTTTCAATTGTATTAATCACATCTACAACTAACCTTTAATATTACGGAAAATACCCAAATAAATTATACATAAGAATCAAATTCATACCAAATAGGGATTCGTAATAAGCTTATTGAAATTATTTCTTTTAAAGTGGGACATTGAACTCATTACTTGCTCCTAATATCCAAAAAGAAAATTAAGAAGTTTCTTACCCCCACAAAAACTAGTGGGTCCCTCCTTACTAATGGACATAATATATATAGGAAAATATCAATCCAAGAGGCTAAATAGACAACATAATGCATGCAAAGAAAGACACAAAGAAGACATATTTTGTAGGAGCGAGCACTTTGCGGAGAACTAAAATCATGTGGTAGGGCCCACATTTTTCTAATACCTAAGATCTCAACCCTTTGGTTGGTGGTGGATGAGACCTTTACCACGATTATGTTTATTCGGTAAAATTAGTTATTTTTGTTGCTGGTAGCTGTTTTAGTAACGTTTATGTGTTTGAGTAGTTTTTCATAAAATGCTAAAAGCTAAACTTTACATGAGGTTAATCTTTTATAAAACATTATTTTGACATTTAAAAGCTAATTTAAACGTTATGTTATCGAATACTATAAAAAATAGCGTTTAATGTTTTAATTGGTCAGAGCTCTACAGGTTAGTTAAAAAGTTATTACCGAATACAATATTAATATATGTGCAGAGTAGGGTTATTGAACCTTTTTTTTACACATTTTTCTACGCTAATGAAATTCATGCAAAGGAAGGAGTAAATTCATATACCAATGAGGATATTACTGATTGTTCAAACAGAGGACAACCGAATCATAAATCAGTAAAAGAGTTTTGAAATAGCATTCATGGACAATAATATTTTTTTTAAGAAATTCTTTTTTATTGGCTGAATGTATGTGACTATCAATATACTGGGTATAGACAAATCTTATCCACATGGAGAAAAACTTAATCACTTATACACCAAATCAAGTACAAACAGTATTTGATTGCGTTTCGGTGTATTATCTTAAAAACCATTAGCATCATGCATAACTCATATTCGCTGGAAGTTGCAAGAGAACAGGTAGTCTCAGAGGATAATTCTGAACTAAATTAACAAGCTTATCAGCACAGTAATTAGCCTCACACAAGGAAGATCTTACAGTCCCATTCTAGAGAAAAAAATTGCCTAACAGACAATGGATAATGAACTTCAAACACGAGTAAGCTTTGCAATATATGGAGTACGTGTCTTCTTCTTCTTCTTTCAGTAATATTAATGGGTGGAGTGATGATTATAATGATTTAATTAATATATCCTTCAAATGCCCAAAAAGAAAGAGAGAAAGTGCAGAATAGCGATAGTTTGGATTTGGACATTTCTTTTTGTGATTACCCATCTTTGTTAGTGTTATTGTGGGACTTTTCTTTTCCTAACTTCTCTTTTTTGAGCCTTTAATCTGTTTTTTAATGGTTCCATAATCATTATTAATTAAGATAATTAGCTAACTGATAAAACTCCACCAGTTCTTTACTGTTCAGCAGAAAAATTAATCACTCAAAAAGAGTGACGATGATGGTCACGAAGCCTAGTGTTTGAATGTATCTGTTCTTGGTATCAGACAGCCTTTTTGGCTTGTGGGACATTTCACCTAACCATTAACTGATACGTATAGATTAAATTATTGAAGCTAATGAAGAAAAAAAATTATTAATGGCAATTAATTGGTACATGTAAATTTGTCTCGTTGATAATGCTTAATCAATGATCACTACCAATAATACTAAGCTGATGTTTGTTTGTGCTTAGTTTGCATTATATAAGGGAATTAACTTCTTTAGGGATGATCGGGATTTGAACCCGGATCTATTGCCCGTAACATGAGAGACCAATTAAATTCGGCTCGAAACTTAGTCACAGTTAAGACTCTTCGCCCCTCTCTGCAGGTGTGTGTATAGTGAAGATTGAACCTGAAAGCTCTTCTACTTGCCCAACCTGGATTGCTAATAGAACCACAATCTGTAGGTAAATTAATTTGTATATTAAATACATTCACATTATACTTTTTGAAAAATAATTTTCTTAGAAGTGTATCTTCCCGGAAAGTGGACCATTTTAAACCAAACGAAACATATTATTTCATAGAAAATTGATTTATATATCAAACACATTCAAATTATACTTTCAGAAATATATTTTCCTCGAAAAGATACCATTTTGAATCAAACGAAGCCTAAAATCATGTTGGATGCAACATAATAAAACGTATATTAGTTAGAAGCTGGTTATGCACGCGCAGAAGGCACTAAAAGGGTTAAACAATGGGAATAATGATTAATATTGGTTTAATTGTCCTAATTAGTAGAAAGCGAGAGGCATAAACCACTTTCAAATCTACTTAAAGTGTCTAAAAGGAGGGTGGGTGGACCACACTTGTCCACTCAACAACACAATACAAAGAAACAAATCATGAATAAATTAGTGCAAAATGAAAATGTACACTTGAGATAGGTCCTCTTCACAAAAAGCTTAAACTTACCGAATTATCTTTCTATAATGGAAATTAATTGTACATGAGTGAGGCCATGACCCGGTCTAGGTACATTGATAGATTCACTAAGGAATTAAAATGCTCTCTATTAAATTTTAAAAGTACTCCATATCTATAATTTGAACCGAGATCTTTGATTAAGAGAGAAGGCTTACCATTCTATCTCACCCATTAGTGGTTCTATAAGAAATATTTTAATCCTTAGCAAAACCTCTTTTTTTGTGTGTAAACCACTGGTATCCGAACTCTATCACCAAGAACTTCTTAATCCGGCTCGGAACTTAGTCATAGTTAAGACTCTTCGTCTCTCTCTACAGGTATGTTTAATTGAGATCGAATCCGGGAGCTCTTCCTACATACCGAGCCTGTGTTCAATCCTCAGCAAAAACTTTAAAACTCTTCATGAATGAAAATAATTTATATTTTTAAGCAAGCTTTATTTATAAGATCAGAAATTCAAAATTTAAAATTTTAATAATTAGAGCCGTATTTTCTTTTTGGTATAATCAAAAGGTGTAATTCTTCTCATGCTATAGAGTATAAAGGTTTTAGAGATGGTAGGCAACTTCAATAAGCTGAGAATATAAGTTCGATTCTCAAAAAGTGCACTTTGTTTGAGAGGGGGTAATTAGAGCCGTATTTAGCTACACCAAAAAAGTGAAAGGCAATCTTAAACAAAAAGCTAAAATTCATCCACAGGCAGGCAAAGTAGTGCATGATAATAATGGCAAAAGAAAGGGTAGCAAAACTAAAAGTTAATGATTAGAGTAATCAGCAAATGGAGGTTAGCCATCCATGGATACACATTCTTAGGCGTGCAAAACCTGTCGTGAGCCTGAGGTTATCCTAACGTCGATTGGATTGGCTTAATTTAACAATCCCAAAAGCAAAAAGACAAACAAAACCTACATCTTATTATTTTAACCATCTTTTCTCTATTATTATTATTATTCTTCAAACACATTCCACATTTTAATTCCCTTTGCATATATATTATATATATATAACACTGATACTACAGAAGCCAACCTCGTTGCTCCTACTGCAATATAATTCTTTCATCTCTCTCTGGACCTCTCTATAAAAAAATGGGATATGGAGAGCTTTTAATACGAAGCTACGATGTCCAAAATGATAGAGCTGGAGTAGAAGAACTGGAAAAAAGATGCGAGGTAGGCTCAACTGGAAGAGTGATCCTCTTCACTGATACTTTGGGTGACCCCATTTGCAGAATCCGAAACAGTCCTTTCTATAACATGCTGGTACGTCCCAAAGCTATATATATATATTTCTTTAGTTCATCTTCTTTCTCTATATGTTCTGTTGTTTCTTTTTCATTTCATCATTTCAAAGTTAAAATAAAACATTAGGTAGCGAAGCTTGGAGGTGAATTGGTTGGTGTTATCCAAGGCTCCATAAAGCTAGCAAGTCTTCATAAGCCTAATCTAGCAAAGGTGGGTTATGTGTTAGGCTTGAGAGTGTCTCCTCTTCATCGGCGAAAAGGGATTGGTTTAAAGCTTGTGTTAAAGCTAGAAGAATGGTTTATTCAAAACCACGTTGATTATGCTTACATGGCAACAGAGAAAGACAATGAAGCTTCCGTTCAGCTTTTCATGGACAAGCTTGGTTATGTCAAGTTTAGGACACCTTCTATTCTTGTAAATCCAGTTAATCATCGATCTTTACGTATATCATCAAACATTCAAGTAACTAAACTCAACCCTCAAGAAGCTGAGCTTCTGTATCGCAAATTCTTGAATTCAACTGAGCTTTTTCCAAACGACATAGGCAATATACTAAACAACAAGTTAAGTTTAGGCACTTGGGTGGCTTATCCTAGTGGTGAAGCATGGTGTCATTTTGGTTCAGAAGGAAAAGTTCCGAAAAATTGGGCTATGCTTAGTGTATGGAATAGTGGAGAGCTGTTCAAGCTGAGGTTAGGGAAAGTACCAATACATTGCTGGGTATATACAAAGAGTTCAAGGTTAATTGCTAAACTATTTCCTTGCTTTAAATTGCGAGCAATAACAGATTTCTTCAGGCCATTTGGGTTTTACTTTATATATGGATTGCACCATCAGGGACCGTTATCAGGAAACCTGGTTCGCACTTTATGCAAATTTGTACACAACATGGCTAAAAAGGATTGTAAAGTTATAGTAACAGAAGTTGGAGAAAACGACATAGTAAGGAATCACATCCCACATTGGAAATCACTTTCTTGTCCAGAAGATTTGTGGTGTATAAAGGCCTTGAAAAATGAAGAAAAGAAGAGGCTTAATGAATTGACAACAGCAACAAAAACATCTCTTTTTGTAGACCCAAGAGAGGTTTGAACAAGAAAACTAATATCCTCACCATTTAGTTCCTGCTCCAAGCCAAACCCCACCTCATTTTATTATGTAATCATTACATTATATGAGTCACGGATCGGTTCGTACACTTCTGAACTTATGAATGAGGAAGTATTAAAATTTCTATGTAATAATCATTAACATTCAGGAGTACGATGAATTTTTACATGCCTGAACTTATAAATGAGTAAGCACTGAAATTCATTAATTTACTTCTGTTTTTTAACTACATTTTTTTCAGTAGAATGAACAGAGGTAGTATCAAATGAATTTTTTTTATTATTATTGGTTAATTTGAGATACATTTGGCTAACATTATTAGATAAGTCCTTCCATCTCTCATTGTGGGGGGGGGGGGGGGGGGGGGGTTTTTACTGCCTGAACTTATAAGATGAGGGTAAGCGACTGAAATTCATTAATTTACTTCTTTTTTAATGAACATGTTTTTTCATCAGTAGAGATCAGACAGAGTAGAGTCAAATGAAATTTTTTATTATTATTGTTTGAATTTAAGGACGATCGTTGGTTAACATTATTAATAAGTCTTCATCTCTCCATGTGGGGGGGGGGGGTGGGGGGGTTCTCTCTGTTCCTTTCACATTCTGAACATAAAAATCTCGGGGGGGTGGGTTTCTCTTGTTCCTTTCACATTGGTGACATAAAATCTCAAAAGATTTCCTTAATTAGGTGCCACCCTCTTTGTCCTTGCTCCCAACTCCAATTTTGCTACCTCATGATATTGACTAAACAAGAAGCTTGGTGGTCCATCTTTGTCCCTTTCCTCTTGGGTTAAAATGTCTCTCCTCATCTGTCGTTTCTCATATGCATATAGTTGATCGATGCCTGAAGAGCTCTTCGACATGCATGCCAATCAATGCAAGAAAATTCCACATATCAATCTGTCTCTCCATTTTCACATGAATATAATAAGAGACGAGAAATAAGAGAAGTTTCATTTGGAGAACCAAATAGATAGATAGGTAGGTTAGCTATGTCTCTTCCCAAAAATTAATAATCATGAACTCCATGGATTTTCTCTGGTTTTAGCAATAAAGCATATTATAGAGTTGGGAGATGTCAGCTTCAGCTACCAAGTATAGAATCCTACATCTTCTTCCATTACCCTAGTTCGTTCATGGGGGATATAAAAACAAAAGGTGGTTAAGTTTTCAAGTCAGAATTCCTTATTTAGACAAAGCAACACAAGTTAGACATCTAAGCTATACCCACAAAGATGGGAACCCTCAACTTTGTTTAAGCACATATATCTAACGTGTATGTACTAATCATGCATGATTAGGATAACGATACAAAATGAAAATACATGAATTGTTTTCTCATATATGAGGAAATAATGGATTGAAGGATGAGATTTTGCTGGTTCAAATCGACAATAGTTTCTTGACTTGAAAGAGGAAGAGGAAGAGAAAGAGAAAGAGAAAGAGAAAGAGGGTTAATTAATTTTAATTTGTCCTCTATGCTAGTGGGTTAAGCACAATTTCTATCAGTGGTGTGAATTCAAATTGTAGTGGACTAAAATGAATTAAAGGAGAGTTCAGTTTTAATAACGAGGATGCTAGCTAGGTGTCACAACTAGCTAGACAACATGTACGGCCTATGAATTCTATCAAGACAGTAATCAATTGACGAGATTAACTTATATAGATTCGGTGCTTCGGTTCATTCATAAACCAAATCAATAAAAAATAATTTTTTATTAAAATAAAAATGTTTTTTATATTAAAAAAAAAAGATAAAGTGAAAATAATATTTTAAAAGATAGAAGATTTAGTCTAGATGAGCTTATAGATTCTTCTAGACAAGTCTAATTCTTCATTGTTTTTTATTTTTTAATATTTGCTTGTTGATTTCCTGTGTCTGTTTATTTGTTACTTTATATAATGTTATGTACATATGATCACATCGGATGGATGCAAGTAAGATAACTTTAGTTTTACTTGAAGTAGATAAAATAATTATTTTTTAAAAAAATATTTAAAAAATTTTGACAATTGGATTTATTATTTTGTAAAACATCAATTTTTATAAAAAAAATTAATCACCGTTTACAAACAAAATATTATTTTATAAATTATCAACTTATATTCTCAGCTTTACGGGAATTGAGGTCGTTTACCAGCCCAATCAATACCGTATTGATAGAAAACAATATTAGTTTATAAAATATTTATAATTTACAAGCTAGAGTTATTGTTATAAATAAAAAAATTTGCAAAAAATGACTACCTTCTATAAAAAATTTGAAAACATTACAAAATTTTGGCAATAGACATATAATTATTTTATAGAGCATTAATTTTTACTAAAAAAAACTTATATCTTTCACAAAATATTTAAAAATAGTTTTTTTGAAGAAATACAAAATATTTAAAAATATTACAACATATAAACAACAGGTTTTATAAACCACCAACGTCTTAAAAAAAAAAAAACATTTTCTACAAAATATTTGAAATTATTATAATTAGTACAACATATAATAATTATTTTTAAGATCTTATAATATAAAAAGATAATAGAAGAGTACAAGAAAAGAAACCATTCTGATCCTAAACGCTTATCCTCATTTTTAATTAGGAATCAGTGTTCATTGATAAGTTATTCTTGATTACTTATAAGCTATATTATTTTTTATATTGATTGCATTTTATATTTTATTTAATTTTTTTAGTAATTAAATTTAATTATTAAAAATTAATATTGGTTTTTCAAGTACATAAATTTCTTATAAAAAGAAAATCCTTAGCGCATATGCAACAAAATGAAGAAAAATCTTCAAAACAATTTCTTGTGGAGATTGACCTAAAAAGTCTTTATAGTTATCCACAAACACGGGTGAGCACAGACGAAACACGTGCACGCACATACACACACGTTCTTGTGCAAACTGTGCATGTACACACAAGATATATACACATGCACACACGAAATACACGGGCATTTACGGTAGAACACATAAATGGCTAATGCATAAATACGACTCACTGTCACAATTCTACTTTTCAAATTTCATAATGATTATATTCAGTTGTTAAGCCGCCGAGTTAGAAATATTTTTCAACAGAATCATTTATTTAATTTAATTTTTAGTGATTTAAATTATATTAAAAATATTAAAAATTTTCACTTAATATGTATTTGTTAAACTTTTTTCATCAATTCAATCCCATGTGATCTCATTACATATATTGTGGCGCTACCACTGACTAAACTTTTCGTTAAAATGAAATGTGAAATTATAAGATTATGATTGAATTCCAATAAAGATATTTCATTTTGACACGAAGTATAATTATTATTGAAATGTGATGGTGTGTGGTCATGATTGAACTCCGACAAAGTTAAAGGGTCACGAGAATAATTAGCCAAAATTCATATTTAAACTTGCACAGTAAGCCATACATAAATTCGTCTTTCAATTTTATTACTTTAATTTTCTGACGACCTTAATTTTTATTTTGACTTATCAAACAATTGAATTTATAAAATTATATGTATTAAACATTTTCATTTGTAAAAATATTTTATTAAATATTTTAACTTGCAAAATATATATCAATTAAATATTTATTAAATATGATATATATTATAAATCAATATTTCTTATAGATTATAGTAAAATTAATATTTATTTAACATTTAATATGTAATCATTGCATTTATCTTATTCTTAATATAAATACAGGCTTAATAAAATTATAAAAATCTGAAAAATATGAGAAAAAAAATTATAATCAAATACTTAATATTGTAATAAAAAAAAGTATTACAACGATCAAATAATGAGCAATTATAATATGCAACACACATCATAAAAAATTAATATATAAATTTATGGATATCCATTAAATTAAACGGTGTAGTTATGGGTGCTCGTTAGTATTATTTATTACTAGCAAAAAATAGTATCTTACTCAAATTTGACTTTGAACAATTTTAAAATTATTGGTACCCTATCCTATTCCATTTAAAGGGTAATTTGAAGCAAAATAATAAAATTTTAAATAAATTCGGATATAAACATGTAAATGAATATTTCAATGGGTTTTGAATAAATGTGGATAATAAAATTTTAAACATATTAATAATTTAAAATTAGTAAATATACGTTTCACTTCTATCCTTAATTTAAACTAATACAAATCAATATTTTTTTTGAGTTTTTTAAGGAAGGAGATTTAAACTTAGGCACAGTTCGATAGCAATGTAGTGTTTAATGTTTTGATATGGTTGAAACACTATCTTAATTAATTATAACGATCGGTAATATAATATCTACCCTTTAGAGTTTGAGACTGTTTTATGAAACATAATGTTTAGCATTTTATAATTTTTTATGACACATATACCTATCGCTTGTCTTTACCTTTTTTTTTGCTCTCATAGTCTTTGTTTTGTCATTTTATATTAAACAGCTAATCAAACAGTTATTTATATCGAACACTTTTATTCTAAACTGTTATATAACCGTTAACCAGTAATAGCTAATATTTAACCAGCTAAATTTGCCGAATAGACTCTTAAATTTATTGTCACGTCATATATATACTTGTCACTAAACCATGTCTTTGCCTGCGATAATTTTAATATTTTGAGAAGTGGAAATTAAAAACTTTGCAACTAATTAACAATTCCCCCATAAATTGTTAATGCGCATCCCACTTGTTAACTACCTTTTACAACAAATAATTGAAATTAACATTTTCTAGAAAATTAAAAAAAAAAAAAATCGAAGATGGAAATCCCACATATCACTACCACAAAAGAACACTCTCATTTAATAGATAGGCCCACTTCTTTTTAAACGCCTCTTTCCTTCCATATAGTCCCTCTCATGGAGTCCAAGTAGACTTTTAGTTGTAGACTCAACAATAATACTCCCAGAGTCTTTCTTCTCTGCCTCTCTTCTGTTCTCTTCTCTTCACTTCTTCCATGGCTCCATCATCAGCTTGCGTTGTCGATACGGCTCGAGCGTTGAGCTGTCGTAACAGTACGGCGGCGTCTCATCTGAAGCTAATCTCTATCCTAATTATCTTCTTTACGAGCGTTATAGGCATATCTTCTCCAGTACTCCTCGCTCGCTATTTCCATGGAAAACCGCTTTACGACAGAGCGATTCTTGTGATAAAGTGCTTCGCCGCCGGTGTAATCCTCTCCACCTCTTTGGTACACGTGCTTCCTGATGCGTACGCCGCCCTTTCGGATTGTCACGTGGCATCCAAACATCCATGGAAGGACTTCCCTGTCGCTGGGTTGGTTACTCTGATTGGTGCTTTGATCGCTTTGTTAGTTGATATAACTGCAAGCGCGCATGTGGAGAATAGTCAGGGCCAGGGCCATGGCCACGGCGGCGGCGGTAGTAAAAATTATACTCCGGTTGGGACACAGGAGGAAATTGGAGGAAAGAAGGCGGGAGAATTGTCGAAATTGGAATTGGGAGAAAGAGAAGAGGAGGAGAGTTTGGTGAAATTAAAGCAGAGATTAGTTTCGCAGGTGTTGGAGATTGGGATCATATTTCATTCGGTGATAATTGGGGTGACGATGGGTATGTCACAAAATCAGTGCACCATTAGACCTCTGGTTGCAGCTCTTGCTTTTCACCAGATCTTTGAAGGGATGGGACTTGGTGGCTGCATAGCTCAGGTATTTATGTCACTTCTTTTTCTTATTTTTTACTTTTATTTTAGGAATTGTTAAATTTAGACGTTACAATAAATTAAATACTCCTGATCAAGAAATTAATTTAGTTTGATTACAATAAATTCAAAATTTTGAAATAAACATAAACATAGAGATAATAATAAAACAAAGATTACCAACTAGACTTGTTCCGAGTGGAAATGGCTCGTTTTCCTTCAGCAAGACGAGGGATTACCAATTAGACTTGGTCCGAGTAGGAAGGGCTCTTTTCCGTCAGCAATACGAGAAAATTCCTCCTTGGTAGGCATAAGGATCTGATGCTATGCGAGCAGAGTTAAACTCAGCCCCAACAGATAAATGAAACGTTTCCAAAAACGTGGAAATGCACACGACTAGTAGTTGGTTAACTTGTTCTTGAATGTTAAGATTTTTCTTTTTTTGGGTTTTATTTTTACTTTGCTATGCATCTGAAACTGCAATAATATGGATACTTGCAGGCGGGATTTAGCTTAGGAACAGTGGGCTACATGTGTTTCATGTTTTCAGTGACTACACCAATGGGGATAGTATTAGGGATGATAATATTTTCATTGACAGGGTATGATGATAGTAACCCTAATGCCTTAATTATGGAAGGATTATTAGGATCCCTCTCTTCAGGGATACTCATATACATGGGTCTTGTTGATCTCATAGCTCTTGATTTTTTCCATAACAAGTTGATGAACTCTGCTCCATCCTTGAAGAAGATATCATTCATTGCTCTAATTCTTGGCTCTACAGCAATGTCCATCCTTGCCCTTTGGGCTTGAAAATTTTCACTTTTTTTTTTCTTTTTGTCAGATTAATTATATGTAAATGCATGTAAAATCAATGGAAGCATATCCATACAACACAGCATCAATTAATGAAGAACAGAATAGCTATGAAGCATTTGGTATTTGGTTAAATGTATTGACAGTACTGTAATGGCCTTAAACAAAGTCACCACAACATGGGCTTCAATTGGGCTTTGGATTTACAAACTCATATTTCTTTGTCATAGTTACTGTGGTAAATTTAGTGACAAGTGATAGTTGATTACAAACTCATATTTCTAATCCCAAAATAATTAATTTAATCTAATTTTAAAAATTAAATAGTAATTTCCTCTTTAATTTTGATCTAGTATCATTAAATGATTAAGCAATTTACTAAATATTTTGGTTTTGAATCAAATTGAACTAAAAAATGAAAAATTAAATTAAATTTTTTTGTTTTTTTTTTAAACTGAATTAAAGTCGAACTATGTATAAAATTAAACCGATTTGAATCAATTCATTAAGTTTAATTTTGAGCAAAATTCACTTATTATTTATAATTAAACTAAAACTGATAACCAAAATTACTGAAATCTTGGATTAAACTGAATTGATTGACTCGAAGAATCAGATCGAAAAAATTAAATTAGATGGATTCAATTTGATTTTTTTTTTCCAATCTAGGTAAAAGATGATTCAATTGCAATAGTACCCTAGAGATTGAGGTTGAAGTCTTAAAGGATTGGCTCTAGAAAGGAGTTTTAGAATAGAGAGAGAGGGGTGGATTGAAAATTTACAATTATCTTCTCTGCAAAAAAGAAAAAAAAAAGTTTATATAAATTTTGATTTCTCTACTCTTTTCTTAATTTCACTTCTTTCTTGATATTATTTTCTTTTCATTTCAATTTTTTTTCCTTAATTTGTTATAGGAAAAAAAAACTATTTAAAAAAATAATAATAATAATATGGAGTTTGAAAACTATTTGAACTATTTAAAATTGACATTTCAATCGCATTCAACAAAATGTTGAATAAAAAGATTAATTAGAGAACTGATAAATGATTGATTATATTAATTTTTGAAAATATAAATTTCAATCGATGATTTTCACTAATATAGAGAGATTAAATAGTAATTTATATATTAAGTTCGGACAAAAAAAAAAACTCAAGATCCTATGTATGCGCCTGTTATTAGTGTTATTACCAACTAAATTAACTGTATGGTATCAAGAATTGAAAACCTAAATGTTCTTGAAATAAAGAGGAAAAGGAAAACACAATTCCTTGACAATGAGGGAACAGTTGTTCCGTTGGAGGCACGGCATCAATACAAGCGTGTTGCATTTAAATGCTGTTCACATCATAAAGATGCCCAAACCAATTTTCAACATTCAACGGTCACATTTAATTTGATACTTTTAATTATCATGTCCTTCCATCAAATTTCTCCTATACAAATTAATTTTTTTTTTTTTTAGTAGTATACTTAGCCTTAAGGGCGAGCAAACTTTGAAAAAAAAAAAAAACAAAAATCATATTATTTTTTATTATTGGGCTTCGGTTTCGATTTCGATTTTTAATCTTCTATAATCTCATGTACAAATTATATATTTTTTTTTATTATTTTCTACAATGATTTTAATAGTACACTCTCTTATATCGGTTTAATATATACAAGAATATTCAGAACACTCCTAATTATCATTAAGAAATAAATAATTATTTTGTTTGCAATTTTCTGTGCTAGAACTTGTCTTCAATTAAGGTATACTTGATCTATAGTGATTTCAATTACTACTTACGTTTCATAATACTTATCACAATTGGAAAAATAATTTTTTCTAAAATATTTGTCACATTTATGATTTCAATGAGTAATAAATTCATTTTTTCCATATTTATCATTTGTATATAACTAATAATTATTACTTCAATTTAATAATTTTCTTTAAAAATTAATATTTAAATTAAGGGTAATATAGTCAATTTAATTAACAATTTATTATAACTTAAACAAATTTAATGGTTTTTTCAATGGACATGAAATTCTAAATGTGACGAATATTACGAAAAAAAGATACTATGATTTAAAGATGAGAATGGGTCCTCAACAAAAGTAGAAGCTTATCTCAAGGAGTATAAGCATTCCTCTTTTCTCCAGCTTTAGTACCAGTAATAAGGAGAAAAGGAATTTTTAAGGTTTGAAGATGAAGTAGTTTTAAGTTCTATGGACTCAAGTTTAGGTGTGAACCTAAAAGAAGCCTACTTGTTCTTTATTTCTTTACCATAATTATTATATTGCAACTTCCTAACTGATTCAACTACCACAGGGGGTAAAACTTCACCATCTAAGAAAATCTTTCACTTTTACTCAATGAATTAGTGTATTAACCCATTCCATTAGCTTCGTTGGGAAGTCCGATGCATCGGAATAATATCACAAGCTACATAATAAAGATCCATTTTCTTATCTCGCTAAATTGATAATATATCTTATGATAAAAAAAAAACTCAAACTCGAGACTTCTGACTCTCTATAACTCCATGATGATGAAAAGATTAAGGTTGTATTTGGTAACATTTTTTTTTAACATAGCGTTTGAACCATTTTTTGGAGGTTAAAGTAACGTTTTATAAAAAGTTAATTCATGTAACATTTATTTTTTAGCGTTTTTTGAAAAGTTACTCAAACAGTTAACTATTAAACGCTATTAAAATAACTAATAGTTATCAAAATAGTTAATTTTACGCAATAGACGCTAACTAATTTTGCTGAATAGCCCATAGCTAGACAATATATACCCATTGGCTAACCATTTCATCAAACAAGTAAACTACATAATACCAGATCACAACAAATTATGCTCTCTAATTAAGAAAAATTTCCAAAAAAAGATTTTAAGGTAAAAAAATTCTAGAAAGACTTTATCTTGGTAGCCTGTAGTTATCAATGCCCATTCAATATTCTACTTGTCAGCATCTTTACCGTCCTTTATTTCACATGATTTCCACTTTTTTCTTTTTCTTTTTTTATTTTAATTGTTTTTTACTTTTTTCTTTTTGCCTTGTCACATTGCTTCATAAGTAAAAAATGACAATGTACTTTAATGCTATCAAGAACAAAAAAGAAAAATTCACAAGAATAATTTAAGGATTCTGTCGGTTTGGTTTGAATTTTTACAAAATCGAATTATAAAAATCAAAAAATCAAAATGAAATAATTAAAATTTTGAATACATATGTATATAATATGTAAATGTAATTTATAAAAAAGAAATATAATTCAATTAGTTTGATTTCTTTTTTATTATCAAATTTATAAAATCATTCCAACCAATTGTTAAATTATTAAACCTTATGGCTCATCAACCTAATAAAGGTATTCTATTGAATGAAAATGGGACCCTCTAAGATTTTCTAAGGCCATATATATCAATATTCATAAAAAGAAAAAAGAAAATAATTGACTTTGACCAAAGAATTTAATTTTGCACCTAACTTAACTTCCTAAAGACAACTCTAACACATACCTGCCAGCCCTACACAGCAAATTACATGAATTTCTATCTTATTTAATAAGCAAAATTATAATTAAAAAAATACATATATTCGATCAACGAGGTGTGGTCTGATCTGTCTTCTTCCGTATTTTAAAATTATTAATTTGGTGAATATTATTCAAATAAAAGGATTACTCCGGTGTTATTCCAATTTATTAATATTTTACAGAAAAAATAAAAAATATATATACTTTAGGGAGGGCATTTTTTAATACTTGCCTTACTTTAAAAGTAAGATAAGAAGGGAGAAGATGTAGCAGTAATTGAAACTGACTCCAACAATATATATTTTGCTTTCTTTCTTCTAATGAAAGCAGAACCAGAAAGAAAAAAAATGCCACAAGAAGAAGATGAATCCTTGATCATCTACCTAAAGAAAGAACTTGAATCCTCTCTTATAAGGAATGATTCATTGGAGAAAGAAAATAGAGAATTAAGGCAAGAAATTATCCGTCTAAAAGCACAGATTACTTCTCTCAAAGCTCATGATAATGAGAGAAAATCTTTGCTTTGGAAGAAATTGCAGAATTCCAATGATTCATCTCAACAGATCAGACCATCTGAACCTCCTGATAATAATCCTAAATTGCAACTACCAAACCCTCCACCAAAACTTACTCCTATATTTAATCAAAATAAATTACCACCGCCAATATCAGCGGCGCCACCACCGCCACCGCCACCATCAAAGATGTTTATGGGTTCAAAATCGGTTCGGCGCGTACCAGAAGTTGTGGAATTCTATCGTTTGCTGACAAGGAAAAATGTAAGCTCGGAGAATAATAAAAACCATTCTACTGCTGCTACTCCAGTAACCGCATTTTCACCGAACATGATTGGGGAAATCGAGAACCGCTCTACTCATCTTTCTGCTGTAAGTATAATAAAGATCAACACATTCTTTCTTTCTTTTTTTCATCATGTGGTGTCCCATCCGCGCATATGCAGATGAGACTATGTGCCCTAGGGGTGTAAATATCTAAGCTGAAGTTCCGTTCAAAATTCGAGAAGCCTGCAAATTTTAGACTTGAGTTTGATTTGATGAAAATTTGAGCTTGAATTGAGAATCATGTTCGATTCGAAAAATTATAAGCTCGAACTTGGCTTGAAACTCAATGTTTAAATAAGTTTAGAATAAATATTATATATATGTATATATAAAAGGTCGACAGAGTTTGATAAGGGCTCAACAAGCTTTTGAATTTAATATCATTAGGCTCGAGTTCGACTCGTTTACTAGCGAGCTGGCTCAAATTCAATTCGAGCCAAACTTTTTCTATCGTTTCTCGGGCCGAGCTCAAACAGCTTGTGAGCTAGCTCGACTCATTTACCCCTAATCTGCCCAAAGGTTGAGGTAGTATTCACGTAAGACCCTCCGAGCCACTCCAGGTTTCGAACTCCTGGCATCAGAGGTAAAGTTCGCCCGGAATTTACTACCACTTAGGCACTTAACAACCCTCTTAATTAACCATTGTCCATGGACAGATAAAATCAGATGTGGAAAAACGGAAAGAATTCATAAATTACTTAATCAAAGAAGTGGAGTCTGCAGCTTTTAAAGGAATATCTGAAGTGGAAACATTTGTGCAATGGCTAGACAATGAACTATCTTCCTTAGTTGATGAAAGAGCAGTATTAAAGCATTTCACACAATGGCCAGAAAGAAAAGCAGATGCTCTAAGAGAAGCTGCCTGCAATTACAGGGATTTAAGAAATCTTGATGTAGAAGTTTCATTATTTGAGGACAATCCAAAAGAGCCTTTGAACAAGTCTCTAGGGAGAATCCAAGCAATGCAAGACAGGCGAGCATGTACAAAATAACTTGCAGTAATTAAGTTTTTGTGATTTAACTGATTCTGTGAGTTAATGACAGGATTAAACATTGGATTTTGCAGGTTGGAGAGAAGTGTTAATAATACGGAAAGGACGAGAGAAAGTATAATGAAGAAGTATAGGGAGTTTCAGATCCCGTGGGAATGGTTGCTGGACACAGGGCTGATTGGTCAGGTAGGTAGAAATTAGCTTATTTCACCATTAACGTATGTGATAGTTCAACTTATGACAATTGCTTGGCAACTAATAAAAATTGGGGTAGGAGATAATTTAAAATAATAAAAATATTTAAGTAATAAAAGTATAAAATAAAAATCATTTTTTTTAAACAAATAAAAAAAATAACTTTTTGTGGTTCTTTTTAGTTTCAAAATCTTTTTCTTTTCAACTACCAAATAATAAATAAATTAAATGGTGAACCCTTTTTCAGATTTTGAAAATTAAAAATAATAATGATTTCCAAAACTATTTTTTACTTTTTAAACTCTTTTCTTTCCAAAAAAATAAAAAAAAATATTACTAATGAAATATGATTACTCTAAGAATTCAAATTTAACAATATTGTTTACAGATGAAATTAAGTTCTTTGAGGCTAGCGAAAGCGTATATGAAAAGGATAATTAAAGAATTACAAGCCAACGAGTGCTCAGGTTCAGATAATCTCTTGCTTCAAGGAGCTAGATTTGCTTACCGGCTACACCAGGTAAAGATTCAGCTAAACTTGATTAATTCTTGGAATTTAGATTCACCTATCTTCTAACAATTAGAACATCCAGTTTGCAGGTGGTTTTGACTCAGAGACCATGCACGCATTTCAAGAATTGAAGAAGGTTGGAATGGCCAGTCATAAATAAATAGTATGTATGCATTAATTATATAAGCGAAAGTATCTGTAATCTACAGACACCTGATGAAGAAATCGAAAGAGAGAGGGATGGCAGTTTCCATAAATTATGATGCTAAGGATGTTGCTAATCTCAAAATTTTGTTGTATAAGATTCATAATTCAGATGTTGAAAGTAGTTTTGAACAGGTGAGGACATGGATTATATGAAGAACTACATTGAAGTAATGTGTATTTATTGCAAAATATTTACAAAAATATAACTTTAACCTATGTTGTTATACGCGATCTATTCAATGCTGGAATTAAATCAACTATTGATATAGTTATTTCCATTTCCAGATTAGAATATGCGGCTCAAATTAAAATTATGAAATAGGTAACTAGTGAGTTAAAAGTTAGGTAGGTTTACTCGATAAATTGTCCATAAATCAGTATGGGTTTAGTCGGATCTAGAAATTTTTATTTCCGAATCAATATTTTTACCTTTATCCAAATTTCTTAATCTTTTTTACATATAAAGAGAGTCAATAACAAAAAATAAGAGGGTAGATGAGTAATTATACCACGTGTATAAAAGAAATTTGCAAAAAAGAGAGGTTAATTGATCCTCCATTTTTATTAATACATCCATCTGCTACTGATTTTTTTTAATAAAAAAAGAACAATTAAGTTATATCGCACTTATCATGAGAGTGAGCTACATTAACTGAATCACAAAATTGAACCAAACCGAATTATTTTCAGTTTTTAGTTCAGTTATTTGATTTTTGATTTCAGCTTTAATTTTGAATATTCTCTAGTTTTGGTTTTCAATTTTTAAATCGGTTATTATAAAAAAATTATTTTTCAAGTAAAACTGAATTAATAAGTATTGAACATATCAATTTAGTTTGATTTTCAAATCACTTCGGTTTGATTTAATTTTAAAGAAAAATTATTTTCGATTTTCTTTCTGTTCAGAACCGAATCGCTGTGTTTGCACACCCTTAACCAGCAAAAATTTTCAATCAAGAGATGGTGAAATGGAATTGAAATGTAAATTTACTTTAAAACATGTTGATTTGTAGCAGTCGGTGCCCAAACTGATCATACGGGCCTTTAGGAGGCCATTTGTAAACGGTATGCAAGAATTTTGGTCCAACAATGGCCCATCCTTACCTGAAAGAAAACAGCACACGACGAGTGTGCCCATCACATTGTAAACTCGTCGTCTTTCGTATTCGTGGCTTTCAATTTTCGGTTGCTATCGATAAAACCAACTCCAAAAATTCCAGAATTTCTCACCTTCCATTATCCGTTTCTCAATGTTTTCCTCTGCTCTCCTTTCTCCCTTATCTAATCCAATCTCTCAGTTTCAACACACAACAAACAAGCTGCTCTCGCACTAGCTGACAGAACGTGTATTCTCCCTCCTTTCTCTTTCAATTTTAGGATGAGAAGAATAAATTCAGCCAGGAATTTCAAATTGTAGAGCGAGAGAGAAGTTTTGTTGGATAGAGTTGGCGAATGGGGACGGGTTCATCAAAGGACGCTGATGGTAACTCTCATGGAGGCGAAGAGCGAGAAGAAAATCTTGATCAAGCTGGAGGTCAGCTTTATGTCTCTCTTAAAATGGAGAACTATAAGCAAAAGCGTGACCTTATTCCTCACGTCTATGGCTCTGTGCCTCTTATTGGCTCCTGGGATTCTTCTAAAGCTGTAATTCAACTGTTTCCTTTATTTTCTTTCCTTTCCAAGTTACCAAAAGAAATGTTCAATTGGGTTATTAATTTTCATGTTTCTTTTAGTGTTAAAGAAACCTTATCGTTTCATATTTGGTGTTGGATTGTTTTAGCTTTCAATGGAACGCGAATCGGCGTCAATGTGGGAATTGAGCTTTGTTGTCCCTCCTAATCATGGTATGCCAATTATTTCGGTTACGCCTTTGTTTGGTAGCTGAGAAAAACGAATAAAAAGAGAAAACTGAACTGAATTTGAATTAGCTTTTCTCAACCTTTTGGGCTACTTCTTCGAGTTTGCAATCTGAAACAGTCAAGAGTGTAGGAATTGAACTCGCATAAATGGCCTCTTTCCTAATCTGCTTTTCTTTTTTTATTTTTTTATTTTTTTATTTTTGGATGGTTTCGTGTTGCGCACAACTTTACCATTTTCATTTATACAACTTTTATCTGTTTATTCTTTTTTTTTTTTTTTTTTTTTTATTCTTTTTTTTTTTTTTTTTTTTTTTTATTGTGGTTATTCTGTGTTTTTTTTTTTTTTTTTTTTTTTTTTAATTGTGGTTTATTCTGTGTTTACTGTTGAGTGTGTAGAAACTTTGGATTTCAAGTTCCTGTTGAAGCCGAAGTACAGCAATATTCCTTGTGTGGTTGAGGATGGCCCAAACCGGGTTCTTACTGGGGGAACATTGCAAGGGGAATCCAGGTTGGCTGTCTTCAGAATTGGTGAAGAGGTACTTGAATATAGAGTGTTCATTAAAGCCGATCGAGTTTCGCCCTTTGATCTTGCGGCTAGTTGGAGGGCTTATCAGGAAAATCTCCAGCCTTCAACTGTTCGTGGGATTCCTGATGTCAGTATAAATTCTGCACCGATGGCTGGGGCTGAGGTGTGCTTCTCAAAGCATTTTCCTTTTGTTAGTGTATGTTTATTACAGGGCATGATGCAGTTTCATTTTAGGAGGTTTAGTTGAATAATATGTTTGTTTATACTCTCTTGTTATGAAAGACCTACCACAATCACTTCAATCAAATCATTTGAATTCTTACAATTAGGTAGTCCCTTTAAGTTATATTTTATGAGAGTTTGGACTTACAACCTATGAGGATATAAATTTTGGATTCGTAATTTAATACCGTCACATAAATGTATAGCCTGCCCCATATATTTTTAGGACTAGACCATTTTGATTAATCCCATACGTTTTGCATAAAACCAGTCAATTGCTTCACTTTTCATTAAAAAAACACTACTTCTCATTCATGGTGACTCAGCAACTCCAACTCCTTTATTTTTCCTTTGAGAACCTTTACTACTAATGGGTAGTGGCTTCTTATGGATTTAATGTGTTTACTGATTTCAATATAGAGTCATTGCACAGATCTTGTCTCCTATTAACTTTAGTTTTTAGGTGAGATGTTTCAATATGGTACTAGGCCTTTGCATTTTATTTCAGTATGTTGTTGCTTGCCTTGGAATACGCCTACTTGTTGGGCATAACCCGTTCACTTTTCATGTTTTGTGTCAGATACCTTGTGTTAAGTATAATTATAAACTTGAATGTGAGAAGGAATGTTGAATGGCCTAAGTTGGTTGAGCTTTTGGGTTTCAAGTTTGGTCTGACGTTTTACCCAAAGCTAGAAATCCAAGCCTTTGAATCCAAAAGCTTTCATAAAATAGAATGCTATTGAACTTCAAAAAAAAAAAAAAAAAAAATGAACTTCAAAAAAAAAAAAAAAAAATGTTGAAAGTAATCAAACTAATAACTAAAAAAAAAAAAAAGATTCTTTATTTTGCATTGTTTGCAATGCGTGTATATTATATATTAGTCAAATACAAACTAACTTAAAACCATAAAATATTGTTTAATTTAATATTAAAACTAATATTTTTGTATTTGTAAAATGCAAACACACACATATATATATACTTTATTTAATTTGTAATTAAATATACATTGACGATAATAAAAATTCTGCTACAAAATTTTAAAAATATGTCGTAGGCCCTAAATTTTTTTTTTTTTTTATTAATAAATTTTTTGTTTGTTGGTAATTCTAAAATGTATATAAACATAAAGCAAAAAAAAAAAAAAAAGATTCTTTATTTGCATTGTTTGCATGCGTGTATTTATATATTAGTCAAATACAAACTAACTTAAAACCATAAAATAATTGTTAATATATTAAACTAATATTTTTGTATTTGTAAATGCAAACACACACATATATATATTACTTATTTATTTGTAATTATATACATTGACGATAATAAAAATTTGCTTACAAAATTTTAAAAATATGTCTAGCTATTTTATTAATAAATTTTTTGTTTGTGTAATTCTAAAATGTATATAACAAGTAGAATTTGTCATATCGTGGTGAAAAAAAAAATGTAAAAATTGTATATAACCTCATTTGACATTGTAATATTTTAGTTATATAATTTACCAGGACTTCAGTTTCTGAATTCTCAAAAACTTTATAATCAATTACAGCTGGTGGCAGTGAAATTAAGTGTTCCTATTGATGAAACATAAGGTTTGGTTTGTTTTATGTTGTGTAAATGCCATTATAAGGTATTCTGAAATCTACTGATTAGGCTGCATTTTTTATAACTTTTTTTTGTTCTTTCACCACCCACTTTTTTCCTGCGTAGTGCCATTTTTCTGAGTGTTTGGGACATTATGCTACTGAATCATCATTTTATGACAGCTTAACCTTGGGAAGAACAGCTTGGTTCGAAGTTGAGATCTTTTTCTGTGATTTCTGTGATGAAACAGTTGGTTTACATCACTGTGGGAGAAATATTTGTTCTTTTTCTTGTGATAATTTATATACATTCACTTCAGAAAATCTTTGTCCAATTTCTTGCAGAATGGCTCGTCAACAAGTTTGGAGCTGGATCTTGAACATTATCTCATCCCTGCTCCATCAACTTCTGCAAACTCAGGACTGGTATATGCCGCTAACTTTGCTGAGAATCCAAGGTTTTCTATTGCTGATGGGCTTGGCAATTCTTCATATTCCTATAAGGATGGTAGTCTGTCTGTTGATCGACCTGCAACTACCAAGGTTTATCTTCATATTCCGTCTTCCAAAGTGCAACCTATATTTTATTTATTGGTAAATTGGGTTAATTACAAGTGTGAGGATACTGCATTTGATTTTCTGATAATGAACTAGCTCATAATGGTTGCAGGTCTACTTATTATTTAGTGGCAATTCAGCCATATCAGCTTTGTGGGACCTCAGCCTTAAGTTTTATTATATACAATTGCATTTGATTCTATGCAGTGTGATATTATTGTTCTAGGCCTTTGATAGAGCTTTTATTATCCTGTTCATTTGGCTGGCAGATGATGTGCTTTTTGTCTACATCATATGCTTTATGATTAACGATGTATTCATGTTTATGTTAGGAGATGGAGGTCAGTATCCCAGATCCATCCAAGGTCTATTCAGGTTCTGGGATGGTTGAATCAAAGTCCGTGGGCACATTTTCACCTTTACAAAAGCACGATGGTCACAGGGGACTCTTTGTGGATAGGGGGGTTGGATCTCCTAGGCTAGTTAAATCCTCCAGTTCAAGTACTTTTGCCTTTGATCTCAAACTGGACACTGAAACCAAGGTTTGCACTTTGCACCAATGAATAGCTCACAGCAGTAGATGTTTCTCTGCTGTAGCGATTTTATTTTTCTGCAGGCTTTATATATTTATTCTTCTGCAGTAGTGGTTTCTCTGTCATGTTTCTAAGACCTACTTTTCATATTTTCAGAATTCAATGCCAGCAGCTGCTGGAGCTGTTGCAGCAGCAGCCATAGCTGATCAGATGCTTGGACCAAAGGAGGATAGGCATTTGGCAATTGTTCTGGTACATTCATTCATACGTAGTAATCAGAATTATTGATCAAAATATTACCTGCTAGGTTGGATTCTGATATTGACCCTGTAATTTTTCGGGTACAAGAGGAGCGCACCAGAGTAATCTAGGATCTCTAACAAACGCCTTCACCTAAACACCAGAACCTTGCCTATATTTCCCTTTATGGATATCTTGAATAGTTAGATTTTGAAAATCAAATCATTTGAATAGCACTGAAATTAATTCACTTGAACTGCTGATAACAAAGAATGCTTGCAATTGCTTATACATTAGGTTGGTTTACCTGCTCGAGGCAAGACTTTTACTGCTGTTAAACTTACAAGATATCTTCGATGGTTGGGTCATGAAACCAAACACTTCAATGTTGGCAAGGTCAATCATATTTTTACGATTATCATTTTTCATGCTGCTCAGTTTTTCTGTAAATTTCCAAACCTAATATATTTCTATGATTGATTCTAACAGTATCGGCGCCTTAAGCATGGAGCTAATCAGGTATACTCAAGCAATTCATGATGCATACATGCACTTCAGTTTTATGGTTGTAGAAGCTTATCTTTCCACTACTGACTGTAGTGTATCGATGCCTTAATTATGAGTGATGAAGGAAGTACTTCAGCCGTTTTATTTTTCATGAACTGGTGATTCCAGTCTTAATATGACTTAAATGCAAAAAAGGGGCACCTTGGATTATAGAGGAAAAAGATAAAGCAAAAAGGAAAGGTACAAGAAGAGTTTTTCAACTTCAATGGCTGGAATCAGATAAAAGCTTGGATGTATTTTTTTGCCTTAGGAATTTATGGATTTGTAAGATATTGCCTGGTTTTCTGGAGAAAAGAAAATTTGGCTTTATCAAAGGCTTCCAAATGTATTTTTTTGACAAGAATGTTTTTTTTATTAAGAAAAAATAGGAGATCTCATATAGATAGTCAAGTTTAGATAGTGCTTGTATGGGAAAAAAGGGAAAGGGTGAGAAGAGGAAGAAAGAATGGAAGTTTCTTGGTTAGAACTCAATGATAATAGAATAAGATGCTGCTAAAACCAGAAGAGCACTGTGATCGGGCCATAAGAAACAAAATGAATGTTGAATGTTTCAAAGGCTCTCTTTCATCCTTTCTATTAATATTTGTCAAATTCCCTCTTCTACCTGTTTACATCATCAGCTTTCCAACAGTATACTCATTTAACTTCTAGATCCTTTGACCATCAGTTAAGTTACTCTCTTTATATTTTCTGGAGATGGGATAATACACTTTTAGACTTGAAGCAAATTTCTAGCTGTGAGTAAATAAGGCAAGTGCAAATGTCTTATGGAGAAAATGAAATAATCACCCAAAAGAAAAGTTTTGTTGGGTATGCTGTGTATAGAGAGTTATAAGAGACATATTACATGCTAAACCCATTGTTTGGTCTCTGAACTTTTCTTCATTTTGCGGTTGAGTCCTTATACTGCAGTGTTTTTTAATAACCTAAATTGTTTAATTGATATAACAATGAAAATACTTTACTATAAATTCAATGGACCCACATAAATGAAACAAAAAAAAAAGTTATCGAATGGTTATTTAATTTTCAACTCAAAAAGAAAAGTTAAGAAAATAAATTTTTCTTAAGAGGAACTGTGAGCACATTTATCTAATCAGACTTTCCCTTACCTCTTTCCTGCTTACTCTATCAAGTAAAAGCTGCAATCTTGGCATGCCCATGTTGCATAAGGAAACAGTTTTTCTCTCAGTTCCATTGATCTTCTTCGCTAGTTCTTCTTTGTTATTTTCTTTTGTCCCTCTTAAGTCTTATCTAATGACCATAAAAAACCTAGGACATATCTCAAGTTTTGTGATTGCTGCTGCTCTGATTTTTTGGAAAGATCACTGATAGGAGATGATTTGAAAGTGTCAAGATGGATCTAAATTTGCCTTCATTGTCACTGAAACTAAGGACTATAATGAGTATGGTTGGTTTAGGCTTTGGTTCTTTCCATTCTGATGGATTTCCTGGCATTTGAAGCTATTCGGAGCTTCACTGCCATTGGAAAAGGAGGTTAATGAGGTTATCAATGTTTGGTGACAACAGTTTAACCAGGAATATATTAGTGTTCTCTTTCTCCCGTCCTCTCTCTATTCTCCTGAACTCTACTGACTTGATTTTAGCAAAACAAACATGAAGGCATTCTACTACAACCATAATGGACTGATTAGGGATTTTCGAGGTAAGTTTAGGACAAATGATAGGCTAGAATTCCTTTTCCAATTAATGAGATGGTGTGCTCTATTTTTTCTTATCTTTTTTTAAATTATCAATTGAATAATTTTCATAGTTTGGTAGAAGAAAAGAAAGTATCATTTCAAAATTTTTCTCTATACTCTTTTAACGCTGCAGTTGCTTGCTTTTAACAATACATTCCTTCATATGCTCAATGTATACTAAATTATTACTAGACGGGATAAAACCAAAGAGTTAAATAGAAAACTCATAAAGTTCAAGGGCTTTTTAATAGGTTTGGTCTTATATGCAGCAAAAACTCTATGTTTTGGTTAATATGTACGTCGTGTGTAGTTTTGCTGTGCCATCAAATAATAATATTCTACTGGTTATCACATTCTATTGGACATTCTTGATAGATTTTTATTGATGCAGTGTGCTGATTTTTTCCGAGGTGACAATCCTGAAGGCATGGAGGCACGTAATGAGGTGAATATTCATCATCTAAATATTGTTTCAGCGTAATGGTTACGGCTTTATTCTTTCTTGGGCCTGATGTTTTTCTGTTATATGCTGTATAGAATTAATTGTGTGATTGGACAAAATAAAATACTATTTTACAGGTTCTGCTAAGGAAATTTTCCCTCTTGAGGCAATGAATAAAGATCTAGTGAGATTGAAAGGTTGTAACATGTATGATTCAATAAAACCTAATAAGTAGCTTTCAAGTTATCATTTGAATCTCTGAATCAATCTGAATAGTTATAAAAATCAGTTTCATTAGACAAATGATCCTTGATCGATTGAAATCTTCAGAGTTTAGATTTATTATTTGGATTTTGCTGTAAAATCACTAGAATGTCGACTTTAGATAAGTACAGCATCAAGCAACTGTTTGATTATAAAAAGAAAGTCATTAAGTATAATATGAAGAAAAGGAATGCATTATACTAGCTTTAGAAGCTGACTTTTATGTGTTCAGCATGTGAATATGTTGTTATTGCTGAGTTTGTTTTTTATTAGATGATCTGACCACACCATATTAACTTTCTCCTTTGTACATAGTTTTAATGTGTCGAATGCCACTAGGTAGCAGCATTGGCAATGGATGACATGATTGCCTGGATGCAAGAAGGTGGCCAGGTATGTCGTCTCATGTGAAATATTATGATGTTTTGTTTATGGAATCTACCTAATCCTTCTGCTTTTGTCCATTTAATTTTTTGCAGGTAGGAATATTTGATGCCACAAATAGCACCAGAAACAGAAGGAATATGCTGATGAAAATGGCTGAAGGAAATTGCAAGGTACTAGGGACCTAGCAATGCAGGCAATTCTATATATTTCGCTAGTTCGAACCTGTGTGATTGTTTGGTGAGACTTATACTTTTGAAATTTGTATTTTTCACGTATCTCCTTGAAGTAGTGTATCCTTGGGCACTATGGTTTAAATAATGGTTGTTTAGTAACATATCACCCTTTTTATAATGGGATTTGAGCCCATTGTCAAGTTGTTTTCCGTTTCGCTACTTGAAAACTGAACAACAACAGCAACAACAACAATAACAAAGCCTTTGTCCCAAACTAATTGGCGTCAGCTATATGAATCCAATGTCCACTCTGATCGAATTAATATCAATGCAAGCAAAGTATAAGTCGGAAGAAAAAGTTTTGAAATACTTTTTTGTAGAAAAAAAAATATTGAAGGAGATTTTAAAATCATTTGACATATTAATAAATAGAACAAAGCATAAAATAAGCAACGACAACTAACTAGGGTCTGCTGTATGAATCTTTTGTCTCCATTTTGTAAAATAAATTTCCTGAAAACAGTAAAATAAAAAAAAAAATGGAATTGGCTTTATAAAATGCTCCTTCAGGTTATTAATAATGTATATCTTTCATAATTTATTAAGTTATTGTGTATTGTTCGTTTGACTGATTTTGCCAATGATCTTAAAAAATTCATGGCAGTGGCACCTGGTTCGGACTAAATTCAGTCTGATTCAGGGCACTTCTGCAATGCGGTTGCCGTTTTTTCCCCGTTTAACAGTTCATTTGTGTTTTTTCTCTTTTCAAGTCTCCAACCAAGCACTGCGCCCACTCCCCCCCTTATAAGTTAGATTTGTCAGTTGATATCTCATAATTAAAATTTAATTTTCTATCACTGCAACACCTATAATCTATAAAAGATCAAGTTCAACTCTTGATTATCCAAGCACTATTGCAAGAGGAATTTTTCGTTTCTTTGTTTTTTTTATTTTTTGCGAAAACTTTCTCTTAAATCTATATTACAGGAAATTCGCCTTAAGGGTTCTTTGCCTAGGAAAAAGCCAAACTTTACAGGAATCTATCAAATAGTTTAGCAGTAGTCTTGAACCTATTCTGATAACATATATTTTTTTTTCACTGCAGATTATTTTTTTGGAAACAATATGCAATGATCCGCACATAATTGAAAGAAATATACGCCTTAAAATTCAACAAAGTCCCGACTATGCAGAGCAGTATGGTTACTATCTGAAACTGCTTCCTTCTCATCTCAAATATTTCTCTATTTACCACTTCCTGAAATCATGCAGGCCTGATTTTGAAGCTGGATACCAGGACTTCAAAGATCGACTTACCAATTATGAGAAAGTAGTTTCCTTATTGTCATAATAATTTCTTGTTCTACCAGTTGGTTGTTTCTAATGCTTGATTCCAAATTATGGTTTAAAATTTTTCTTCTATTACCAGGTTTATGAGCCTGTGGAAGAGGGATCCTACATAAAAATGATTGATATGGTCAGCGGACATGGTGGACAAATACAAGTATGTCTCCTCCCTCTCCTCTCAATCTAATTATTCAGAAATATATTCGTAAATAAACTGCATATTTTAGCATGTAAATTAGTAATGTCATTGTGGTGCAAAATCATGAAAAGTGACTGTCTAGTTTTTGGCTGAAAATGTTACCCTTGTGGCCCTTCTTAAAAAACAAAAAAAAAATCCCTTGTGGGGAATATCTAATCAGTTGGAACAAAATATAAAAACATTATCAATCACATATGAGGATAATAAGATGGATGTGTGGCTATATGAGGTTGGCAAAAATTCAAAATGAATGTATTCGTGAAAAGGTAGGTGTGGCACCTATTGAGGAAAAAATGAGAAAAGGAAGGTTAAGGTGGTTTGGCCGTGTGTCTCATAGAGTGCTGTAAGGAAAATAGAGTATCTTAAAGGACACGTGACTAGGAAAGGGAGAGGAAGAGCCTAGATGACATGCGAAGAAGTGAAGTGACTAAGAAGATCTAGATATGCATTTCTTTGATAAATGATAGTAGGAGTCACTAAACTTCTTTTTCAATCAACAAAACCAGATTTTATGTAAGAACCTGGGCCTGAAATTTGCTCTAAACAACCTGTTGTTTAAGGGCTCAAATCATGAAACAAAAAGATTAATCCAAGTTATTTGAAGTAGCTAGTCGACCTATGTAAACCATTTCTATTTTTCAACCGATGTGGGATTCAATCCCATTGCTTAGCCACTTTAAGCTAGCAGCTTGGCTAGGTGAGGTGTTACACTTCAGGTTAGCTTAAGGCTTTGAATTGCGTAGCAAACCTATATATTCTAAATTTTACTCTATGATGAGAACATATCTGAATAATTTTCATAGACATGTAATTAATTTATAAGTAGAGAAGAAAATAATGTAACACTTCAAGGCGCAATAATATTATGGATGTGCCACTTGTGTGTTGGTTTCAGAGGTTGATACTATTTTTCATTCAGTTATGTTAATTTCTTGAAACTAGCCATGCATAAGTATTAGATATAAGATAACTTGTTTCTTGTTTTCACCCTGAAATTCCCTACGGTTGGCATTTTTGCTTTCGAAATCACCAATATTTGTCTTGTGCAATTACTCAATAGCATGAATTTAAGTTAGTGCTTATTCAGAAAATCTTTTATGATTCAGGTAAACAATATCAGTGGCTATCTTCCTGGACGAATTGTGTTTTTCTTGGTAAGTTGTCCTGTCAAAAATCTGGATTTCCTAATCCATAGCATATTGGAAAAATGGTGTCGAGGCACATTCATGTCTCTGCACTTTTTGTTTTTGTTGTATTTATATGTTTTCTAAATTTTACAGTACTGTTAGTTTGGCTAATGGTGCTGATTATACTTCCATTTTTGTGAAGTATCCTAGGTTCAAGGTTATTGAATATGAAAAAGTAGCCTATGTTTTGATATAATCTGTGCTTGTGAGTTTTAAATGGTCAAAAATGCTTTTTCCACAGATCAAAAATGGCTGATGGCAGTGAAGTTACACAATATCTGTTTTTCTCTTGTTTATTTGAACTTGACACAGCCAGAACCTTTATTAATTTGTTGCAGGTGAATACCCATCTCACGCCTCGCCCAATATTACTTACTAGACATGGAGAAAGTCGGGATAATGTTAGAGGCAGAATTGGTGGTGACACTGTTTTGAGGTACTTAAATATTGCTAAAGTTGTTATTAATATCATGAGATGAAACTCAACATATGTATTTCCTTGTTAATCTTGGATGTCCTGCATACTGTATTATCTGTTTGCAGTTATATTGTGGGCTGGTGTTTACTTAATTTACAATTTTGTTCCAAAAGGAAAACTTTGGGTTAGTTTTACCGGTATTACATTTGCCATCTTATTCCCATTGCTGTATTTTACTAGTTCTTCCTGAAGGGACATTATGCAGACATCTATGTAACCTCTGAAATTGACTTTTTCAGAAGTCTCAAAGAGTTTGCAGAAGTTACTGTCATTATTTCATGAGCCTCCTTGTTACTTGTGATATAGGAAAAAACCCATCTTGCTTTTATCCGGAGGATATCTGAACATATTTATTTGAAAACAGAATTATAGCCAATGTCATGCTGGATGGACTTTAGTGATATGATGACATGGTTGAAAATGGGTTTTAATCATTTTTATTAGCTATTATGATTTATCTGTAGATTATGCATGTTATTTTCTTCATCTTCTCTAAAATGTAATTCCTATATTCTTTTTTCTTAAAGTTTGTAGCATTTTTCTGAAGCCACTGGAGTCTCACAGAGATTTGATAGTAATTGAGCAGCTCATTTAAAAATGTTATTGCCTTGTGCTGTCTCACCAAATCATGTCCCTAAGAGCGATGATGTGAATTGCAGTTATTACCTAGCAATTTTTCATAAGGTCACCATTCTTAAGACTTGAAGCTTTGTTCCTGGCAGCTTTTGATTAGAACCATGAGATATCTGGAAGGGTTAACTTTGATGGCACATCACAATTAACCCGGTCAAGTTTTTATTCATATTACAAGAAATTGTTGATAGTCTCTTTATTTTGTTTTTTTTCCATGTTGACACATGGATGCTTTCTAAGTTTTTAATTTTACTTTTTCCCTTGAGATTACTTCAAGTGACTATAAATATGGTGATCTGTTTCCACAGTGATGCTGGAGAAATCTATGCAAAGAAGCTTGCTAACTTTGTTGAAAAACGACTGAGATCTGAGAAGGCTGCCTCTGTAAGCTTCATCAACATGCATGATTCTAGTGCCTACTATCCTAAGAAGTAGATAAAATAAAAGCTTCAGTATTCAGAGCCCTTTTCTAATCCATTCTTTTAAAACCAAATCTTTTTTGCTGCTAAACTTACACACACATCAAGCATGTCTTTCTAAAGCCATAAATTAATGAATTTGTTTGTTTATGGCATCTATAAAATTTGCATTTAGAAGTTTCGATTTTGGAAGTAGTACCATTTGCATTTGCTCTTAAAAGATCATTAGTTCAAGAAGTTTTCCAAACTGTAAATCCAAGGCAAGTTTTTTAGTGGTGCAAGTCTAATTATTGGCATAAACATGAGCAAAAGCAACTTAATTTTTGGTCCACTTGTTCAAATTGACAAAATACTTGCTGTCCATCATGCTGGCTGGTAATCTTTTTTTATTTTTTGCTTCAGGGAAATTATGTTTGTCAAATTTGCTCACATCAATATACAATTTTGACTTTGTATCCATCTTATTATCTGCAGCTTTCATTAAGTTTTGCGTGTCTGGAGTGAACAGTTTGGATCTTAATGAGCTTTTCTTTTTTTAAAAAACAATTCAATGATGTAGATTTGGACTAGCACACTGCAGAGAACGATTCTTACAGCAAGTCCAATTGGTGGATTTCCTAAGGTGAGTTTGGAATCCAAAGAATATAATTTGTGCAGCATAATAACATAGCTTTAGCTCATTTCAGTAGGTGATAGATGGCCATTGGAATAAGTTTATACTTGATTGGGGAAATTTGACAGTTTGTAACATTTTTTAAAGATTCAATGGCGTGCCCTTGATGAGATAAATGCTGGGGTTTGTGATGGAATGACATATGAGGAGATAAAGAAGAACATGCCTGAGGAGTATGAGTACGTTTCATTGTCATCCTCTTTCAATTTGTTTTAAACTCAGTAACTTCTTATATATTGTAAAATTGGATATATATAAATTCAAGAAGTTGTTTGACTGATGTGCAGTCATATTTGGGCTAATTACTTAATGATAGTCCAATTCAAATTATAATAGATCTTTTCAATTTTGTCAATTATGAACAACCTCTCAAATTGGTGTCAGTTGTAGTCAAATATGGAAAAACATGCACTAGAACTTCCAAATTGTTGATTTTGCCTAATTTGGTTTGTGAAAATTCACCATAAACATGGTTAGGGTACTTCTTTTTCTATCTTTTTTATATTTTGATGTTAAAATAGGAATAGTTATATCCTTGGAGTCTGAACTTTATTCTTTTTTCTATTTTAGTGTCTCAACTTAATTTTTTATAAATGAGCTGTCTGGAAGTGGAGAAACTTATTTTCAATCAAGTGATTTTGGCCAGAATTTCTTATCGGAAGACTAAGATGGACTATTTTATTCAATAAATCATACTGCTTCTGAACATTCACTATATTCATCTCTTTCACATTTTTATGGTTTCAGCTTCTGTTGTCCTCTCCTTTTTTTTTTTTTCTTTCGAAAAATATGGATTTTTCTCTAATTTCCTTCATTCTCTAAGAAAATTCAGAAAAAATTGAGAGATAATGTAATGAAGAAAGAAAAATGGCCGTTAAGAGAAATAAATTAAGTCAGGGAATGAGGTAAAATATCTTTTTAATATTCCAGCAAGACATTTTGGCCAAATACACATTGTTTATAAAAAATTATTTGTTCAAACACTTGATTCTTAAAATCTAAATTTAAAACATTAAAATAGAATAATAGAAAAAGTATTAGACTCCAATTTATAATCGCCCTGTTAAATTATAATAAATAATTCTAAAATCTAATTAACTTCTTGTGAAATTAACTATACCATATCAAATGCTAACATTTTTTTTTTCTGAATAAAATGTCATTTTTTTAGCAATTTGAGAGTTTTAATTTATGGCATTCAAAGTTTGGTTACGATCAGTTTTGTTGTTCAAGTTTAGCAATTTGAGAGTTATAATTTATGGCATTCAAAGTTTGGTTACAATCGGTTTTGTTGTTCAAGTTTGAAAATTAAAATTATTGACGTAACTGCAAATTAAAGCAAAGGTTTGGAGTTTTTGTCATTCCTTTCATATTTCCCCCTCCATTGCTTTTCACATTGGCTGTTTACTGGATATATGCCCCTTTTTGCAGAGCCCGTAAGAAGGACAAACTGAGATACCGTTATCCTCGTGGGGAATCTTACCTGGATGTTATCCAAAGGTTTTAAATAATCAACTTTAGCTAAAACTTCTAACATTTTATTTTCCAGCTTTTTATAAGAACTTGCTCTCCATACTATCACAGGCTAGAACCAGTAATTATTGAACTTGAAAGACAACGGGCTCCAGTTGTAGTGATCTCTCATCAGGTTAAACATTGTAATACTGCTTCATTTAGTTTCTTAATATTTTTCCATAAACATTGGAGGAAACTGCCTATGTTTCTAAATATTTTCGTGCAGGCAGTATTAAGAGCATTATATGCATACTTTGCCGATAGGCCTCTGAAAGAAATTCCACATATTGAGGTAATTCATGAATAATTAAGAGCCAGCATAGAGAATAATGGTTTCTGTACAATTGGTATTAACAGAAACTTGTTTGTTCCCCATGTTTAATAAAAACTAAGTAATCGATGCATCTTCTTATCATGGCATGATTGAGTGATGTCCATATTATAATATTTTGGTGAGATTACAAAAAAACCAACCAACAAGAAACATGGGTAACGATATTGAACCATGCGTATGAGTCGAGGGGGCTTCCCTGAGGGCGTGTAATTTTCATTTGATTATTCGTCATTTGAGCATACATTCTATGGTTACTTTCTGATCAGAGAGTTAACTGTACTCTTTCAGGTGCCACTTCATACTATAATAGAGATACAAATGGGAGTCACTGGTGTCCAAGAGAAAAGGTACAAACTCATGGACTGAAAATGCTTGTAGAACATTGTCAAGAACTCAAATTTTAGAAGGCAATTTCTGCTCATTTAATTTCCATTCATCAACTATGCATAATTCCAATGGAAATGTCAACTGGATCTTCAGTAATTCAGTTATAAACAATAATCTCTGTTCCAACGTATGGAACTAGTAGCTTTTTTGCATTTTTATACTAACATTTAGTAAGCTGTAATGTCATGTAGTTACTGTATCAAATGTTTCATACTAAAATTACATTTGATTATATTATATTTCATTACAACTTACTACCGAACATAGTCGGCATTTAACTGTTTATGGCAGTTGTCTATTAAATTTAAATTACAGTCTTTTATTTATTAATGGGCAGCCTAAAATTTCTCATTTAATCAATGAAGTGCATTATCTCCTACTATTCCTTGCAAGACAGAAAATCAGAATCCAATTGATTCAATTTTTTTTTTTTCTTTAATGAAATTTCTTTGCTAAATTTTGATTTTTGCTAGAAAATAATACAATCTTTAATAAAAATATGCAATATGAATTCTTCCAAAGTCCCATAATGTTCTGCGACGTTATTAAAAAAAAATAAAATAAATTTCTGATTTTTAAATGATTTTCTTAACCGATTTTCTGATATTAAGTTGGAAAAACCTCTTTTTTTTTTTTTTTTTTTTTTTTTTTTAAAATAAATTCTGATTTTTATGATTTTCTTAACGATTTTCTGATATTAAGTTGGAAAAACCTCTTTTTTTTTTTTTTTTTTTTTTTATATTTTTTTTTTGTGAGAGACTAAAGAGGTTAGTTTGCTACTGCTGACCATTTTTTCCTTTTTGTTAGAATCGTACTTTTTGTTTAATCGCTTGTGATTGGCATCTATTCATCTTCAAAAGGAATCGGTGGTGTTATTGACATGACTAATCTTCGAGAGAAGTCAAATATTAAGTAGTGTTCTCAGCATAACAACTGTCGATCGTTAGTGCCTAAATTAGGTAGTGGGTTTCGTTAGTCCTAAATTTATTGGGTTTCGGGCTTATATATATAAGTATATACAAAAATGTCTGAAAATTTGTTAGAGTCAAAAGACCATAATTATATAAAATATTTATACAAATTCTGAATTGAAGGATTTTCTTATTAACGAGATTAAAGAATTAACTCCTTACAGTAAACTAGATAACCATTATCATTCATGAAAATAATTATCTTTGAGATTTTTGTAATGGGAAAATAATAATCTAAATATAAATTGAGAGGAATTGGGATCATGAAGCGTATGGTATAGAATTAAATAAAATTAGACAGGTTTCAGACATAGCTGCGTGGCCAGATGTCACGGAGATCTATCTTTAGGGCTTCTTAGATTTTCTTGCTCGTCCTTCCATTGAGCATACGCTCACTATATTCTTAGGTCATCTCTTAGGATATTAGGATTCTTTAATATTTGGACTATTTCATATCGTACTAGGCTAGATTGCTACCAATAAGAATGTAGAGCGCTTTTTTTTTTTTTTTTTTTTTTTTTTTTGTGAGAAGAATAAAGAGGTAGTTGCTCTGCTGACCATTTTTCCTTTTTGTATGAAATCGTACTTTTTGTTTAATGCTTGTGATTGCATTTATCATCTTCAAAAGGATCGGTGGTGTTATTGATGACTAATCTTCGGAGAAAGGTCACAACTTTATATGTCTACAATAACAACTGTCGATCGTTAGTCCTAAATTAGTTGGGTTCGTTAGTCCTAAATTAATTGGGTTCGGCTTTATATATATATATATACAAAAGTCTGAAATTTTAGAGTCAAAAGACCATAATTATAATATTTATAAAATTCTGAATTGAGATTTTCTATATTACGAGATTAAGATATACTCTTACAGTAACTAAGTACCTTACATTACATGAAATAATTATTTTTGAGATTTTGTAATGGAAATAATAATTAAATATAATTGAGAGGATTGGGATCCATGAAGCGTATGGTATAGATTAAATAAATTGGAAGGCAACAAAAGCTGCCGTCGCCTTCACGAGTCCTTCATTTAGGGCTTCTTTTTCTCTCGTCTTCCATGCATCGCTCTTATTTTCTCCTTGGATATTGGGATTCTTTTGACTTCATACTCTACTATTGCTAACCACTACACGCATATGTTGGACCCATTCCCTTATTTTTTATATTTTTTTACATTAATTATCTAGTTTATATCAATCAAGAAACATGAAGATTCTATTCATTTATTATATTCTAATGATGCTGAATTTACTTCTTAAACTTATTGATAATAACTTACCTAAACTTGAGTGTTTGGATTGATTTCAACGTAAATTAATCAAATTATCAATTTCACAAATCATTTTTTAATTTGTTAATGTTCATAATAAAAAATAAAAAAAAAAACATGTGATCTCGAATATATTAATATTACAAGTGTCTCTAACTCATTAGATTAGTCTCGTGTTGCGTCATGCTCGTAAAAGAGAAACACTTTTAATAGATATTTTCTCCATCCACCACTCTCTAACTTCCACTGAATCCGATTGTTTTATAGTTAAATTCTTGGTAAGATAAAAAAAAAAAAAAAATCAACCAATTTTAGATAAATTATACATCTCCATTAAGTGCAAGGATAAGTTGTCTTGATCAAGGTCCTTAAGAAGATAAAACTGCACTTCCTTCATAGTATAAATAAAAGCCACCATAAGAGAGAAAAGAAGAGAAAAAAGATTAGCGATGTCGAGTTCTCCAACCCACAACCCTTTTAGTCATTTGATCAAAAGCATATCTTCATATGACACAAACATAATGTTAGCTGCGCTTATATCTCTGCTCGTAGTGATTCTGTTCGTTTTGCTTCTCCACCTCTACGCAAAATGTCTTTTAGAACGATCTCGCCATAGAAGCAGAGCATCCAGCTCCATTTCTGTGTCTCAGATTCTTCATCCTCGTCCTTCAAGTTTCCACAATTTCACTACCATCTCTTCCATATCTTCTTCTCCTGCAAAGAACGGTCTTGACCCATCAATCATCTCTTCTATTCCTTTATTTGTTTACAGAGAAGAAGAGAAAGAAGAATGTTTAGATTGTGTGATTTGCTTGAGTGTTTTTGAGGAAAATGAGATTTGCAGAAGATTGAAAAAATGTGGGCATTGTTTCCATGTGGAGTGTATTGACATGTGGTTGCATTTTCATTCCAATTGTCCAATTTGCAGAGCTCCTGCAGCTTCTTCAAATGAAGATGGAGATTGTAAAATGGAGATCGTGATTGGCACTGATACTGAAGAACCCAATTCAGATGAGAATGAGAACAGTAATGGTTCTTCTTCTTCATCTTCATGTAATTCATCAATGGGTTATTGTTCTTTGAAGAGGATGTTGAGTAGGACTAGATCAGAAAACAAGGCCTTCCCATCTACCAATAGTGTGCCTTGAAGTTAAAATCACTTCAAGTAATCAAAATGTTTCTTCTAAGTTCTATAGTATCATCATTCACTTTGACTTCTTATCAACCCATTTGTGGGGTTAATTTCTACTTTTTTGCTCTTCAAGTTTCATTTGGTCATACAAAAATAATTATTATTTAATCATTATAGTATATTGAATTATATATTATTAGTCAATATTTCTATTTTTAAAATGGTAACTTAATTGCTTCTGCATCAAACATTTGTTAAAGGATTCAATTTTTCTTGTCCTAAAGAAAAAAAGAATTCAATTCTTTATCTAATTTCTAATTACAAGGAAGTGTTTTTTTTTTTTTTTAACCATTGCTTCGTTAATCTGTTTATACGTAGAGGCAGTGGTGGCCACGGTTCCGCAACCGCCGGTTTCGGTTCCGGAATTGAACCGAAAATTAACAGTTCCGGTTATAGTTTGGAACCGAACGGTTCCGATTCCGGTTCTTTAACAGTTCCAAAACCAACGGTTCCGACCGGTTTCATACGGTTCCTGCCGGTTTTGGACTGGTTCTAGCTGGTTTTGGATAGTTCCGGCCGGTTTCAGGCTGAACTAGAACCATCGGTTCTGACAGAAACTAAAACCGCCGATTCACGGTTCCAAAACTGATAGAACCAGAACCGAATCGGTTTCGGACGGTTCCAGTTCCCACCGGTTCGGAACCGATGGTTCTGATTCCAAAAACCGGATTTTGGCCACCCCTACGTAGAGTTGAGTATTTAGTTTGACTAAATTGAACTAATTCAGTAATTTATTTCAGATTGACCATAAACTTTTACATGACAATTGAATTCGAAATTGAAAAATAGAAAAATTGAATTATACTGAATCATTTTATCTATTTTAAGTATAAAAATTGTATTCATATCAAAAACGCCTCGATTTTCATTGTTAAAATCAAATTCAAAAACATCAAATTGAATAATTTCAATTCAATTTCCAATTATAACTTATCAATTGTTCACCTCTATTTATTTATAGGCATGTGATTGGACTGCTCCTTAAAACAAAATTTTTGAAGCACACTTACCTTGAGGCTTGGAGAGCCTTGGCCCCTCAATGTTTCTAAAATATAACTTTTCTATTTACAATTTTTATTTTTATTTTCAAAAATATATAATGATGTTATATATATTATTCGTTTTGGAAATTTTTTTTATTTAATAAGAATCATATTAAATATACCTTAAATTTAGGAAATTAATGAAAATTTTTATAGTCAGAATTGAAGTAGTGGAGCCTAAAGAGTTAATTAATTTTTAATATGAGGCCTAAAATAAAATATATTTTTTAATTTTTTAACACTAAAAATTATTATTTTTTTTTTTTTATTGAAGGGGCTAGGTCTTTTTTAGATCCTATATGCATATGGACCTGATCGTTTAAGACTTTTTATTATTTATACTAATATAATAAAATGAGAAGATCAACCGAAATATACATAAATATACTCTTTATGCATTTCTATTAGCCCTATTTTTCATTTATTTTATTTTCTATTTGCATTTTTATTTTATCTTTAGAGGAAATTACGTGTGCATATGCCCAAAAAAAGAACAACTTTCAATAACACTTTTTCGTTCCAAAAAGATAATTCATCTTTTTTTTTTGTTTATCTAAAATATAGTCTATTTTTCTTTTTTCACTTTAGTTAATCCTTAAATTGTCTATTATACCCTTATTAAATTTTATTTTATTTTCAATAATCCCCATTAATTTTTATTTATCATTTCAATGTAATAACTACTCATATATTATTTAAGATGAAAATAATAAAAAAGTTATATTAATAAAATTGAACCTTAACCGTAATAATTGTTATTTTCTTAATCTATATGAAAATAGAAAATGAACTATCTTTTTGGAACGGAGTAAGCAGAAGTTACTGCTGAGCTAGAGCAAGAATCGTTTCTTCTTGGATTTTAATGGCTTCAAGTTCAAATGCAATTTGTCATCCTTTGGATATTATCTTCTAAGATTTTTTTGTTGATCTCTTTCTTTTTTTATTTATTATATTTACTTAATTATTTCTCACTTAAACATAATTTGATGGTGTGGTTGTTGGTATTAATTCAAGAACATTTCACTATTCTAGCAAGACGATAAAGGAACTAAAAGATGAGCTAGTGTTGTCATTTCTGATTTTTTGCAACTCTTTTTCATAGATTTACATTTTTTTTAAAAATGTAATTCATTATTAATAATAATAATATCAAGAATACAAGTATTTATATAGACCGTATATAAAATTTTATCATTAGTAGTTAATAGTGTGTGCTGTAAAGAAAAAAATTCATATTCTTTTAAATAATGAAACTAAAATAAAAAAAATATAATATAATATTAGACTTTCGACTTTGAGTTTATCTTGACAAAAGATATAAATCTTCATAATAACAACTAGACTTAAAATTGTTTTGGACAATAAAATAATAATTTCTTTGGATCTTCTATATCTAAGTTGATTTTTCAAGAATTTATAATATATGACAAACATAGATGAGTTTTTGCGACTATATATCAACAATATCAATGGAGGAACATGTCGCACTACCAAGCTCTATTAGTCGAAGATCCACTCATGCAGATCAAAATCTAAACTCTCCAACCAAATAAAATCAACTACCAAGCTCTATTAGTCGAAGATTCGCTCATGCAAATCAAAATCTAAAGTCTCCAACAAAATAAAATCAAGTATCAACCCTCACAAATAAGGGAAAAAAAACTCAAAATATGGAGATAATCACAATAATAACAAAAAAAAAGAGACAAATGTGTTATAGAAAAACAGATCTGAATTTATTAAAATAAACAAAAGATTAGAAGCAAAAGAAGACAAAAAGAAAGAAAGTAGAACATGTCGTTGACAAACAGCTGCAGTATCAAACTAAAACAAGTGTTAAAAGATTAGAGAGAAAAGAGAGAAAGGAGAGGGAATAGAGTTTCTCGAGTATTTTATTTTTTCATAGATTGGCATATTTAGACTTCTTACGCTACATAAAAGAAAATTAAAAAATTGTGTTTTTTTATCTTACAATCCAATAAAATCAAACTATAAAATTAACCCAAGTAAATAGATAATTAAATTGAGAAAACTGAACAAAAACAAGCATAAACAAAACCATATACTCATCATTAATATAATTTCAAATAATTTGACTATGTCTAATTATGATTAAGCAAAAAAGAAATATTCAAATATTCAAAAAAGAAATTTTTTTTCCAAGAATTACATTAATGATTGGCCGGTTGTGTTAGAAGAGAAGGGGACGCGGGGAAACACGAGTGTAGTTGTATTGTTAGAGCGCTGTGGCCGGTGGCCATGACAGAGTCCCCTACCAGTCGATCGCCTCGTGGCTAAAAATCCAATCCGCTTGATATTTTCCTTACGGCAATGAAACATAAACTATCATGAAAGAGAAGTTTCGCATGTCCACACAACGGTCACCTGGTAGCCACATTTTATAAATAACGGTAACTTCCAGGCAGCTGCTTTCAGGACCCACATTGTCTTTTCCATTATTTATTTATTAATTACGTAAACTTAAAACTGAAATTAATCGAGTCAAAATAAACTTCCCCTTTCACACCTTGCGCTCAGTGTGTTGCTGTTAATATCACATACATAGCGTGTTTGACCTTCTTCTTCTTCTACTTCGAGTTTTAACCACTGATATTTCTTACGCGTTCTCTGCTAAACTTTAAACCAGTTTAGCAAAGTGCCACACCCACACTTCTTCTAGCTTCTTTATATATATTCTTGCTGTTAATCATCACATACATACGTGTTTGACCTTCTTCTTCTTCTACTTCGAGTTTAAAAACCACTGATATTGTTTTACGCGTTCTCTGCTAAACTTTAAACCAGTTTAAGAAGTGGCAACCACACTTTTCCTTCTAGTTCTTTATATATATATATAATATAATAATATAATATATAACTATTAGAGCTAGAATAAAGTAATTTAGGGACATTGAAAGTGGTGTGGCTTGTTTTCTATATTAGAGCTAGAATAAAGTAATTTAGGGACATTGAAAGTGGGTGGTGGGTGTTTTCCCTTTTCACATCGAAAAATCGCTAGTATTTTACCGTCTGTGTTACATATAACGTATATTGACTTTCGATTTAATCGGCAATTGTCTAGACATAAAAAATTTATTGAATTCACTTTATTATTACGTACTTAATGGATAATATGTGCATTCGATTATCTTTTTTTAACACAAATTTAAAAGTTAGTTAATATAGTTTAATAATTAAGTTTACCTATATTTTTTCTAATATACTTCATATTAATGTTAAGATTAGATGTTACTTTCAATAAAAAAATTAAATGAAAAAAGAGTTGATAGGCATATACTAATTTACTTTTTAAAAGGAAAATTGTCTATAATTTAGATAAAAAAAAAGAAAAATAAATTTATATTAATCTAATTTCTCCGATTTATCCAATATGATAAGTGGATAAATACAAAAAAAAAAAATGCTGATTAATATTTGTGCCATCAATTAAGGTATTTGATCTTTTTTTTTGAGTTATGTTCAGTAAAATTAGTTGTTTTAATAATTATTACATTTTATGAAACGCTAAAAAACTAAATATTACATGAGTTAACTTACCTGATGTTACTGAATAATAACTAAATATTACATTAGTTAACTTACGTGATGTTATCGAATAATAACTTTTAAATAGCGGTCAACGATTTAACTACTTAAAAAACCGTTGCCAAATACAATCCTCGTTTTAGTTTTTCTTTTAAGCACAAGACAAATAAATCAGTCTTGTGTTATTACTTTTTTCTTTTCGATAAATTATTTAATTATATTTGATCTAAATTAAATACTTATTTATTTTTTAATTATATTTAATTTAACTTAAATATTTATTTTTTTAATAAAGAATTATATTTTTTATTCTTTTACAAATTCAAAGATAATTGTATAATTGCTTCTAAATTCAAATAGTAAATTGAGCTTTATTTTATTTTTTTTCTTTGTAGAAAATTTTTTGTCTTATTTATTGGAAGCAAACAAAAAAATAAGCAACAAGCAAGAAAAATAAAAGAAGACAAAACGTTCGACTCCTGAGGGTAAAACTGACATTTCGAAATATGAAGAGCTGAATCATCGGTCAAACCGTTTCACCAATATTTCCACACACGGAATTAGGAACCCTTTAAAAGCCTTTCTTCTTTCTAACTCATCATAACACAGTACACTGCACAAAACAGCTCTAAAAGCTCTAAAACACACAACAAACTCAGGAACTAGAAACGATGTCGTGTTCCGTTGCCGTCTCCAATTCTCCCGTGTTCTCTCCGTCGTCGTCTCTCTTCTGCAACAATAAAAGTCCCATACTGAAATCTCAATCGCCGGCAGATACTATAACCCTAACGCTTAACCATCTAAAACCATCGCAGTCTCCATCGTCTTCTTCTTCTCCATCCTCTCCTTGCTCTCCTTTGCGTTTACGCCTCCAGAAGCCTCCCACTGCACTTGCTTCTTCGTCTTTAGCTTCTACTTCTGGTTCATCGGCGTCCACCGCGGCGGTCTTAAAGAGAAAGAGACCTGCGAGGCTTCATATTCCGATTATGGAGGTTTTTGGAGGTCCAATTACATCGGCAGCTGCTGAGAAAGCGGAGATAGAGATAGAAGGCGATGGATATTCAGTGTATTGTAAAAGAGGGAGGAGAGAGGTTATGGAGGATCGCTTCTCTGCTGTTCTTGATCTTCAAGGAGATCCTAAGCAGGTATAGTTTTCCTTATTTGATTTTATTATTAATCTTTTCATTTTGTTGGACTTGCTTGCAGATTAGTTAGTTTTGATTTATAACTGATTTGAGATTTTAGTTGCTGAATTTGTAGATTAGGCATAATTGAACTGTGTTTTAGGCCAGCTAGGTTTTGGTATAAACCAAATGCAGAAGCCAAAACTTATAGTTGGTTTATAGGTTTTATTGATTATGTTTGAATGTAGAAGTTGTCTTACATTATATGTTGCTATATGCAGGCTTTTTTTGGTATTTTTGATGGGCATGGAGGTTCTAAAGCTGCTGAATATGCAGCAGATAAATTAGATAAGAACATTATAGAAGAAATAGCCAAGAGGGGTGAAGAACAAATTGAGGATGCAGTTAAACATGGCTATTTAAACACAGATAGTCAGTTTCTAAAGGAAGATGTAAGAGGAGGTTCATGCTGTGTCACAGCCCTGATTCGAAAGGGAAACCTTGTTGTATCCAATGTTGGTGATTGTCGCTCTGTTATGAGCATAGGAGGTGTGGCTGAGGCCCTAACATCTGATCACCGCCCATCTAGGGAAGACGAGAAGGATAGAATTGAGACCTTGGTAAGCCTCAAGACTAAGTTATATTCAATTTTCATATAAAATTTGTGTATCAATGGAAGACTAAGTTATATTCAATTTTCATATAAAATTTGTGTATCAATGGAAAGTCTCATGGCGGGATTTGTTTTTGCAGGGTGGGTATGTTGATTTGATCCATGGGGTTTGGAGAGTTCAGGGATCTTTGGCTGTATCTAGAGGCATTGGAGATGGGCATCTTAAACAGTGGGTGATAGCTGAGCCTGACACAAAAATTGTGAGGATTAAACCTGAGCACGAGTTCTTGATACTAGCTTCTGATGGTTTATGGGATAAGGTATGTTTAAACAGGCTAATTCAGAAGAATTGAGTGTACTTTTGGTTTCAAATTACTATTTGAAGAATATATCAATGGTTGTTAGTATCTGAACGATTTCATATTTATTGATTTGGTTAGGTTGGTAATCAGGAAGCTATAGATATTGCTCGCCCATTGTGCATAGGAGTGGATAAGCCAGACCCATTGTTGGCCTGTAAAAAGCTTGCTGATATCTCTGTTTCACGGGGCTGTACTGATGATATCAGCGTGATGTTGATCCAAATGGAGCGTTATATTTAATTGTGTTGAAGTTAAGTAGAAAAAGTTATTAGAAATTCAGCTGACAAATATGTAGATGCGATCCGTATTTCTACTGCTTGCTGTTAGTGTCTTTAAAAAAACCTTGCAATGCTGGCCTGCCTTCTCTCTTTGCTAGTTACTCCCCGGTTGAAGTTGAAGGCTTAGATGACAAAAAGTATGCAGACAACTGATTTATATTAATTCTTTCATTCTTTTAGATCTTATAATTCATTCTTCAGAGGAGCCTGATATAAAATTAGTCTTTTTGCTATTTATGGGGATTTTTACCCGTAAGGTAGCGACATTGATTTGTTCATTCTAAATAGATTTGTGGATTTATATTTTATTCTTTGGAGGAAGATTACTTGTAAATCAGTTTACATAATAAAATTGTTGAAGTATGATTATGTTAGCTTCACTTTCAAAGTTCCAGAAACTTGGTTTTTGCAGTTATTACTATGAGTCTTTTCAGGACGAACATTATTTATCTATTAGGCGGTTTCGCAAATGTTTATCTATTAGGCGGTTTCGCCCGCATTGCGCGGCTGTATAATATATTTAGTATTGAGTTGCCCGCATTGCGCGGCTGTATAATATATTTAGTATTGAGTTATAAAATGTGTATTGAATGAATTGTTAAAATTTAAAGTGCATGCAATGCATAGGTCAGACGTTTATAAAATGTGTATTGATGAATTGTTTCCGATTTAAACGTGCATGCAATAGCAATAGGTCATATGAATTCAAATGGTTTTATTGTAAAATTGAAATTTTTATTACTAATTAATAATGAATTAGTTCAAATGGCAAAGAAAAAGAATATATTTAATATTTATCATGCTGGCCAATTGAAATAGAGACTAAACATATTTACATTATAATAATAATGAAATAGCCAGATGGAAAAATTAGTGAGAATTATATTATGATTGGGTAAGTAACTTGAAACACAGAAAGGCATACCAATAAATACAGACTTGAAAAAAATAAATGAATATAAGTATGAAATATCGAGTAAAGATAAATTTTTAGAAAAAAAATTATTGCAATTTTATACTCTGATATTTCTATTTTTTTTGCAATTCATTGTTTTGTCTATATGTTTATTATATTATATTTTTGATTTACTTGGTTTTATAAAAAATCTTTATTTAGCTCATTTATGCAACAAATCCACATTTAGTAATTTTTAGAACCAACCGGTTTTTTAATTTAATTTTACGAAGTCACATTTTCTATTTTAAGAGCAATATGATTATTTTAAATAAAAAATTAACGTAATAAGTACAAAATATACAGTGAGTGTTTCTATTTACAGGATTGAACAATGTTTGAGAAGTAGATAGCAATCAAATAGCTAAAAAAAATGTCGAAAAACTCATTTTCTATATTTGAAATACCTAGATTTCTAATTTGGAGACTCCAATAGAATTATATAAAATAGGGGGTTTTTCTCTCTAGTTTATCTAACTCTAGCTTTTGGTTGGGGCTGTCATTGTTCATCAGCGATAGCCCCATACTTTTCTTTTTTCCTTTTCGCTCCTAATCTTTTATTCGTTTTTCGTAAGCTTAGATTTATTTATTTTTAATAGATCTATTTTTATTCTTCCGTGAGGGTTTAGTTCCTTCTTTGTAAATGTTTGTTCTTAAAATGTATGATATTTTAGTTTATTTTATTGGAGAATTTAGATCTTGTTTTATTGGTGTGTATTTTCAATCAATGGAGCCTGGTAGGGCGGCATATTCCTCCAATAATGCTATTAATGCGTAATGGTTTGAACTCATCAATGTACGTCACACACAACAAGTTTTTGGAAAAGCATTCCAAGCATAGAAGATCCGAAGAAGTTATTTTATTGTCCAAATCAATTAAAGAACCAATTGGTACTATAAAGATTTATATCGGTCAAGGTCATCTTCAAGCGCAAAAATACAATATTGTTTCTTTTAGTTTTAGTTTTATTATATTTCTCAAAAAAAAAAAAAAAAATGGAAACTCCAATGAACTGACCAACAATGTTTAGTACTTTCTCAGCTAATCTATATATATTATTGAAAGACTATCCTATCAAATTATAAACATACATCATGAAATGCTTGAAAGGAGACATTGCTTAACAAACTCATAAAGAATTAATAACAAAGGATATTAGAAGTCACTGTATTTAAAATTCTCTTATAAATTAGAGAGAGAATTTTTAATCAAAACATATTTTTTCTTCAAAAATTTACAACTTTTTCCTCCAATTAGTTAAATACAAAATACTAAAATAATAGAGTGTAATACCTCGAATTTTTATTTTCAAAACTTTCGAATTTTTATTAAATCAAAAATTAGAATTTTCGACTGTATGGGCTGCAGGTACTGTATAATCTTAATTCGCGAGTTGGGCCAAGCCCAAAGTATAGTATTGTAACCCCTAACCGAGAATTTTCTAAACTCTTCAAGAATTATTTTGGGCATTGAATATTAAATCAATTAAAATAAATTAATTGGATCCGCAAACCATGTCATAGTGATGTATCTATCTTTATTCGCTGTCAGGTGGTCGAGTATGGCCAAGTCTCAAAGTTACTACGGCGTATAATTCAAGAGATAAACCCTACGTTAACCAGAGAGAAAATTTCTATAAAACTTATTCATATGAAGATGATGTTTTGGGCTATTGAAATATTAAAGCTCAATTAAAAAAAATTTAATTGGATCGAAACATGTGAAAAACCCGAAAAAACAAAGCAAAAAAGAGTGCCTCGAGAGATATGCAATTGGTATATTTGAAACCACATAACGAGAATTCAATACAGATTGAAACCAGAGATGTATCTAGATCACAGAAGAACTTAGGGTTATTTCTGTACACCCTTCTGTCTGAGTTGCCGTGAGACCCGACACCGGATGCCACCATTCGCGCTGTCCCCATGGTAAGAACACAACCGTCTTAACTTAACACATTATCCACAAATCATTCGTTCAAATAAGATATGAATTAGACTATCTCGTGCGAACTATAGGCATCAATAATTCACACTACTTGACCCACTAATATAAGTCCAATTTAGTAAATTCTCCAAAAAAATATTCATATCTACTTCTAACCTGCACATGTAAAAATCATGCATACATAGCTAACCCCAAAAAATATTAAGAGATATATATATAAAAGCATATATAGGTGCCGTAATTTTATACCGGACAACATAGAATTATAGACACGGAGACTCCCAGACCGTAGTCTAGCTTATTGCCACAGAATCCGGCAATTTAATAGCTGATTGAAGCATGATCAATGACTGGTAAAAAATCAACATACCCCATATTATCATAGGTTTAACCAAACTGCCATCAAAACTCCTCGGATCTAAATAAAATAGAGTTTAGGCCACCTTTCCTGTAGCACCAGTTCATGAACTGGAGCCCAAATAAGAAAATATTTAAAAAACTGTTTAAAAGATTCGACAGCAAAAAAAATATCTTGGGGGCGTTTTACAGTTTCTTTTGTTTTTTTTCTTCCCTCTTCTTCTTCTTCTGGCGCCCGCACAAAAGCCCTCCCACTGGCTCAACTTATTTATAGAAACGGCATTCTCCGGCCAATGCCCAACGGCCATGGACCCCGGCAACCAAGCCCTCAATCTTCATCCTCTCGACGAGAGAAGCTCATTGGTAGTGTTGGTTCGCAGAATAGAGGCCAGAATCGATGAAGATCGCGACTGGAAGATCTCAAGGTCGCGTGATAAGATTTCCGGCGATCCTCGCTGTTTCCGGCGGTTATAGCAAGAAGGAGAGGCGTCGATCGTTTCTTCTCCTCCGTGCGAACCTTTCCCCTCTGTTAGATCGGATTTCTGGTGAAGATTGGTGAAACCACCATGATCGGTGGCTTTCTTGCTGACTGTCGGGCTTGTTCCGGCCCACGAGCCATTGGCTCATCAAATTGATGGTTTCATCAAAATTGATTGGTAGAAATCGAACTCCTTACGTGCAAATTTGAGGTGGGTGGTGTAACCTTGCAATTTTTTCTGGGCAAGATCTGACTTTACGGCCACCGGTGCACGGCTGCCGATCCTTGTCTGTGGGGGGCTTTAGCTCTAGTAATACTTCATGGCAAACTTCCCGGTGACCAGCCACGGCCCCCCGATCATACTTTGCAAATCCCGGCGAGGCCCCCAACAGACAAATCTTGTTAAATCCCTCCCGGTCCATCCTCGATAAACTCCGAATGTAAGATCCCGATTGTCTGAAGAGACCTGCTACAGCATCATCTGGTTTGAATTCTATTAATCCTGTCATGCAGACCTGATATCATATAGTCGGATCTTGTATGCGATAAATATATAGAATATACAACACTGCCACAATCTGATACACTCTAAACCTTCCAACATCTCCAAGAATCATCCATTAAATAAGTAAACCACTTCTACATTATAACTAAGTCTTTTTACATAATTATATAAAGAAGCCTCAATGATAGCATTTTAATATCTAGCAATTTAAATTTTACATTCTCAATGAGAGTCTATTAAGAATCAATATAGTTAGTCAATAGACTTAAGTTCAATTATCAAATAAAACTATAGTAAACATAATTTCATCTTCAAAGACATTTCATTAAATATTATTCTATATCACCGAAACTATTTTACACCAAAATAATTACATGTTTCACCGTTATATTTAAAATCACATAAGTTCTAACAATAAAAGAATTAAATCATGCTCGATTATCTTGTCGAATACATTGCATAAAGTTTAATCTACATCTCTCATCTACTAATGACCAAATTAAGCACTTGCTTTGTTAGTACCCTCAAGTCTTCAAGTAACAACCAACGATCTTCAACCCTCACGCCGTAGGAATACAAAAGTCAACGCTGTTAGAGTATATAAACCCAGTCGTTCTATATCTATCAACATACTAACCAAGCCATTGACTGTATAATGCGATAAATCTTCTCTAAAATACGCCAATTTCATAAAGCATTGGGATATTCATAGAAGAGATCGAAGTTAAAATAGATTTACAAATGAATGGTTCTCTGTAGTGACGAACCGCATAAACTTTTAACTACATTAAACACTAAGGTAATGCTACTATACCTTGATATATCTCTCTTTCATGAATCTTTAATTACACTTATTGAAGTTATCATCAAAATGGTCTTACCTGTAGCTGTTCAATCAAACGCCGAACTAGCTGGAATTGATGTTTAGAAATCCTGGCATGGGGTCTGCAGGAAAAAAAGCACATAAATATGCTGAGCAAGTATAAATAAACAAGTATATGTGCGTTCTTGGTTTCTACTTTGCTATCAGCGAAACTAAGTGCTGTATAACCGCACAATATTATTTTTTAGAGTTTTTAAATTGAAGAAGTGGAGTGTAGAAGTGAAGAAGTGTAGAGTGTGTAGAAGTGTAGAGTGTAGAGTTT